GACAGCACCCGGGACGGATACGCTTCAGGTCTGCTGCGTTTCCGCAGTACTGTGATAGCATACATATTTCCGAGGTTGATCGTATGCCAGCCTCTGAGTCATTGGTCGCCTCCTTCATTGCCTTCCACGCGGGGAAGGTAGCATCAAGTACAATTGATAATTGGCTCTCAGGCCTTCACTTCTGGCATACTATTAATGGTGCTCAGTGGAACGGTGGTGATATCTTGTCGCGCGCAAAGAAAGGTGCACAAAAACTCGTACCTATATCATCGAAACGGGCCAAACGTCCTCCAGTCACCATAGAACATCTATATGCATTGCGTAACGGCTTGGATCTCTCTAACGCATTTGACGCGGCAGTCTGGGCAATTGCATGCATCGCCTTTTGGTCCTGTTGTCGCCTTGGGGAGCTCGTTATTCCGAGCACGAACTTATTCGACCCTATCAAACACGTCGCTCGCTCGACTTCGTTAACCTTCCATACACTGTCAAATGGTACAGAATACGGTACCTGTCAGATACCCTGGACCAAAATGACGCTTCAGGAGGGCGCATCCATATCCATTACAGCTCGTGATGACCCATCGTGCCCTGTCAAAGCCTTAAAACATCATCTTTCGTGCAGCAAATCCATACCATATCACGCACCATTGTTTTCATTCGAAACAGCCGACGGAGGATGGTCGCCAATGACCAAAGGATGGTTCATGACGCGATGTAACGAAATCTGGGTTGCTGCTGGACTGCCTGATATGCCAGGTCATGGCTTTCGCATTGGTGGTGCAACGCACCTTCTTCTCATGGGTGTGGCGCCCGATTTGGTTGCAGCTCAAGGGCGCTGGAAATCAAGGGCTTTTATGGATTATTGGAGGAAAATTGAGTCAATCTTACCTTTGTTCATGTCCAGCGCGGGTTCTGCGTCTCGAGTCTCTATCATTGAAGAGTCAATGTCGGCGTACAGAAAGAAGTGGAAGTTATAAAATTTCTACTTACCTTGTTCTTGAATAAGGGATCAATCTGAGATCATCAATCTATTTTTATCTCATTTCTCCCGCACTTACCTTAAATCAGCTTGCTCTGGTTGGGGTGTCGTGTCTTCGAAGAAACGCGACCGTGGTGAGCTGCGCATGGTGGTATGGTCTTGTTGTCTTCTCAGACCCTTCACATGGGGCTTGGAAACCAGGATCCACACCGGCACGCTCAAAGCTTTCGGAATTCTCGAGTCAAATCATTTTTTCAAATATACTTGTTTTCTTATCACACCTGAGATGTCATTTGCATCCATTGAACAAGTATCAGATTTGATTTGTGCTAATTTCTTGAGATCAGCACGACGCGTTTTGGATCCAAGTCACATGCACGAGGATTTTCCAAAGCTTTCCCCCAACCCACGAAAATTCAGATTTTCAACTGACTCAAGTCTTTTAAATTGAATTTTCGTGTTCCCTCACATCCTAGCATCAGTGCGTTACATACAAAGCCCGGACAGTTCAAGACGTTGAATTAGAACCCACCTTCAAACCCACTCGCCATTACTTTTGCCACCCTTCCCCCGTGACACACCCCTCCCTCACGGCGCCCACTTCCTATTCTCTCTCAGCCGCCCTCCTCCAATTGGCTGTGTTTTGTATCAAACCGCTCAAGTGGAAGAGTTGGGCTGTGCACCTCACCCAACTAAACAGCGCGATTCCAGTGGTGGGAAGTGTGCCGCTTGCGCTAGTGGTGTATTTTCACGTTGAGATACTAGTGAGTTTCTGGTTCGTTCGTTTAGCATAATGCCAGTATTATAATGCTTTATCTGACTTTTCTCTTCTTTACTTTTCTGTTGGTTCCCCTGAATCCCCTCCATATAAACCTTCGTATGTATGCATCTCTTCCTTCGCTTTATCAACCTCTAGTATGTTTTACTCACCCATTCTTCCCCCAGCAAGACCTGCATCAACACCATGCTCCTCCCGCCTGCGCGTAGTACTTACCCTCCCCAAATTGCCGCAGCTCTCTTGTTCGAGAGGCTCATAAGTCGAATATCAACATCCAACAACGGCCCACTACAGTCAACCACCCACCGTCAATGTCCCGGATCCTCGTCACCATCATAGGTCATTGTTGTGGGAGGTTTAAAGCAAAATATCAATCCTGAGTTTTGTGCTGCATAAGGGGAGACGTCAAGGTGAGTTCTGTTTCATCTACCCAGTGCCGTCGCTGAGTCCAGCCATCTTTACATTCTGAACCGCGGTTCGTGAACTACATTCAGCAACTCCTACTGCCCAGAAGTCGAACATAAACCCACATATACCTGGTTCAACGACACTCAGCCTCGGTTCGACGGTCAGTACGCATATCCCCAAATTGCTCAGTGCCTATGCGTGACGCTTGAAGGTCTCTACAATCCTGGACGTTGGCTATTTTCTCGGCTTGACCTCAATTCAGAACTCGGAGGCTACGACCACCAACAAGTATCAGCGTTCAACGCTCCGATTCCAACCGTTAACCTCGTTGGAAGATTGAGGAGTGGTCAGAAGCATTGGGTCGTGAATTAAACGGAGCTGTGTTTTTCTTCGTCCACCCTGCGTCGTCATTGTTGAGATCGGTTACTTTTGTAGGTTGCCCACGGGCTCGTCGACAGTGGCAGCCATAACGCCAAACTTCTTCTGGCACTTACGGGTGTAGTTGTGGGTGTTTGGGATGGGACGCGCATACTGACTACTCTCGTCACCAGTCATTTATCACCGCTAATGTCATGTTCTCTTCTTGTGTAACGCAATTTGAATATCAATGGAAGAAACCGCAGATGCCCAACGTTCAACACTATTGACGATTCCTTACAAAAAACTTGGGCGGTCACGAATACCCATTGGCCCTTGTAGTTTCAACTCGATTCACATTTACCTTCGTCCGTCCAATGAAGTTTGGAAAATATTCCAAGCAGGGGAGACTAGAAACGTCGCTAATACAGTAAAAGCGGTGGTCGTAAGAATGGTATCTAATTAAAAGCCGGATTCGTAGTAAATCCGTGATTCTATGGGTGTAACGGAACACACTCGCACTGTTCTATATAGTTGTACGGATGATAATAATGGATACCGCAAAGCCGTTCTGTATCGCGCTCCATATCGAAAAACATTTGCGTTGTCACCCACCGTAGCGGCGCGTCGCCTAATATCGTAGGGATATGGCATCAGTGATCAATCAGAGATCACCCTTTCAAAATACACTCACCCCAACGCCACTTGTAAAATCCCTCTGGATACTGAACAAGATGATAAAACCACTCCTCAACCTCCGGCTTCCTGAACTCTTCCAGCTTCACAATTTCAAAGTTGTTGTAATATCCATGTATCGGTACATCGTCCCAATCGACTTCGCCATTTGTAAAATTACTAGGCCATTTCCACGTTGTGCTCGCGTTCAAATGTGATTCGACTTCAGGATGTGAACCGGCGTAATCGCGTATGAAATTCCAGAGTCCTTTAGTCACTTGGGGCGCGTCGTTCCCGATCCCAAGATATCCGTATGAACGTTGGTGGAGGTGCATGACTTCGAAGGGATCGTAGCAAAGGGGTTCAAGGAAGAGGGAGTCGGTATCCATGCGTAGGTAGTACGTGACGTCTCGCAAGCGTGGGTTGAAAAATATTTTTGTCGAGTAGAAGGCGCACATGTGGTGATATCCTGTTCGATACAAGGGAATTTAAAAAAATGGAATGAGTAAGTGATCAAGCGACGTACCAGGCCAAGAACTTGGCGACACCGGATCGAGCTCCTCTTTCGTGTGTGGTATCCCCTCTGGAAGCACCCAGTCAAGCTTAACGAATTCCACTCGGTCACTAAAATCCATTATCGAGTTATTTGACGGTCCTCCAATTTTCTTGCGAAGGCTCGCCAGGAAGTCGTCCTGGACAGGCGTGTCGTCAAAATCGCCCGTGTGAAACAGAATGATGGGCCAAGGATCGCGGAGTGGCAAGAACGCATTGACAGATGCCAACGATTCCAAGAGCTCGTCTGCATGAGATAGCCGGACGAGGTAAACGACAGCAGCGGTGTATGGCGGATGAGTCGCATGTGAGGTGATGAAGGGGGCGAATTTTGACAAAGTAGCCTTGAAGGGAGGGTGAAAGGAAAATAGCAGGGTAAATGAAATAAGTAGAAGCACAAAAGGAACTACCACAGTCCTTGTCAGTGTGCACTGGGGCACCAACGAAGGAATGGCCATGGCTGTAAGTCGTAGACTGTGGAAAGGAGATGGTTGGTATTACGTGATGAGAGGGCAGATGCTCCCATGGTTTGGAGCAACTCGCGTTGCCAACAGGGCAGTCGTGCGAGTCAAAATGTCATCCCAGCACTGTTTTGCCTCCTTGCAGGGTAAGGGCTTTCTCGGTCGCCAAGTGACCAGCCTGGTGGCATAACGTGTTTCCCATATGTAGGAGAGCGTCCGACACGCCAAGTATTCTTGTAATACAGTAGATATTCTCACAATGCATAATGCCGGTCCCCGACTTTTTCTACAGTTGCGGACAACTAAAGTCAACAAATTTATAGATCAATTTATTGAGACCAGTAGGGATTTTTTTAAAGTCTGAAAACCATCGGAATAGGCAGGAATTGAGTAGATCTTTCAAATGGTACGAGCCGATTTCCCAAAAGTGAAGATTTGTCAGAAAAAAGGTCCAAATTTTTGACGCAGGCCCAAAAAAATCGATAAAATCTCGAAAAAGTCATTTTTGGATAGATCTTGATGAGTACTGTCAGAATCCACCGAAAAAATAAAAATAAAATAGATCCTCCCCTTTGAAAAAAATTGCTATTACGCTGCCGAAACCTGGAGTAAAAAACATTGCAACCTTGCACGCCTCCAAAATAACCCTTTCTTGACTTCCATTCCATCAGTGACATCATTTTCTCAAGCCATCAGACTGTCAGTGAGGGAGATGATGAGGAACTGATCACGAGATCTCAAGAGTCACACCTCATTGCACAAGAAAAATGAGGCAAGTGAAGCTGTGGATTCAGGAGAAGAGATGGATATGCAGAGAGTAATTGGGATGAGCTTGATGAGCAGGATTTTTCTGAGAGACTGGCTGAGATGGCGATGTAGGATGCAAAAAAATTGGCTCAAAATTTTGGCGCAGCCAAAAACTCGTGGGAATAACATAAAAACATCATTTTTGAGCTCCTTTTGCCTGTCCAGTTTCAGATCTGTCATCAGATTTCCGTCAAAAAATCTGGTTCCTGAGATACTCAATTTGTTGACTTTAGTTGTCCGCAACTGTATGCATTGTGAGATTTATGCAAGATGAAATATGTCACAAAATGTGACTATTTGTGACCTCAGCCAAAAAATGTCACACTTCGAAATGTCCTTTATGTAGCGAGACGAAAACTGGAAAGACTGCGTATTTACAGGCTATCGACATCCATGGGAGAGAGGTTACTACTGAAAAAAGAGTTGAGAGTAGTTTGTCGGGCTGATTTCACTTGAACAACATGAAGATGAGCCCTCAATAAGGCCTCAATTTGCGCAATTATTGTTGCAAAAGCAGTGTTGACACACCGCGAGCCTCTGAGTGGATGACACACCAAACACTCACACAGCTCCATTCCCTCTGCAAGGTGCATAGGGCTTGTGCCTGTCTTGAGGTTTCTGCTTCTTCTCCTCAGCAGCTGGCATAGAATGATAGAAAAGTGTTGGCAAAATTGGATACTACTCTCGAGCAGTGTATTCGTGGCACACAGGGTATATCAGGGTAGACTTTGGTCCTGAAAAACTCAGGTACAATGAGGTGAACAGGTAAATACCCAGTAAATCTGTAGATCTGGTAATGCATAATGCCAAAATATGATATGCATTATTCGATATGACGTTCCATGCATAAATCCCTGCATACCAAGTTGGTCCCCTAAAAATGTCATGCATTATGAGATTTATGCATTACAAGTATATGCATTGTGAGAATATCTACTGTACTTCGCTCAGTTACAGATTGACGACAAGCATGGCTTGGCCTTGGTTTGGTCGACCTTTTCATGACCACAAGAAGTGCATTACGCTGTAAGAACTTCAGCGATTTGTTAAAAAATAAAAATAAAAATAAAAAAGAGACCACTCATGGTAAAAAAAAGGGATTGCGGGCAGATGATATGCAACCCCCCAAGTTGAAGTATGCACACCCATTCAAATAATTTGAAATAAATACCATTGTCAAAGATATTCATAGTGATGGGAAAAAACAACTCTTATCTCCAAGATGCAAATACAAAGAAAGGAGGGCGTGCATAGATACACGAGGATGAGTAAAATGCAACATAGAATTTTGTGTCAGTACTCCAACATAAAATTTTTACGCTCAGCACCGTCTGGGATGTGAAGGTAGTGATCATAAATTTGAGCTCTAGAGTCCAGAGATATTGAGCACTTCCAAGCCAGAAGGAACACCCGAGGGTTACGCACGTTGGCCTATCCCCATTCCGGCATTCCCCGGTTGCCAAGACCTGCAATTGAATTGACCAGTGTGGGCCCATTCGGACAATATGTGGGATGCTGGTGAAATTTGAATCACCTATAGTCAACTGGGAGCATTGACACGCGACGTACCTTTTAATTTTATGACCAAAACTCAAATACCTTAGAAAACGAAGAACACACGTGAGTAAGGAGCATACCAGTGGGTAACACATTATAGAACAGGTGTCAATAGCGGCAATTGGCAAGGATCAACACGAATGTCGCGATTCTAATCGCTGCAAGCAATTATGTCCAAAAGTCCTCAAGGAACACCAGTAGTTGCCTTGAGGACGGCTAGTGACAGCAAGCTGGTCAAATCACATAAGTATATCTTGAACTTTTCGATTCAACAGAACTGAAGGGACATTAGCAATGGCATAAGCATTTTGTTGAGAACGAGAGGTTTTGAGGAGGCTCTTCAAGAATGCCTTGAAATCATCATATTCAGCATACTTTATAGAAAACGAGTGTCACAGTGATGAAGTCTTATGCAAGTCGTTTGCACCTTTCACAGGCGCTGTTGATCTGTCAGAACTTGAACTGTATGGCACTGGTAAGACAGTATGCAGCAGAGCGTTATATTTATGAATGGACCTCCACTCATGCTACCAGAAAACGTCGGAAAGCAGTGACATGTGACACTCAGTAAATAGCGAAGTCAGACGTTAGTCACGAGAAAGTCACCAATTAGAGGGTGTTTGACTAAATGTCGTTTTTTTAAGTGTTTCTGACTACGCTCGTACTAAAATAGTCATACATTAGTCCTACAGTTGGTCATGTAGTAGTCATATAATAGTCATACGTCAGTCATTAATGCTTGGGATAGGAAATAGGCTGAATCAAATTATATTTCACTACTTTAAAGGATACATGTAGTAGGCCTAGAGCCTGAGTATAGTATGAGGGGGGGGGGAGAATAAAAAGCCCTCTGCAACATGTCAAGTCCATTCAAATGCTCCTGCTCCAACGACACCGTCGAGCAGCCCATTACCAAACCAACATCCATTGAATCCTCTGCATCTGAGTCCAAGTCGTTGCCATTCCCATTTGCACAGGAAATGGGGAGGGAAGAGAGGGGGTTGATGAATGCGCCACCTAGATTTGAGCAGGAGGTGTTGTCAGGTTAGGAGCTGTGGCCGCCACATTTGGTGGTAGTGATGGTGGGACCTGCAGACAAAGAGCATCGTCAGTGTCGTCAGTAAACCTGATGCCAACTTACCTCTTCATTGAGTCGCCGTCGCGTTTTCATGCAACATATGGAAGCCAGAAGTTGTGTTTGAACGAGGGAGCTCGCAATGGTGGTATCCTCGAGTGCTCGTTTTGTGTGTCGGATACATCCACAAAAGAGCAGAATCTGTCAATGAGGGTGTGCGCGGGTATAGCTGGTTGAGTGTCGAGGAAGAGTGTGTGAGGCTGTCATCGAAGTGACAAACACGTTCAAGTTCAAGACTGTCAACAAACTTTTCAAATTCAAACACAAAGCAATCATGTGACTTTCAAGCCAAGTCCAACTTAGCACAAGGGGGTACCAGGATTTAAATCCCGGACCAGAGGCTGGTTGGTTGGTTTGGCCCCCAGGCCGCTAATTTTTTTTTTGACATACCAAAATTTCAGTGCAAAACAGCAAGTGCTTGGACAGTGCTCAGATAACTGCCAGAATGCATGAGATTGAATATAATAGGTCCATCTGCATGCAAAGAAGCCAAAAACTACCTTCAAGATAAATTAGGACTTGGAATTGAGATGACATGTTGTGATACCCCAAACTTGAAGCTTGCTGCCCGAAAACTTGCCAAAAACAGCAGCCCCATGCAGTGACTTATTTAATTCAATGTAGCAGGCAGCTCAGTAGTTCAACTGTAATAATAAATTTTATGGTCAACTTCATCTTAGTATCATTTCAAGCTCAATGGGGAGCTCGAAAAATGGGTTTTCATGGCTAACTGGGCACTGAGTGATGGAAAAGGGAAAAAGGTGGCACGTGGATGACATCATATTTCCTAAAATGGGCATGTACCTGATTACGTTGGGTGGTTGGTTCAGACTAAAAATAATTTCGACGTCCGGTCCTTAATTTAAATCCCGGCACCCCCTTGACTTAGCACCGAAGTAATTTGTAACTTATAAGGCTCGAGTACATCACCAAAATGTGCAGCCAACAAGGAAAGGCAAGTTAAGGAATGGTGAGCCTATCAGACTGGACCTGAATAGGGATAACGAGGGGAAGACATGGCCTTTTGCACTAAATGTAAGCTTTGTGAACTGGCAGTCGGAGGAGGATGAGTGGAACCCACCATCACATCATCTATCACTGAACCCCCTCGACATCCTGAATCTGGATAAAGGCAAGCGGCAATGGGTCATCGCTCTGAGTGAATTATATGCAGGTGAGCAGTAAGTAGTACGGAACGTGACTGAAAGACGGACCGTTTGCCGCAATCTCACGAAAGCCTCCTCCCACCGTCACCCCCATTCATACCAAAGTTCGCACCATCCAACACATCACTGATAGGCATGGTGGAGTGCATGGCAATCAATATCGACAATCGTCATCAGTATCATGGTTAAGAGGTCTGGGTGAGTGTAAAGTCAATGATAGTTTTCTCCGAGACGTTTGACTTACGACCATCCCATTAATAATGCCTGTCTTGGAGTCCTCATTGTCCCATCGGCTCTCGGATGTTACCCCTAGCTTTTTCTTCCTCAACGAAACTGTGACACTGACACTCAACAGCACGAACACCAATAGAGTGACTTTCCCAGAGCGCTATACCCTGACCAACCCATTTACGCCAGCCAACATAAACCCCAAGGGGGTCCTAGGATTAAAAAAATAGACCTGGGGTCGATTTTTTTTTAAAGCCCTTACTGGCTTGACCTACCTACCTACGTAATCAGGCACGTGTCCATATATGGTAAGATGACATCATCATTTTCATCGCTTTGTCCAAGATGCCTCGCAAACCCAGTTTTGTGAATCTATTTCCTACCAAATGCAATGTAGATGATACTGGAATATAGGTGAGTGACTTGTAATTTTTATTGTATAGAACATATTTTAATGTTGGCAGATCTAAGTCTGTTGGCAAGTCTGGCTTATCCAAGCTTTGCAATTGGGCATGTGGTGTTTTACATAATTGGTATCAAGAACAAGTTTCTAAACAACTTGCCAGTAACTTGTAAGTGATGTTTAGTGACTGTACTGTAGCATTTCATTCAATTCGACAGGGCCCGTGATGCGTGACAGGTCTGTCGAAAATTTGGTTTTGACAACCTCACAAATTCGCCATGACAAGCCGAAAATTTGGGCAAATTTTCGACCATTTAACGCCACAGGCGACAAAAATTTTCGACATTTATCACAGAGCTCCAGACGATTTCGACACCTTACAAAAATCTGCGTGACCACCGTGACATTTCGGCAATTTGAAGGGCCCCGTGATGTGTGACCGTCGAATTGAACGAAATGCTACAGTATTTCTTTGGTTGTGCCAGCTTCCACCTTCAAGATGAGCTTTGTGACATTGACACTTGGTGGAGATTAGATAAGCTTGAAGAAATATTATATAATGCTTCAATATCATTGAATTCAGACTGATCTACATGCTTTGGAGTGCACTAGCACTACTAATTCGCAGGGGATGGCCTTCCAGGACTGTTTTTAGATCATTTTGTAGAGGATTCCATATATTTTTTTTCTCAGCCTGTGGCTGACCTACCTACCCAACCCCCGGTCGGACTTTGGAATCCTAAGACCCCCTTGATAAACCCGCACAGTCGGCTGTGTTGTTACCCGTCAAGTAAATCTTCAGTCTCGAATTCTGGAACAACAGTCTTAGTGCAGCTTACATGTGAAGGTGAGGCGTTTGTAGTATACCTCAGGCCAACCTCAGGCTCGACATATGCTACCGCATGTTGAGTTACTTCCTTATCTCGTGGACACCTATTTACGCAGGAGAGTTAGTATTGGCGATGACGGTGGACGGTGGAGAGGTGCCGAGTGACCCGATGGGAATGCTTCCTCGGAGCTCGGTCGCAATGCTCGAGGTGAATGATGATGATGGGAATGTCTGCCTACAAACAGTGTATCTACTCCGAAGCCCTTGCCAAACACAACCAAACATGCATCCCACAGTGTTGGAGTGTCGAGGCCCGACACTCCAACAGTAGGCACTGCGGGCACCCGGTCTTCAAAGTTCCGTAAACCCTTCCTATTTTGTTCCTCTGTTCAATGTTGAACCACGACCAACCTCACGAGCTCTCCAAATGGAATATAATCAAGGGGGCACTCAAGGGGGTCCTAGGATTAAAAAAATAGACCTGGGGTCGATTTTTTTTTTTAAGCCCTACTAGCTTGACCTACCTACCTACGTAATCAGGCACGTGTCCATATATGGTAAGGTGATGTCATCATCGTGGTCGCTTTGTCCCTCTACTTGCCTCACAGACCTCGCACACCCAATTTCGTGGAATGAAATGCAACATAGATGATACTGGCATATAGGTGAGTGACTTGTAATTTCTGTATGGAATATATTCTTACCCATTGTGTTTCACAGCCAAGCCTCTTACATTCAAGAACCCCATCCGATTGTGAGTCTGCCACCTTTCCACACAGGCATCCGTTTAAGGCTGGCATTTGCCTCAGAATGCACTTCCTTTTAGAACGGCCACTTTCTTCCAAGTTGGTACTACTTGCGGCTATCCCGGTGTCACTAACATTGCAGGCACTTGAGATGGTCTCCAATGGTGGCCCAAGAGCAGGGTGCTACATATCGTGTGAGTGCGTGTTCAACTAAGTATAGATGATATGCATGCTGTCCTTCTCCAAGCCCACATCGTCAATGGTGACATTTGTTGCTACATCTGTTACCGCCATGTCCCCACTTTCACCTACTACACCCTCAATCTCTACCATGACGTCGTGTTCATTTGCAGATTTCACGATACCCATCATGTCCTTCTCCCCTTCTTCAAACTCTGATGTCTGTTCTTCTGATCCAGATTCGGTGCCATTTGACTCCTGCTCATCCGAGCCATCCTCGAGTTCTGGAGATTCCATGCTTGCATGACTGGAATACCTCAGTGAGTCACTCTTGCACTAACAAATCGTTTTTTTGGCAAACATTGTATGTACCCTCTAGGAATGTCGGCGCGTTGGTCTGAATCAGCACCCCTCGACCCCTGCTCGTCCCAGTCATCCTTAAGTTGATGTGATACCATGGCTGCATGACTGGAACACTTATGGTGAGTCACTTTTCCACTAGCAATTTTTCTACAAACATACCCTGCAGGAATGTTGGTGTGATGGTCTTCTGATATGACAAGAGGTGGGTGTTTCTGTTGACGCTTGGTGGAGAAAATTTATGATTAGATAAGATTAAAGAAATATTATATAAAACTTGAATATCATTGAATTCTGACTGATCTACATGTTCTGGAGTGTATTGGCACTGCAAACCTGCAAGGTATGGCCTTCCAGGCCTGTTTTGAGATCCTTTTGTAGAGGGTTCCATTTTTTTTTTTTCTGGGCCTGCGGCCGACCTACTTACCCAACCCCTGGTCGGACTTTGGAATCCTAAGACCCCCTTGGGGGCGCTGATAACAAACTCGGACATTCATGACAGGATACCCGAGGAGAACGAATGGAATTCTTACGATTCAATATTGTTGAAGGGCGTCGTCGGGTCGGATGACCCAGTCACAGCGCCGAGACACCGGAAGCAAACACCGCCAAACATATACATATATCTATCTCAATCGCTCAACAATCGCTGTGAATGCCGCACTTAACTAGCTCTGCAGCCTGTAACAACGGAAACTCGTAGATACACGCGTCGCGAGCGCTGGATTAATGTCATCAAGCACGTTGCAGTAATCAGAGACCATCTAATATATTCCCGAACCCGCTTGGAATCCGCCTTTCAAATTACACCTTCCTAACTTGGAGTGGGAGTTGAAGTTTACCGCCTTCGCCAACCACAGACGGGGTCGCGACAGAGGTCATTTGCCAGAATATATCCTTGTTTGATGGAGAAAAGTGGAAAGATTCGATTAGGAGTGATAGCACAACCTCTGAATGAGAAAATAACTGGTGATGAGAAAAAAAATGGTCGAGATGTCGATCGGTAGACGTACTTATTTCAAGTTCCGCAAATTTGAAGCCGCTGTCGGGTATTGTGGTCAAGGGAACTTGCACAAAAGTTAATGGAAGACGTACATGCAAGCTCGGCCACCTCCTATAAATGTCATCCTGTAATCTTGTTAACGCTGACAATAGGGTGATGCAACCATGGGCGACGTACAGGTGGGAGTAAACTCCTGGAATATGTGCGCTAGAGATGGATGGAGGAAGAGGAGCAAGCCACCTTTCCGGAATCCATTCCATCGAATTAGGACCCCATATATCTGGGTTGCGGTTAGCCCCGATTATTGAGATGATAACATTTGTGTTATTTGGAACAGGAATTTCGTAAACATCCTCTCCGTTGAGGCCTTTCAGGGGTTTCGAGAGGGGCATAATGATATCTTGCCGGGTTCTACATGTTTAAATGGGGCCAGAGAAATTTGACGAAGGTTCAATAATCGGAATGAGAGCGTGCACGTACGTTCTTGAGAGATATGATACTGGGGGATAAAGGCGAAGAGATTCTCTGCAGACCGCATCCAGATATGGGAGCGAAACCAGTCCGTCGTATGTAAGGTCTCCAGCCTTGGCACGGGCCTCAGTGACCTCGCGCCGTAATTTCTCCTGGACCTCCTGATGCTGCGCTAATAGGTGCAAGGTACGCGAAAGCGCACCAGACGTTGTGTCCATAGCGGCAAATGTTAAACCTCTGAAAAAAAACGTGATGGGGTTTAAAGAAAGTCGGTTTCGACACACGTGTGCAAGGCGAGAACGCACGACACTTGCGCAACAAGTTCAGACTCCTCGAGCTTGTCCTCCTCTGCCGCATCCATATTGGCTCTCACTGCCCCATCAATCAACGAAAATAATAATAATCAGATATGAAGGAGCGTTGACTGACTGAGAATGCTCATAACGTCCCTTTTCTGCCCAAATTGTCTTGTAACGTCTTCATCCCCGTTCAACAATGCTCTCTTTTTTGATTCGAAGATCTCCGAGGAGGCGCTGTGCATGGTATCGACGATGTCACGCACAGCATGAAGGTTTTTCCATGGGAGCAGATCGACGACGAAGCGGCGGAATTTTGGGCTACCGATGTTGGTCATATACGACAAGTATGAACGGAAGAATGCAATTCGCAGTAGGCCGGGCCTTGAACGAGGGTTAGTTGTCATTCAAACTTCATCTGGAGTTGTGAACTAACAAGAGCGCTTTGATTGACTCACTATACGGATTCGGGGTGGTATCTTCTTCGAAAGTATCGAAGGAATATCCAAATCCACCCTGACCTATCATTTCAAGCGCTGTCCGACCCATCCACGAGGCCATGTCGATCTAAGAGGGGGTGGATCAAGAAAGTATAGAATTTTTGGTGACGGATTCACCTCTTGAGGACCGTTTTTGACCTTCTTTGTGATTGCATCTCGAATCTAAAGTAGAATTTGAGTTCGTATTGGTATGTCCAGAGCCAGTGACGCGATATTGACTTTATGAGTTATACTGTAGAAAACGGGTACTGAAAGGGCGTTGAAAAACACGAAGAATCAGAAAGTATAAACGACGACTGACCCATCCCACGCATGTGCGCAATGGAAAATACGGGGTTCAACATTTTCCTCTGCCGCCGGTGGTAATCCCCTTCCGGGAAGTGAGATGGAGGATGTATAGTAGAATTCAACAGGGCCACATACCTAGGGTACAGAACACAGCTTTGCCGAAAAGTACGAGGTTAGTTCTAAAAAGCCAGACCATCAAAAATGGTCAATGAAAGCGAGGAATAATTACTGAATAAACGCCGATGTTTCTTCGTATACATATTGATCCTAAACACGTTGCAGTCCTCAGTGAAGACCGACATCAGCTACTACCAGTGCTGACGGACCTTTACAAGGATGTGATGCAAAGCCTTCGGATCGAACACGTAAAGTTGTTTTTCCTATATCGTTCAAACAAATATCAGAACGTGCACTTCGCATAAGGGAGGTGACCCACGCCAAAGACGGCCTTGACTTTGACAACGCCTCCGTCTAATATACTTTTCAGCAGGTCCCTTCATCAATACGTAAAATGGTACGTACACTTGGCCGCGATTTCCTTATGAAACTCCCAACCATGAGTGGAGAACAATTGCCGAAAGTTTCCTACGATCAATCTCTTTAGTAGGAATGGTCTGCTTCGCGAAAGAGATATCGTACCTTTGAAGAACGATGGGCAAGGAGGACCCGGGATGTTATCCAAGGCCGTCTTCACTGCGAACCGGCGGACTAGATGCCAGTACGCCAATGATAGAGCGCATAACAGTATTCCTTGAAAGATTAAAGTGAGCATGGGACGTCAGTTGGGTGGATAAATAGGTATGCCTCACATATATACCGTACACCCGAGCCAAAAGCAGCAGAAAACGCCAAGTCGAAGTAGAGCCGAGTACATCTGGACAGATTGAATTGGATGTAGTCAGCTGGAGACGGGTATGACGGGATATAACCGAACACGATGAACACCCCTCACGAACCTAGTATCTGTGTAGATGAGTGGCCGTGGGCGCCTTGATGGAAAGCTCGTCAGAATATGTACCAATGGCCTCGTTGATGAATTTCCACTCGGACAGACACCCAAGATTGGGAAAAGTCCCTGCATTGCAATAATGTTCAATCCGAGCGACAAGCATAAAAACTCCAGTCAATGATGGCCACAATGCGTTCTCACTTACATTCCAAATCCCATTAAAAAAGTTTAGTGTGTTTCGTATGCGTTTGTAAAGTGGTCAGGCTGGAGATTGCGGTGGGTCGCAAATCAATTGCATATGCCAACCCACACGGCAAACAAAGGTCTTGACATTCCTAGCAGGGGTTCCATCAGAAGTTTGCAAGTGGAGCATCCCGATCTGATCAAAAGTGCTGCGAGGTGAAGTTTCTTAGAGAGAATTCAGAATTTGTTCAGAATCAAACTTACAGTAAAGAGAATTTTTCAGTCGTCAAAGCGTCACGACGTGACTTGTGGCGATGCTAAGGACAAACAACTGCCTCACCCACGTCTGCTCGAGCCTCGCTCTTCAGTCTTGCCTCTTCTACCACAACGTTTTCAAGGTTGCCCCAAAACTAAGCGGGACTAAGCTGCCGTTTTTTAGATGGCCACAGCCTTTTCTCAAACAAAAGTGACCAATCGGACATCGTTAGGGAAGCCTGAGCAGTGAGGATGGGGATGAGCAAGGAATGAGAGTAAATTTGTGCTCTCGGACTCAGCTGTAAGTCGCACGGTGTACTGGTATGTTACAATGATTGCGCAGTTAGTTGTCCACTCCAGTTTTCAGGAGCTCGTTTTCTTCTCCGTGTTGATATTCAGAGTGGGCGCCGTCGAGTGAAATGCTGTGTCCGCAAGCGACTCCCGTTTGTAGCCGTCAGTTTTTAACGCTAGATAAGTATCTAGATTCCAGATAGACCGGCTGTAAAACGTCAAGTTCCTCCCTTTCTGTCGACAGTTATCATCAACAGCGGGCGCCCAAAAGCTGACCATGCATTTCTACGACTATGGCAACAACAATGATTTCCTCGAGCAAACCGACATGATTAAACCTTCCTGGTTATTTGCGCAAGAGATTTTCCCAACAAGCCAAGGCACAGGATTCAAAGGTGGGCTGGGCAAGGTCTAGCTACTTCTCCGACGAAATGGGCTGTGGATCTACAACAGCCTTTGTATTGCCATGAGGTGTGGCGGTGAGCTTGAAGCGCCTGTCATCACTTGGTTATATATATCAAGGGAGTACAAGCCAGCCACGCAACCTCTGGGTTTCTACACACGATGCCTTTTGTCCACGGCGATATGCTCCTAGCCTGTCCAAGGTTTACAAGTGCCTACATATATCGGCGACCAATCCCGTCTTCGTTCAGGCAGGTCTCTCGCCTTGCGAAGAAGACAATCAGGACGGACGATTCGTCTACAACGTCTTCATCAATAGACAATTCTACGATTCTGGAGGCGTGGATAGAACCGTTACCTCAAGTAGATGGTGGCACAGGTCCGTTGACTTTCCTTACGAAACGAACAATCACTGCCATTTTTATTAGAGAACGGACTGTGATTGAAAGACAAGTGGCAGGGGTAAATATTCTATACGTCTATTACTGTCGACTGATTTAACGTCTATCGACAGGAGCTATCGAGACCACCCATCCCCGATAGCTTGTACCCAACAAATCCCCCCACATGTATGATTCCACCGTAGAAGCGGATGAAAAGATAGAGTCAATCCTTCTCAGGCAGACCCAATAAAGATCGCGCATTTTATCCGGTTCATCTTTGACGTCGCTCTTCGCTGAGTTATCTTCGGGAGAGTGGAAAATTGAAGTCGAGTCGTTATTCATGGGGACTTTATTCATCGCGAACATGTACCTGACTCTTTTAGTTTCTTTACCGCTGCCAGTGATCTGCATGTAGTTACGCTCGATTAGAGACGTGAGGAAGCTATGTATCAATTCCGTTTCAATAGGCGTCGAAATGTTGGTGAAGAGCTCGAGGAAGGACCCATGAAGCGATTGTAACGAGTAGCACTCACGAGCTGTGGTAGTGGTGCAGTAACGTACAAGGTGGAGATATTGCAAAGCGCGCATTGTTGAAGTTTATCGGGCAAAAAATGGGTGAACACCTGAGGTGAAAACATACACGAATGTACCGATGTAATTAGGTTTACATGCACGGTATCTGTCTAAAAGTCGACCACATGCATGCTTTTTGTCTACACCACATCTCTAATGAACGTCTATAAATTATCACAAAAGCCAGTCTGTCTTCGGGAGCGTTTGACTTGGCGAGTGAACGGTGGTGTGGGTTCTCAGATCGCAATAGGCAGCAGTCCGAGTGTGGGGTGGGTGACTTCAAGGTATACTTTTCTCCAATATTCCTACTAACCAACAGTCAGCCCACCGACCACAAAATCTCAGCAAAAAATAAATTCAACTCACCCTTCCGTTGTGTCTACTTCTTCCCCCCCTTCATCCTCATCCTCGTAGCCTGGTCCAACACAACCTTCCTCAACCTAACACTACTCGGCGTAACCTCCACAATCTCATCATCACCCATATATGCCAGCGCCTCCTCAAGCGTCATAACTCTGGGCGATGCTAAAACAATCTTCTCATCTGCGCCTGCGGCTCGGATGTTGGTGAGCTGTTTTTTGATGCATGGGTTTAGGTAGAGGTCTTGGGATTTGGCGGATTCGCCTATTACCATGCCGGGGTAGACTGGATTTCTGGGTTAGGAAGGGTGAGACTTGGGAGGCAGGGTTGGGGACGAACCTTGTGTTTGGGGATGGATAAAGAGCGTTCCGCGTGCTTGGAGCGGCGCCATTGAGTATCCGGACGATTCACCCGCTGCCATCGATATCAATGCTCCATTCCGGCCTGTATCAATAGCCCCTCTATACGGCTCGTATCCCTTGAATATATGATTGATCGTCCTACCCCCCAAAAAGAAAAGAATCAGCAACGACCAAAAAACACGGAACCAAACACAAACGACTCACCCCTGCCCATGAACATCATTCTTAAACTCGCCCGCCATATACCCAATCAACCCCCGTGCCGGAACCTCCATAACAACCTTAACCCACCCATCCTCCTCCGTATCATAACTGACCATCTCCCCTTTACGCAACGTAAGTTTCTGAACCACACTCCCCGCATATTCCTCCTTCACAAGCACCGTACACTCTTCTATGGGCTCCAACTTCCCCCCTGGCTTGCTTGGGTCGGGGTCGGGGAGCATGACGGCTTTGGGGGAGCTGATGCCGAGTTCGTACCCCTCCCTGCGTAGAGTTTCGAGTAGGACGCCGAGGTGGAGGACGCCTCTACCGCGGAGCTCGAGTGATTCGGATGTTGGGCCTGGTAGGACTGTTAGGGCAACGTTGGTTTCGGCTTCTTTGTAGATACGGTCGCGGATGAGTTGGGAGGTGAGTTTTGTGCCTTCTTTGCCGGCGAGGGGGGAGTCGTTGGCGTGTACGAAGATGGAGATGGTAGGTGGGTCTATGGGTGTGGTCTGAATTTTTTTTTCATATTAGACTGATGTTAAACAAGGTGAGAAGGGGAACGTACGGGAAGCGCTTGGGGTCCCTGGTCACCCCACCCCTCAGGATGCACAAGCGTAACGTTAACACCAGCTCCAGTTTTCGTCTTAACCCCCGCAACGCTCACTATCTCCCCTGCACCAGCTACACCCCTCTCGATCCTCTCTAGCCCCCTCCTCCCATATATCTTCTTGACCTTGCCTTCTCCAACTTTATTACCCTCCGGGTCTAAAGCCCACAGGGTATCACCGAGTTTGAGGATACCGCTATGCACCCGGCCGAGGAGGAGTATCCCCACGTATGGGTCGCTCTCGATTTGGACTGTGAGCATTGAGAAGGGCGCGGTACGGTCCAAGTGGCTAGGGGGCGGCACGTGTTTCAGGATGAGCTCGAATAGCGGGGTCATGGTGATGTCGTTGGTGGTGGTGCTGGGAGGGGGGAGCGTGTCCTGTGCCCAACCTTGTTTTGCGGAAGCGTAGAGGAGGGGATAGTCTGCTTGTTCGTCTGTAGCTCCTAGCGTTGCGAAGAGGTCGAAGAGGTCGCTTTCGACTTGAGCGGGTCGGGATGTCGCTCTGTCTGCTTTGTTCAGAACGACGAGTGGTCTAAGTAAGAGAGTCAGCATGTAAATAAAAAAAAAGATGAAAAGTGGCAATTACCTCAAACCCCTACTAAGCGCCTTTGAAAGGACGAACCTAGTCTGTGTCATGGGTCCCTCCGTAGCATCCACAATCAACGCCACGCCATCCACCATACTCATAATCCTCTCCACCTCACCTCCAAAATCCGCATGTCCAGGCGTATCAACGATATTGATCAAGTTGCCGTTGTACATGACGCTAGTGCATTTAGACAAGATGGTTATACCACGCTCGCGTTCGAGGTCGTTGGAGTCCATTAGGCGGGTGATGAATCCGTCGTCTATAGGGCTGTCGGATGTGGTTGTGGTGGTTGACGAGGAGGATGATGACGATGATGAGGAGGAAGTGGGGGTGAAGAGCAGTTGCTCTGTCGCTGTTAGCTGTTTGACAGTCCCGGATTGACGGAGGAGTTGGTCGACTAGTGTTGTTTTTCCATGGTCGACTAGAGACGACGTTAGTTAGTCTTACTGGGGAACCGTAAAAATGAGATGATACACACACCATGAGCTATTATGGCGATGTTACGAATCCTTTCGGGTGCAGCGACGCCATTGTCAAAGGCTTCTGCGAGAGACCGGTGGGTGGATGAAAACGCGCGACGTAAATGTCGTTGGGTTTTGAAGGAGCTTCTGTAGACGGGTAAATCAACTTTCCATAGTCTTGACCGTAAGGCTGATGAGAGCATGAGCGTCGCTGCTCAGGACGTAGTTGGTGTGCTGGAAGGCAAGAACTGAAATTTTTGGAAAAACGTCACAGAGTCACATGGTTTCCAGTTACGTGATCAATTCGCATCTTTCTCAACGTCGACTAAGGCTAGCTATGAACGGCGACGAGTTCAAGACGCCTCTCAATAGACGATACAATGCTCGGTCGACGGCGACTAAACGGGATTCTTTGGCTGCGGAACTGGAGAAAGGCACGTCTCTTTCAATTCTAGCGACCGAGAACAACGTTCTAATGCTCTACTACAGACCCCCAGCTCTCGACGGCGAAGCGCCAACAACGAGCTCAGGTATTCAATTCAACCATGTCTCATGCAAGCCTTGAAAGGCAGTTGTTAATGGCGCAAACGACAAATACCGAGTTGGAGAAGAAGTTGTTGCAGAAAGACCTTCAAATTGAGAAGCTGGAGAGGGACAGGCGGTGGTTGTCGGATAGGGAGAAGGAGGAGAGGGAGGAAAAGGATAGGGAACGCGAGACCCATGATGAGGACAAGGTAAGTCCTCCCCGGGGCCCAAGCAAACACTCTCACTGACCGCCATGTATAGAGACGATCGGATGCTGAGCTGAGGTCAATGCGTAGCTCACTAACAGCTACACGCGAAGAACTAGTCGACTTGCAAGACGCGCACTCAGCCTTGTCTCGAAGCACATCCCAAACCATCGCCTCGCAAAAATCCCAAATCGCCACTCTCACTCGCCAGACGACGATTCTCGAAGAAGAGCTTTCTCACGCAAAGGCCACTGCCGAGGACCGTAGCAAGGCACTGACGGAACTCCAGCTTCAACATGACGAACGACCCACTTCGTCCGACGTCACCTCAGACTCCTCAGATGACATGCGCATCGTAAGAGAGGAACTACACCGGCAAGCTGCATATCACCGGACCCTCGAGTCAACCAACGCCCATCTCACAGCGGAGCTGGCTGTGCTCAGAGAGCGACACGCGAGTGTAGAGGTGTTGCGGGAGGAGAAACGCGGTTTGGAGAAGAAGCTGAGCGTGTTGGAGGAGATGAGGGAGCGAGTGGTGAGGCTGGAAGCGCAGGTTGAGGCTGGGAGACGGGAGAGGGAGGCATGGGCCAAGACGGAGACGGATAGCGTGCTCAGTCAGACTTTGTCGGATTTGAGGCTTACCCATGCGCGGCTGTTGGAAGAGCATGGGGGCACGGTGGCGCTTTTGCGGAGCCGTGAAGCGGAGATTTTGGATTTGACGAGGAGGGAGGAGGAGGCGCTGGTTAGTGTTGGTGAGCTGCAGGATGCTTTGAGGAAGGCGAAGGACGAGGTGTCGAGGCACCAGACTCGGGCGGCGTTGGCTGATAGAGAGGTTGGGTTTACCAAGGCGCTCTTGGTAAGTGGCATGTTGTACCGTTCTTCTTTCCTTACCTTGGGCCTTAGGCTAGCTACAAGGCTGAAGAAGAAGTACCCATGGCGCCCGACTCGCAGCTTGAGTCATTACTTGAAGAGTACAAAACTACAAACGCCGCATTATTGAGGCAAGTCAAGGAAAACTCTTTTACGCTGGAGTTGGATAAGGAACGACAAGAAAAGGCCGCACTCCAACAAGGTACGGCGTCTCACTGTATTTCTATTCATGCTCACTCTCCACCCAGAACTTGATCAACACTTCACAAAGATCGAAGCCCTCGAACAGACCCTATTCGAACTCTCGGGCGAAATTGCCGGAGGGAGACACGTCCCTCCCAAAACGCGGGTTCTCTGCCTGAAAGAGAACCCGGACCAGCAGTGGGTGGATCTCCGACAAGCCGCTATGGACCGGTTGAAAAGCGAGAATGAGGCTCTGCTGAAGCGGTTGAAGGATCTTGAGGATACTGGGGTGAGATTGGGAGGAGCGGAGGAGGACCTCGTACCGAGGGAGAGCTGGGACCAGGTCGTCAGGGAGAAACAGGACCTTGAAGGCGAGGTTAAGCAGAAGGAGAAGCGATTGTTGAGGCTTCAGCAGGTGCGTTATTTATACCGCTGCGCGATAGGAGGCTTTACCCCGTCAAACTCAGATATTCACCTCGAAGAGCGCCGAATTCAGAGAAGCCATCGCCTCCATCCTCGGACTAAAGCTAGCTTTTTACCCAAACGGACAAGTACGCGTGACGTCCACTTACGACCTCAATGCGTCTTTCGTGTTCCAGCCTACGTCCAACACGGGCGGGATGAAGATGCAGCTTGTGGCGCAGGGTGAAGGGGGTCCGCAGGATTTACCGAATTTGATGCAGTATTGGATTGAGACGGAGCAGTGTCCGCCTGGGTTTATGGCGAGTGTGACGTTGGAGTGTTATGATAATTGGAAGCGGAGTGGCGCGGGGGTTGCTAATGGTTGAGTTGTTGGGTACCCTGGATTTTTGCGAGACTTATTGCAAGGGAGCGGCGATGTTATTCTTTAGAGAGCTCTTGACAACCGCTTATGGATCGGGATGAATTCGGAAGGTTAAAGCAGACCGTCGACGACTGAAACTCCCTTGCGAGGGGGAGACGGATCGGGAGCGGGAATGTTGGAATCAAAAGCGGTTGTCGGGGAAGAGCACGATAACCCAAATAGTGGTGCCCAAATGGCAGGATGCGCATCAGTTATAAGTATATCACCTGCGGGGTGGTTTGAATCCATGCATCTCGGGGGTTACTTTTCTTGTGGTATTTGAAATTGGCGCTATCCACAACGACGTCATTAACACCGGGCCGGAATTGGCTGGTGAACAAATCAAAGAGGTTGGTCTGGACAAGCCTAGAGACTCAGCCTGACTTTGCGATGCAGACGTAGAAAGACGGCCAGAACATGTTTTCCAAATGAACCAGGAGGGATGGTTGGGGGCACTTAAGCTAGACCAACCAAGACCAGCCTTCCACGCTAGCCCAGCTCTTCTCCAGTCGAGGTATAAAAGGCTATGTTTCTTTCAGGAAACCTCGCAAACCGAATATCTGAAATGACATCCCTACCTCTCTCCACTCGATTGGGAAGACCATCGCTTCCCTCCCATCGACCTCTCCCTATGAACGTCCTCAGCCTGAGACGAAGTGCACACAGCCACGCGGAGTACCATGTAAATGCTTTCGCAAAAATCGCATTTATGACATTTAATAAGAATTATACACAGCACGTACCATTTTCTTACTCAAACAGAACAACCTTTCGTTTGAAAGCATTGGCATTTTTTGGGACAGCATTTGCCATTCCTTTCGTTGCGGTGTGGTGGGGCTGGTAAGCATATCTCTCCTACTCACCACTGTCGCAGTACATTGACTTCATTCTTTAGGAACAGGAAAGGGGGTCTTAACAACCCGTGATCAGGCATTCCTCAAGAAAATTTTGTATACCATGCATATGTAGATGAAGTGCGAAGTTGACGTGTACAGTTGTATCAATGCTATTTTACTTGTAATACTTGGAATCATAGATAATTTTTATCATTCGGCAAAATCAGATTGTGGCTCATTCCTAGCCGCTATTTGTTTCGGCCCCTTGTCATAATACTAAATTACTCGGGGTAAGAGCATGACTTTTACAGTGTAACGGAGTCAATGAGCAGGATATCATCGCAGCCAAGAAAATTGCATGAAGGTGAAACTGATGGCAACTGTACCCAGTATTGATGAAAGCGTTTCGCAAGTGACTCATCCTATGACGAGAATATGTCTCTTTCACGTTGTCGAGATATCGCCGCACTTCGGTTTATATGATAATTTTATTCACCATCAGGTATTGGAACTCGCGTAGTTTGGGAATAGGTAATTAGGCTATGTGTTTACCTGCCCTCTTGATCCGACTGAAATGACCGTCTGGTGTCCGATTTTCGATATTAATCAGAGATATTTCTTCTGTGAAGAGTCAACTCACAAGGATGTCATCAAATTTCAGGCTTGATTTAGATCGGCTTGACAACGTCTATTACCGTGCACTCACTGGCAAATAGATTCCACACAATGTACTTCGAAGGCGTAGCCGACTACTCAATCTGTGAGCTCAACCTTACCAGCAGAAGGTTAAGCTTCCTCCAGCACCCCCCTTTTTATATCATAAATAATATGGAGAGGTTTATGGACGGCACAAATCCCTGCTGCGAATATCTACCGAAAACACTGCATGCCCCCTTCTTGCACAGGACATCTTGACTTGGCGTTTTTTCCTCGACTTCTCACATCACGTTTGAGTACCACACGGACGTTATAGGAAGGTTGCTTGTAGGTGAGTGGTATATCTCTGATAGGACAACGGTTTTGAAATTCCTTCAAACACTTTTTTTTTGCGATAGGTGGACAACATGTCGACTGCAGCTCTTAAGGTGGTCTTTATACTGGAATTCTGGAGTATCTTACAGAGCTACGGAACTCGAGATAAAATTTCTCAATAAAACTGGGATACATATACTCTTGGCTACAGAGCCATCACATCAACCCGCGAGTGGCGGAGCTTTATTGCGTCCAGGAAGTTGGAACTTATCGTCCGGCCGCAGAAAGCCTGCATGGGATTTTCTCGGGTTGACTCAGCAAGATGTTGCCGATCTTGAGTTTGTTTTCTGGTTGTTGAGGCCTGTCGCGATGCGGATGCGCACAGTGCGGCGATGGAGAAGCTTTTCTCTGCGATTATGTTGCCGTGTGCTGGTATGCGACGGGTGGAGATTGGGTGGCGACAACGGCTGTGCGAACACCTCGACGTCGAATGCATGCTTCCAACAATCTGAATTTTATAGAGGCACTAGGGCCACTGGCCAATGACTTTGAAACTTGAGAACAGGGATATCTCCGTGCTATGGTGCCGTTGCATCCAAGTCGAGTGCCAGATGTTATCACGGAGTCACAAACAACCGACAATAATCCGACTTGTCATTGTTCGTCCACGTGTTGATCAACTTGATGGATGTTCAATTTTTTTCCTTTGTCCTGAACAATGGCGTAGTCATCCGCACAATGGCCCTCGACTCAGCAGCCACTGACGATTCGAATTCCGTATAAATATGGCTGGATATCAAGAGTGTTGGTCAACAGGTTGACTTCCTGAAGATTCTCTTTTAGACTCGTTTGTTATCGGCTTGATTCCAGGTGGTGAGCGCACATCATTCAAACTTGGTTCGCCTCATGCTCAATTCCACTCTAGAACATTATCTTCGAAACATTATTACGCCTTTTCTTCTCTTGTATCAACTTGGTGAGCAACACTTTCGCGGTCACAGCTCTCCCAATATTCTGATCATCCTCAGTAGCTCACGGAAACATTTCTGCTTCACGACAATCGCCGGTCGATCCCTTGACGATAGTCTACTTTCGCTTTCTCTTTGACCGATTATCCGGACTCTTAATGGCTTCCAACACCAGCCTCACTCAGGCCATCAACTTCCTGACACGACCCCTAATTCCTATTTACGCCCCAGCGATGATCAATAACCTCCAACACATTTTACGCTCCACCCTCAACGCCGCATATCCCCCTTCTCGCACTAAGCACTTTACACTGTCGTTCTCAGCTGCCAATCACCCTCCACGACCCATCTACGCCACCTGCATCGCCACTGGTATCCTGTGGTCCGATTGGATCCGCCTCCTCAGTCAAAGTCGCGCTTTTGACCTCCTTGTGGAGCCCAACTCCGTCATCGTCCGCTTTGTGGGACAAACTATCACCATCTGGACCCAGGCACCCCTCACCGAAGTAAAACGATCCCCCCTTTCCCAACAGAACTATGAAGACCGCCAAATTCCCATCAGCAAATTCGCACAGCACCACCACACTCGAACACTAGCTCAGCAAATCCTAGACTCCAATCACGAAGAAGAGGAAGCCGACGAGCTGTTCGCCCTGATCTCGGACAAAACTCGTGGATGGATCGTCTCACCCACACCGACGCGCGAGAAATTCGTTATCCCCTCTCTCGTCATGCCGGTCGTGTCCCCGCTTTCTTCCCCGGAACCAAGCTCGCGTTCCAGTTCACGCTCTTCGTCTACTGTGTCCGACTCGGAGAACGAGCTCGAGGAGCGCGTGTTTGTGGATAGCACGAAGAAGGAGGTGACAAAGTACTTATATCAAGGCGGCGTTAGCTCTGTGTTGACTGGAGGCGTGATGCTTGGGAAGGCTAAACCTACTCACGGTGCCCCTTCTTGGAGACGCCGCGTTTGAATGCTTTGAATGGACATCTCTGTATTGTTACTTATTGTGTATCTGTATCCTAAATTGTAGCCCCTACAGTTCCCTTTCGCTCCTCATCCACGTGTTTGACGCCTTGCAATTGCTTATTTCAATGATATTTGATTTCCGCACCAGGATGAACTAGATCCTCTGCAAATCCTGCTTTTGATCGCGCTATGCTCGAGCGGATATCACTCATGGTTGGCTGTGTGACCAAACAAAATTAATGCAAATCCAACTTCTGACCGTTCATGCAGCCTCATACAAGCGGATTTCACTCATTGGGCAGGTTTTGGATTGACTCTCCGCGGACCCTTTCAAGTATCGAATCTCCCCGCGTGTGCTTTCTGGCATCAAAACGTCCGATGATACCGCGGTAAATAAGTCTACAACACAGCAATGAATAAAGTTCGAGCGTTCATTAGAGGTGGATCTAAATAGGAGGATCTGCTCATGGTTAGAAGGTACATAGGAAACACAAAATCCATTCATTTAGTGTATTCACTAGGGATTCAACACATGGCCGAATGAGAACGAGAGAGGTGAATGTCATGGTGCAAATCGGCACGCGAACAACTTCGAGGCGAAGGAGCTCGATCAAGGTATGGGCCATCCTCTTCATAGCAGGGAGGCGAACGGCCCAGCCCTTCCTGTCGCGGTAGAACAAAATATCACCTTCATAGGGAATTTAAGCACGGCACAATTCAAAATAGAGCACACCAGATTTTACCTTCGTTTTCGACAAAGTGACGCTTGTTATAGTGCCCTCACAACGCCCGGGACACGGGTTTATCGGAAAAAGCATAGTCTTCTCCCAAAAACGCTTTTAACTGTCGAGTAGCTCCGGGGCCGTGATCTACCCAGAGACTGAAGCTTTACTTAGTACGAGATGCGGCAATTTCAATCACAAAAAGGCATCTTCGGGAAGAAATGGGCGACATTATGGAGGAAGAAACGGCCCTGCCATCCGAGGAATGGCCTGGCGCCGCGCTGGAAATGTCATTCTTTTCTGCCACAATGAGGAATTGATGAGGAAGCTCTGGGTCTGTATGTTGCAAGTACTTAGCTGATCATGATAACTTTGGGTTGGCTTCTGTCAGGAAGGAGAATACCTGAGCGAATATTGACATACACCAGTGAGTGACCGCGAGCCAGGGGATACCATAATACTTGATAACATTGGCAATGCCATAGACGAGGCTTGACGACAACCCAGACCATGAAGGCAATTCCGATGTTGGATATAATGACTGCTTGGTATTGAGCTCTGGTGAATAAAATTCAATGGGCTATATGCAGCCAATTCGGTTCTGCAAGCGGCATATCAACACGACGAAGGAAGCTTCCGGTTGAAATGATTCCGAGTCCACCTCCGATATGTCTTTTGCCCGGAGACATTGAATACTACGACCACACAATCTGAGTGTGATTGCTTGACTGAAGCAAACAATAGGGCGATATGCGGGAAATCAGTGTAAGTAGTAGAAGACGTTGCCAGTATTTACATAACCTGCCCTCCACGAAATTTCGTAGATCTCGAATGGTGTTTGAATGGCGAACCACCGAATGGACCATTAGAATCTACAAGTTGAACTTGCGTTGAACTTCAAGTCAAGAATTTTCTGATGCCATAATTACGGCGGTTAAGTTCCAGTTGTTGACAGGAGAATTGCGCAAATTTACTTCTATTGTTTAGTAAGTTCTCCCACGGCACACTTCCGGATCTGGTTGGCCGGTGCAAAGTTATGTAACTTGGCTAACGGAGCAACACACATGCCTCGCGCGTCTTTCGTTCCTTCCCATATCCGACGTCGATCTATGATTTACTCTTTCAAAGTACTGTGTCAACATCGAGGCAGGATTCCCACGTGGCATCACTGGTTACTCGGTGTTCAAAAAATTTCAGGGTTACGAGGTTCGTCTGATTAGAGAACAACCTACTCTTTTCCTGATTAGCATCGAGACAGGCGTATGAGCTATGACCGTGTATGCCTCAGATCAGTTGAAGCTCCTCAAATACTCATGTGAATCCAATCTTCTTGGTGTTGCCTCACCCAAGCCACGGCAATGCTCTCTCTCTTCCGCGATGGTCCAGAATACATCCAACGCACTAAAACACCATTTTCGCCCACGAAGGTGAGGTACTTGTCGACGGACGCCTCATTCGCTTATGTACCCGCCGGCAGGTGACTCTAGCCGAAGTCCGCGCCGTCGTTCCCAAGGTACTTTACCAGAAGCACACCCTGACTGGGCTCGCTTACGTTGCTCGTGATGTCTTGTGTGCTTTCGCGCTTTACAACTTTGGGTGGTTCATCGACCCACTTGCACGGTCTCTTGTTGAAGATTATGGGTGGTCGTTACTCTTCGGCGTCGCATCAAAATGGTCCATTTGGGTGCTATATTGGTATTGGCAGGGAATCATCCTCGCCGGCTGGTGGTGTTTAGCTCATGAAGCAGGCCACGGCACACTCTCACAATACAATTGGGTCAATCACATTGTTGGATACTCTTTGCATACAGTGAGTGCTCTCATCTCCTCCGCGCCGCAGTGCAGTAATCCAATCAAAGTTTCTTCTCGTTCCTTACTACGCCTGGAGATCCACCCATCATGCCCATCACAAAGCCACCATGTCCGTGGAACGCGACGAAAACTATGTCCCTCGCACGCGTCGATATTACAGTCTTCCTTTGGAATTCACTGCGACCCCAGGTGACTACCGCGAAATATTTGAAGAAACTCCGATATACACGCTCTTCCGTATGCTCCTTATGCAGGCTGTAGGGTGGCAGTATTATTTGTGCTCCAATGTCATGGGCTCGCCGATGTATCCTCCCGGTACCAACGTCAGTTGGATTTACAGAGAGTTTACCTGGCGTTCTAATCATTCCATCAGCACTTTCAACCTTCCTCGCCTCTTTTCAAACCCCACGAGCGAAATGGGATTATCGCCTCCAATATCGGTCTCGTTATCATGTCGTTCATCCTCTATATTTGGACTAAAGAAGTTGGCATCGTGAATTTTATCAAGTTTTACTTTGTCCCGTACTTGGTATGCACTTACTCGATCCATGAAAGTACACTTATATCATTTCTCGCAGCTTGCAAATCACTGGGTCGTCATGTTAACATACCTCCATCACTCCGATCCCACCATAGCTCATTACCGCAGCAAGGAGTGGAATTTCCTCCGCGGAGCTATTTCTACCGTTGACCGACCACTTTTGGGGTGGGTTGGGCGTTTCTTTCTGCATAATGTTTCTCATGACCATGTAAGTGGTGTTTTGCGTTCTTCACCACGGCCTCACGTTCCATGCAGATAGCACATCATTTATTCTCTTCGATCCCTTTCTGTAAGTCCTTATTCGATTTATGGGACAATCGCCTGACTTTTCGGTAGACAATCAGCCCTACGTTACTGAAGCCATTAAGAAAGTCTTGAAGGATGACTATAACTACGACTCCACGGTCCGTTAGGTACCCCTCGTTGTTTTTTTGATCTAATTGGCTTGTAGAACACCTTCCGTGCCCTCTACCGGACGTTCACCCAGTGCTGCTTTATTGAGGATGATGGCGATGTGGTGTTTTACAAAAACAGGGAGGGAAATGCTGCGCGTGTCCTTGCAGTGGAGGCAGAGGGTAAAACTGTTGAGATCGGAGGAGATCGGGGTTATTATAGTCTCTAAATATTGACTTAGCCGAACGTCGAGGTGTAAAGTATGCGGCCACCTCTCTTGCCGTTGACTCTGGTTATCGATACCGGTTATCAGGGAAGATGAGAATCGCCTAACAAGCGAGTACTACGCAATGATATCAACCGGATCAATATAACTTTCAAGTTACATACATATAAATAGTCCCACGACTATAAATTTGACTCGAAAAAAAAAAAAAAAAAAAAAAAATAGTCCCACTGACCCGCCACTTCAAACGTGGAATGTAAGGATGTAAGCACGCTACATGACTTTCGGGTCGCGCCTTCGTTGCTCTCTAGTTCTAACTACGAGCAACGAAGGTAAGTTCATATATTATTCCATGTACCTACTAGTTCTAACTACGAGCACGAAGACCCTTCAAAATTGTTGCATCTTCTCTCTGTTCGACTAAAAGTTTAGGTTCGATCATGCTGAAATGAATTATAGGTTTTGAACCACTATAAAAAGGAGAGAATTATATGTGCAGCAATTCTTTGATATAAACCGATGGCGCCCGCTCTACGTCATCAACGTTCAACGTTCAAATTCAAAGTTCAACGTTCAACCGTCATCCATCCATCGCCCTTTGTATAATGTTTTTATGTTGCAACATCCCTCCATGTTTTTTTTGTCATTTTCCTGCTCCTCCCATCACACCATCGCATCTTGAAACGCCATGGCGTACCCCGAGTACTTGGCCTAGAAGTGACGTATTGCCTGACATAACAAGTAAAATCTAGGTTGCATTTTGGTCACTTGTTTCGATGAGAAGTTCTGACAGAACGAAAACAAGCGAAAAATTGGCTACCGTGATTGTCCAGATCCATTAATTATAGAAAAGCGGGTAAAGATTGGATCAAAAGCAGAACCAAAGGGTTTTCGGCTCTCCGGCTTGGATGGAACTCCTCCGTGTCGTAGATGATCAATTGTCCTTCACCTCCCCCCACTCCCCCACCGACTATGTAAGTACCTTACGGCTCCCAGGCTAGAAATAGCCGGGGGCTCTTCGACAAGGATAGAGCGTTACTTTTAAGTTTTCGCATTCAGTGTTTGTGATGCTTAAACCTTTATGTACTCGGAGGTATTATACATAACAAAACTAACCCCACGCAAACGTGAGACGGGCAGGGCAAGTGGAATATTAACTAGAACGAAAAAAAAACATATCCCGCCCCCGCGTAAAGATCAATTTGCACAGGGAATACCGAAACAATACGTAGATAATATCATACGCCAATTCATTATGGTATCACGGACATCAGCTCATCAAAAGAGTTCTATCTTCATTTTTTGTGGATGAGGTGATTACCATGTGGGGCAACCTGAACAGTGAAAAAGACGGACAATGCCGAAGAAGAAAAGTAAGAAATTGTAGAAACGCGTTTTTTGAAAAACTGACGGTTTGTTACAGCTAACTGCATAACCATAGACCATATCTAAATTTTACTTTGTGCGCCTTTATTTGTACAAACAACCGTATTAGGTAGAACGCCCTTCCAAGTTGGCAAGTTCCAACCGCTCCACCCTTATGACGTGCAGGGCGGGATTGGAGCGTTTGGAGCAACTACCGAAACGGTGCTAGAACTTGACAGAAGCAATGGGCAGCGCGCGCGAATCGGCGTCATGGTTTACATAGCCACGGCCTAAAACGGATGTTTACGCACAGACAAAGGCGCAAAGTGAAATTTCAGATGTGGATTATGCAGTTAGCTGTAACAAAAACAATATCAAAAATTAAACCGTGGGAGCATAGATGTTTTTTTTGTATCTTCACCTCTTCCACGACCATCCTTGACGTCGAGTCTCGCCTCTTCTTTTCTTCTCGCACTGAGGGTATGAAATTTGGCTGACGATTCCACGTTCTTCCAACTTCCTCCGGACTTCAATTGTACCCTCGCCTGCCGTCAGTCTCGTTCCTTCCGGTTCTTGACTTCTTGTAAGCCGCTATCGCTCTATGCGAAGCAGCACTATGGTGAATTCATTTGATTTCTCCGCAGATTGCCACCAGATTTCTCCGCCACCATCGCAGGGCCGAAATTCTTCCACGTTATGTCTCAGAGGCCGACCACCAGGGATTTCTTGACATCCTTTTTCTAATCGGTATATCCCGCCAAGAGTCAACAACCCATGACCATAGTCGCTCAAAGGAGAAAATTGTGAATTTCACCGTTATCTTGTCCAAGCGCCTTATCCGCAAATTTCTATTGGAGTTGCCTTGCTGCGGCAATTGGCAAACGTTCTATAATTCGTTACGGAAAGCTTCACTGATCTCATGGCCATGTTACGTACATAGCGCGATAAAGTTATGTGCTACTTTTCCTCCCGACTTATCACCGGCTAACTCGACTCTCTCAGACCGTAATATGAACTCACCGGCTCTACGGTAAACCATGGTGCTCGTTTAATCGTTTCTGTTGAATATTCAACACAAAGGTTCGGAACGTTCCAATTTCCCAGCGGAGATCCGAGTATAAGCGCCCTTATCTCCTGCCTTCCGGGTGCCCGTCCGAAGTCACTGCTGGACCTCCCGTCAAGGAATTACCATGGAACACCCTATCATCGCTCCAAATGGTAACTCCAAACACGGATTATATATAAGAACCCCGAACTTCATTCTATCTTCGCACTATCCCCTCAAGCATAGTTCATTCATGTCCACTCCAGAGCCAACGGTCAACACAGCCCAACTCCCGCTGAACGGCGCCAAGAAACTCACCCAAGCTCTCTTCGGCGAGGGTTTTACAAACGGCGGTGAATCCCACTGCGCCAAAGCATCACATGGGTACACCACTCCCGTTTTTGAAGGCAAGAAGGCGCAGCGCGCTTCGGTTGAAATTGACGTCGCCTCCAAGGTACGTTCCACTCGCTGTCAGTTATTAACCTCAACCGTGCTTCCTCGTTGAAGGGATTTATACCCCACAATCTCATTGCGGGCGAAGTTGACTGGTTTTACTTCAACCTCGGCATCGACGACTCCTATTTCCAGAAGGAATCGAGCGAGATCATATCCGACCATATTATAGCCCTCTTCGGAGCGAAAATCGTAGCGTATACCAAGCGTGATCCGACTAAATTTATCATTGATTTGGAGAGAATCGATGACCAGGGAAAGGGGGGGACATTCATTCATACCAGTGCTCCAGGGTTGACGAGTGCCGAAGGGCCAGGTGCATCCTGTGAAAAGAGGTGCGTGTTCAGTAGCCTGAGCCCGCGATATCCGAGACACCCCAGCACGGCTATTGCTAGTCATGCCATTGGTGCAGTACTCTCCACGGCGATGGCAGATACATCTCTTCTTCTAATTGTAGACGTGAATAACCCCTGATTTTTTCTTCGAAACAGAATTGACGAACTGTTTCTGGACAAATCCACGCCTACGAATGCGTATCGACTCGAGACCTTTCGGTCTGCAGGATCTATCTCCGCTACGGCGTCGCAGCAGCTTCGGTGTTATTTTGTTACGAAATGCAATTTCCCCAAGAACCCTTCCATTTTGGCTGGGAAGACGGATATTCGATCTGTGTCAGATTCATACTTTCTGGAGAAGGCCACAGGGGCCGTCTTAGATATATATCAACAGGTGCGAAACCCAGATTCATTATAGAGAGACTGCTCTAACTACCGAGCGTAGATTCTGTGGAAGGTGGAATCGAAGCTGGGCCCCGTGATCGAGGTCCACGATGGTGAGGCTAGTCGCGAAAAGTGGCTGGTAATCGGATACAAGATGGGCAGCACGTCAAGATTCTTCAGCGCCCTGTCTAATCTATACCACTTCTATTCCCTCTACTCCTCGCGAAAATACGTTGGTATGTTTCGTCTTCACGTTCTCCTTACATGCTATGCTAACTTCCCACTTGTATCAAGAGCAATTCTCCAACGGAGTCACTATCATTTCCCTCTACTTAAATCCCCTTCCCAACACCAACGCTCCCCCGATTGAAAACTCAATCTTCCAAGTCATGAAGGAAGCTTCGCTTCTTTTCTGTCTTCCTGATAATCCATACTTTCTCCCAAAGATATCGGGCAGCCACGCGGTTCAAGAAGCTACTTATGCCTGTGCGTGATTTCTGATGGGTTACAAACAATAATTTATAATATTTAGATTGCGGCTGGATATTCGCGCAACATTTCTGTAATCGTCTTGGACCCGCGTATCTGCAGCTGAAGAACGTGTTAAATGAGGACGACCCCATCCATGCAGAGGTGTTAAGCGATATCAAGAGGAGGTTCCGGGAAGAGACCTTTACCCCAGAGAGTATCGCGCAAGTTATCCATGCTCACCCCGATCTGGCAAGCTGATTTCGCAACACATCCTAGAAATTGTTGGCTTACGGAGTCACCTCTAGATCAGCTTGTTATATGTCAACTTCGCGATGACTCATTACCCTCCCTCGGATGACGCATCAAAGCTAATGTTATTCTCTTCCTCCCTCTGCTCTCCTTTGTAGCTTATGCCCAACACGTAGGCCAACTCTCTCATACCAACGTTTACACACCGTTCAGCCCCTCGACGACGCACAGCTATATGAAAAAATTCGCCGCACTGCACCCAACAAACACGTATTACAAGTTTTAGGGAGCTTCCTTGTCTTTAACAAGTGCGTTTCACCCATTTCCCGTGACCTGACCTAATACCATATGACTTCCTGCTAGACACGTCCTCAAAACTAATTTTTACCAGCCTACAAAGGTGGCTCTGTCGTTTAGGCTCGCGCCAGAGTTTTTGCCTGAGGTTGAGTACCCGAAGAAGCCATATGGGATGTTCATTGTCATCGGTGGGATCTGCTCACTTGCCGATAGTTATGAGGCTAACACGGACCATTCATCCGTAGGAAACGAATTCCGTGGATTTCACATTCGCTTCCGCGATGTCGCTCGGGGTGGCATTCGGATTGTCTTGTCCAGGAACAAAGATAATTATTCGGTTAATCAGAGGATGCTGTCAGTTTTCTAGCCCAGTTATCTATTGATGGTTCTCTCACTATCTTTTCACGTTGTAAATAAAGGGTGGACGAGAACTACGGTCTCGCGGCTACACAGTCGCTTAAGAACAAAGATATACCGGAAGGAGGTGCCAAAGGGACCATCTTGCCGTCGTGCGTACTTGTTACTTGCTCATATATATTTTTCCAATATTTTATGCATAAGGCTTGGAGCTAGCCCCAGGAGATGCTTCGAGAAATACGTCGACGTGAGTATTCTTGATCTCCGTCTTAAAGTCGTATCTGACCAGGGCGAATAAAGGCGATGATTGACCTTCTCATCCCTGGTGTCAAGGAACCAGTTGTTGACCTCTACGGAATACCCGAGCTCTTGTTCTTCGGTCCTGACGGCAAGTTATCTTCGTTCGGGTTATTCGCATTTTGGCCTCATAGTGGTTTTGTTCCCACAGAAGGTACCGCGGACCTAATGGATTGGGCTGCTAGTAAGTTTTCTATCTCGTGCTTAGTTGCCATGCGAGTATAATGGGGCATATCTGCGTAGTTCACGCTCGTTCTCGTGGTGCTGAAACATGGTGGAAGTCATTCACGACAGGAAAAAGTGCGGAGACGCTTGGTGGAATTCCTCATGACGTGTATGGTATGACTTCATTGTCCATTCGTCAATTCGTGCTCGGGTTGTACAAGCAGCTTGGGTTGAGGGAGAGAGACATTACGAAGGTACAAACGGGTGGCCCTGGTGAGTGGTTTCCCCATTGCATTGCTATTTTGTCGATAACGCAGCTCTCCAGACGGCGACCTTGGCTCTAGTGGGTATTTTGTCTTTTAGAGTAACAATTATTCTAACAATTTTCTCAGACGAAATTTTGCTCTCGTCGGACAAGACGGTCGCCGTTATCGATGGCAGTGGTGTTCTGTCCGACCCTGTGGGGATTGACCGTGAAGAGCTTGTTCGCTTGGCGAAATTGCGTGTTCCTGTCAGTCACTTCAATACCGCTAAGCTGAGCAAGAATGGGTATCTCGTGAAGCTTGAGGACCAAGACTTCAAATTACCCTGTGAGCTTGGCTTGGTTGTTTCAATTAAGAATTGATGGTTTATATCCTTCTAGCTGGCGAAGTTGTTCCTGACGGCACCGACTTTCGAAACACCGCGCACCTACGCTTCAAAGCGGATCTTTTTGTTCCTTGTGGCGGACGGTTCGTTGTGTTTCTCATCTCGCAAAGGAATTGTGTGCGAAAATTTCATGTAGACCGGAGGCTGTCAACATCTCCAATATGGCGGCACTCGTCGATTCTGAGGGCAAACCTCACTTCAAATACATCGTCGAGGGCGCGAACTTGTTCATCACCCAACAGGCCCGCCTGTACTTGGAGAAACGTAAGGTCGTCCTCTTCAAGGATTCAAGTGCTAACAAGGGTACGCGTACTCCATCCGTTTTCAATGGCAGTCGAAGTTTTCATTGACATCCATAGGTGGTGTAACAAGTTCCTCTCTGGAGGTCCTTGCCGGTCTGGCGTTGTCGACTCAAGAATACCTCGATCTCATGGTCTTCAAAGACGGCAAACCTTCCGAGTTTTATCAGAACTACGTAAAGGACGTCCAGACCAAGATAACCGAGAACGCCGCTGACGAGTTCCAGTGCATTTGGCGCGAGCACTCTCGTTCACAAGGCACAAAATCGCGCACTCTTATCTCTGATGAGCTCTCATTGACGCTCAATAACTTGCAAGCCGATTTAGAAAGCTCAGCTCTGTTTGATGACCTTCCTAGCAGGAAAGGCGTCATCGGCCGAGCGATTCCCAAAACCCTTGTAGATCAAGTTGGATTGGAGACGCTTCTGCAGCGCTTGCCGGAACCATACCAGCGTGCATTGTTCTCGAGTTGGGTCGCTTCGCACTTTGTGAGTCGTATTTAATGTATTCACGCCCTGCCGTTGCTGATGTTTGTATGACAGATATACAAGTGCGGCGTGAAAGGGTCCACTGTTGATTTTTTCCATTTTGCCAGGGATCTTGCGAACCTTTGAATATTTGTAGATGATCGACAAGGTCCTTGGAAATTTATTCCTACATTTTTTTAAGTTGTATACATTTCATCTACTTTTGACAAATTAGTCAAGCCTCAAGGAAGATTTGAGACCAACAGATACTAGTGTTGGGGAAGGGATAAAATAAAGCGGGGCCTGCAGCGAGATGATGAGTTTTCAATACAAGAATCTCTGGGTAGTTATCAGTACGTCACCTTCTGGGAGAGCTGCTCCGATGAATAACACCGATTCTCGCTTTCCCGGTTTGTTCATTGGTATTCGCCCAGTTCTAACTCTTTCCACAAATTCAGGAGATCAAATTTAAAATAAGTAGCCTCCTAATCGAGGTCTTGAGAAAATCGAACAAGACACATCGTGTTGCAGGAGATAGATTCCTTGTCAACGTTCAATGGCAAGAATAGAAAGAAGTCGTCGAAGGAAACACATGCTTAGATCAACCATGCTAAACATATATCGCAAACGTGCTCCTCATTCAATTGAGTTGAAGATATCACCGGAATATAACCTTCTTCAAACTTCTCAGAAGGCGTTGAAGTAGACGACATTTGCTGTGCGTAGCACGCACGCACGCGCCTTATTGTCTATTTACATTCTGGCAGCCACACTCCCACATACACTGTCTGAAGTACTCGGAACCTGAGGGTACACAGGCAAAGTCCAGAACAGAGACGTTGTCTTCCCATCCGCTCCCTTTTTCCCCTCGATCCACGCTGAGGATCGTCACTCGTGCGACTATACTAGTAGAGTGGGGGAGGGAAAAGGCATGTAAGTTTCTCTCACTTATTATCCACCCCTCCCACTGGGCCACACATTGTCGTTCTGTCGTCCTAATTATTACGCAATTTCAACTGCGAATACTTAGCGGAATACATACCGCAGCAGGTCAATATTTTCATGCCTTAGTTACCTTGGAGGATTTCCCTCGAAACGCACAGGTGTTAACTAGCGTTTCGTTGAAGGATCTCCATAAGTATGGTCAACTCACTGTGGCACATATATATCTACGCCAATGAGTCGTGACACCCTTCACTGATAGAAGGGGCACCCTGACAGACCCACTCCACTCCAAGTAAGTAATCAGGGGTTATAGCAGAAGGGGAAGTACCGCTGTTGCAGCATTCGAAAATTAGCAACTCCTCCAGACTTCCAGATACCTGGTTACTCGATAATCAAATCTAGGGAAAGCCAATCGCAGAGCGTCAAATCTTCTAGGTTGATTGAATATATAACGAGGAGAATCTTTTCAATAGTGCCATGGGGTCCACAGGTCGCCAGCCCAACGGACGTGGGATGACGAGTCTGTTTTGTAATCTGCGATGTAACATAGCGGACGGCCATTGTGTCGTTTTCACTGATCGTTCCAATCAATATCAGAAATTTGATTTGCTCGAGGACGGAGGGAGATCGTTTCATGATCTTTTCCACCAAGTATCGGACACTCGGAGATTCCAGTCGAGCAACTGCCACTAGTAGTCATCAAGTTTCTGGATAGTTTTCCGTAGCAGTCACGTTGGAGCACTTGGTGCGCGATAGATAGTCGAACGACGGTGAGGATGTCGAGGTATACGTCGATGATGTAATAACAGGGGGTAGCGGTATCCTGAGACTTGGTGATATGCTTTGGGCCGTAGATCCGGAAGGTAATAAAGCTGGGGAAGGCACGGTTAAAAAGATGTTTGGGAGGAGAGGGGTGTAGCTATTGCTGGGGAGATTGTTAGCGCTGCGGGAGTTGAAACGAGGAGTGGCGCTGGTGTTTATATTACGCTTGTGCATCCTGAGGGGGTGATGAGGGAGGGCCTCGGGCGCTTCCCGTACGTTTCTCCAGTTATTTTCTTCTCGCCGTATTGACAATCTTACGACTAGGCCATGCCCAATGATTCCCCATTGACCGGACAAGAAGGCGCCAAACTCACATCCCAACTCATCCGCCAGCGTATATACAACCCAACCCAACGTCGCTTAGACGATTCTACATCCGAGTCACTCGAACTACGCGGGCGGGGAGTCCTTGAAACGTCGCGCCGGGAGAGATACGAGCTTGGTATTAGTTCCCCCAAAGGTGCCATTCTTCGCGACCGGGATCCAAGCACGGGGGGGGGGCAAGTTAGAGCGTCGTACGGTTCTTGTGAAGTAGGAATATGCGGGTGGCATGGTTCAGAGGCTTCCAACGCACAAGGGTGAGATGGTTGGTTATGAGACAGAGAAGGATGGGTAGGTGACGGTTGTAATGGACTCCTGGAGGTTCCGGCGCGGGGGTTGATTGGGTTTATGGCAGGCGAATTTTAGAATGATGTTCATGGGGGTGAGTCGTGTGTGCTTACGTGTTTTGGCCGTTTGACGTTGTTTTTTCTTTCTTTTTTGGATAGGACGATTGAACATATCCTCAAAGAATACAAACCGTATAGAGGAGATATTGATCGGGTCGGAATGGCGCTTTGATATCGATGGCTGCGGCTCAATCCTTCGGGTACGCAATGGCGCCGCTTCAAGCTCGCGGGATGCTCTTCATCCATCTTCGAACACAAAATCGTTTGAAGTCTTCTCTTCCTTCCTTGCTCATCCACCTACAAATCCAGTTTACCCAGGCATGGTCATAAGCGAATTCGCAAAATTGCATGGCCTCTACCTAAACTTCTGCTTCAAGAAACAGTTTACCAACATACGAGCTGCCCTGGGCGGATGAGATGATCGTGTTGGCTTCTCCGAGGATTATGACGCTGCAGGAGGCACTAGCGTCTACGGAGTGTAAGTTACTCTTCTACTAGTCTTTGCTACTATTATTTATGGACGTTCACAGGTTGTGTTGGAGCGAAGGAGATCTATATGTATTCGTGTGACCACTACGTCTAGCACCGATTCCTGTCCTTGCGCGTAAGTTTGGAGGGATATCTATTCTAAATCATGCGCTGATTCACTTCACGCGTACAGCTTCCTCATTTCTAGACGGCGTCCGCCTTCCGGCAATACTTAGTCGGCGAGTCGCGTCGCGAACCGCACCACATGTACGTTGAAAAGCATGGTCAGGGGAATATATTTTATTATCGCTAGACGGTGGTCGCGACTGCTTGTTGATGGATTATCATATGCGCAATGGCGCCAAGTATAATTGTCTGACACAGAGTTGACAGGTCTATGTACCTCGCTACAAGCTCTAATTGTTAAAATATGACTTGCTTTTCGATCGCCGTACACCATCAACTGTGATCTGCAGCGGTCGCCTATTTATGTATGTACAACGATTGGGAGAACGACAACTCGTTTGGGCGTCGCCGAGGTCTTGCATGCCACGCGATGCAGAATTTGGAAACTCGCCTCGGTTGCCTCGTGGTCACGTCAGGTACACATCACGTTTCAATTTCAGCGCTCAGCCACGCCATTTTTAGGACAACGACCAGCGGCCTGTTCATTCCCACCCACCACCACCCTCAACGAACCATGGCCACCTCCGACGCGAAGTTAAAGTTCGATGAGCCATACAACCTCGTAACTTCATATTGTATCACGCCCACGATTCTGGCCTTTCTGAGGCTTCTGTTCGCGTTGTACACCCTCGTTGTGTTGTTGTTCATTCTCATTTGGGATGGTGTGCATCATGATGGTGCTCAGTCGTACGTTGTGTTGTTCTTATGCTTTGGTGATATCTTGATGAATGCGGCCAGATACTTTTCGTACTTCACTAATCTCTCCTACATCGGGATATGCGCGTATTTCTTCGCTTCGGGCGTTCAGACATTCTTTTACGCGAGGAACCTCAAGAATGGGGTTGAGGGTTATCCTCTTCAGCGCTGGCCGCGCCCTTTGCAGTACCTTCATGTTGTCCTCTATTGCACCATTACCACATTGCGTGAGTTCTTTCCTCCGTTGCGTTCAGTCCTGATACGAATTGCTCTTTCACAGCTATACTGGTTACCATCGTTTTTTGGGTCCTTCTTGCCTCTTCCTCCACATTCGCGACGCCATTTTCAGGTACGTCCCCCTACCTCCCCTTCTCACTTCCCCTGATTTCGATTGATTCCAGGCTGGTCAAATATCTCAAAGCACGCTTTGAACGCTGTGTTCGCCTTATTCGAACTCCTTGGCACGAACGTGGGACCATACCCATGGACTGTCCTTCCTGTTGTCATCGTCATTCTGGGAGGATATCTCGGGGTTGCATACATCACTCACGCCACACAAGGAATCTACAGTAAGAACCTCCACTCAAATGTTACCTCGCATCTCGCCTCACCATGCGATCAGCCTACTCTTTCCTCAATCCGAAGAAACAGGGTAAAAAGCTCGCTGCCTATATCATTGGTATCGCCATTGGGGCATGCATCATTTTCCTGATCGCCAGGGCGATTATCGTGCTTCGAGTTCGATTCACGAAGGGTTCCCGTAAGGCGTCAGTAATCGAGGCTTCAGAGCCGCTTGTTATTGAGGAGAAGAAGTCCGAGTCTGCGTAGGATGTCGGGTGCTTGTCTCTTCGCACCATTATCGGGGGGAAACTGTGCTTGCGCACCACACCTACATATGTATATGATCGCTAATCAGAACTGGCGTCTCCCTAATGACTTTATAATATAGTTTGCGGCCTTGGACGTTCATATAAATATACCCGGATAAAATGCCCATCCCCAAGGATTGCAGATAGGAGATTTCACAATGAGCGGTCGCAAGCTGGGAGTTGTGATCGAAGAAAAAAAGGCATGTTCGTGGTTTGAACTCTGGGCTGCGGCGAGATGGGAATATCGGATGCTGACCTCGAAAAGTCCGACTTGGCCTTGATCACGACTTTCACTCATCGGATAAGGATTGGGCACGATGTCGTTGCAATGCCCTAAATCTGCAACTCTTGGCTTCGGAACATTGAAGCGCGGCTTACCAGGTTGTTAGTATGCCGATCTGGTGCGCGACTTGAGAATCCATTCCGATGAATATTTTACTGACAGTTCTCCGCTGGTTTATCAGATAGCTCATTCCGAATATATGCGGCATCTCACCGTTCAACGTTCAACCATAACTCGACTTCCGATTCGTTCAACAGACGAGAATATGTGTTCTTCCTTAGCCGAAGTTTGACTGTCCACAATCGTACATTCTCAAAGCATCGGCGTTCCAAGATCGCTATCATTTCTTCTACTGATGTCTTATACCCCAAGGCTCCCAAGTAGTGGGAGGTGCGACGAGGCAATGATCCGACTGGGATTAGACAGTGATGATTCAGTTCTTCATGGCCTCCTCCAACCTCGAGGCGCTGCGTCGGATGACGTGGTGATGAACTGGCGACCTTAGATGTTTTTTGTCTTCTTTTTGGCTTTAGGAGTTGATCTGAGTCCGCCTAGGATACAGATCGAGGGACTTCTTGTGTTGACTGTAAACCATCGGTACACCGCTTTCGCGCGGTCCTGTACATAACTGGCAGTCTGGAGAACACCTCTCAAGGGAAATAATTGAGGTATGAGACCGTTTTCTCCAGACTTCTTTACGAAAAGTCTTGAACTGAGGGAGCCTGCCACAGATTTGTTCTCTTGTGGAGCCATGAAGTCCCCCAAGACGCGATGGTGACCGAAATTCAATTCTTAAACCTCCTCCTTGTACGACATGTTGGAGACACCGTGGCAAAACGTCAGATTCGTGTCGTAAGTTCATCTTCAGGGTCTAAATTTTGATTTTTACGGTTGAGTATCTCCGTTAGAAGCGCTTAGCGCCCTCCCTCAATTATCTACATAAACATCGGCGCCTTGAGGTTCATTCAATCCAATCTGAAAAGTCTCCGAATATCGAACAACGCACAAGAATTTCAATCTACTTTCTCCGGCTTGATGGTCTGTTCCAAGTCTGTTCCATCAAGAGTCTGATGGATAGTCGAACGTCGCGAAATCTAATTATATTGAGGTTGTCGGTGGCGCTCCACGTCTCTACCCACATTCGTTATTCCCCATATAGCTAAAGGTACTTCATGGTTCAACGTAAAAGCTTCAACCGCAAGTCACGTCACACAGGCCCCTTCCTCGTCTTCGGGGACGATGACTCCCTGGTACTGGCTTGCCGCACTTTTCCTCTTCCACCGTTCACTCTCAGTTTTCGCCGGGAATACATACCAGCTCTCGAATAAGATAGTTGGGAATGACTTTTATGACAATTTCAATTGGGAGGCGATAGATGATCCTACTCATGGAAGGGTGTGAGTACAGCCGCCTCTCTACAGAGTTTCTCTCAGCTGAACGTAATGCAGAACATATGTTGATCAGCCGACATCCAAAATTTTGAACTTGACGTTTACATCTACTGATACCTTCATCCTCCGCACTGATTTTACGACTGTTCTCGATCCCAAGGGTGTAGGGAGACAGTCCGTTAGGATTCGATCTAATGCTGCATACACCACCCATGTCGCAATGTGAGTTGCCGATCATTTGACTGCTTCATGTTGACGAATCCTGCTTCAGTTTTAGCATCAGGCATATGCCACAAGGCTGCGGGTGCGTAAGTTAGGGTTTTTCCATTCTTGACTGACAACGAAGTAGTACTTGGCCTGCCATTTGGACCACGGCGCCGAATGCTTGGCCCAACGATGTCCGTAACTTAGATGTTCGCCGAAGACTGATTTGCTTAAGCGCCCCACAGGGAGAAATTGATATCTTGGAAGGGGTGAACGACCAAGCTCCGAACCTTTCTGTATTGCATTCAACCCAAGGTATGTCTATTTTTTTACTATTTCCAATTGATTGCTAATTGCTACAACGCCTTGAAGGGTGTACCATGCCCAATAACCGAACTATGACGGGGTAAGCGCGTCTCCTTCTGATAGCCGCGCGGCATCTTAGTGACATCCCATTTCCGATGTAGAACGCCTACAAGCACAGACTGTGTGACCACCGATACTTCAAATGCGGGGTGCGGCGTCAACTTCCCGACTTCCTTCAGCTATGGTCCCTCCTTCAATTCCGTGGGTGGCGGCTGGTGCGTCCTGAGGAGAAGCACCCCTTTTTTTCCACCGCTAAAATTCTGATCTGTAGGTACGTCATGGAGAGAAACGAGAAGAAAATCACAGTCTGGTTCTGGGCGAGGAATGACCCATCTGTGCCATCAGATATTATCAATGGCGCCTCGTCTATAAGTCCAGATGGATGGGTGCGTCAGTCGTGGACGTCTCGTATGCCCACTCTGACGAATAAATCTATCAGGGAAACCCTGCCGCGCTGTTTCCTAGCACTTATTGCGATTTTCCCTCACATTTCCAGCAACACAACATTATCATTAACCTGACACTTTGTGCGTGCTACGAATCCGTGGGTACGAAGACTAACGGACTTGTGCTAGGTGGAGACTGGGCTGGCTCCGCCTACGGTCAATCCGGCTGCCCTTCGACGTGTATTGGTGAGTTTATGAATCGTCTGGAGGGATTGTATTAAAAAATGATGATTGCCAGACTTTGTTAATAACAACCCCTCTGCCTATACGGACGCTTTCTTTGATTTTGAGTACATTTGGCTGTACACTCCATGACCGCTTCACGATTGTAACACTCACCCACTGGATGGTGTATGTAGATATTTTTAGGACTTTTTTCGCTGGTGCCGACCACATTCTAGCTGCTGATCCGGTGTATATTTACTGGTAAGGACAGTTACACTAGCACGCGATTTGCAATTGAAGTGCGTATATGTTATTCAAGCGTGGCCGTAACACACTCTGCTGACTCTACTTCCAACCTGCTCCCAACCTCAAGCAGCCAGAAGCAGCCTCATCGCCAAGACGAATTCTGGGGTTCCAATACAGCAAAGATAACCTATACGCATTACAATCATTTCCCTCGATTTAAGGGACTGAATGTTAAATTCAGTAAATTGCCATCAGCGGATTCCGTTTTTCGTGAAAAATCATTTCTTTCAAAGTCCTTCTACCCTGACTTCCATGCCCTCCATCTCTCTCGACTTTGTTGTGGCCAACCCTCCCAGGCAATGCACTCGACATGCCACGCGACGCGCCCAACAGTACGCCACGTGCTCAACAGTACGCCATGCACTCCACACTACGCGACACGCTCGACATTACACGATGCACTCGACATTACGCGACGCGCTCGACACTACGCCATGCCGCGTGATATTTAGTGTGGTGCACTCTCGAAGATCTCGTCAATCTTGGGAAATGGAAGGGTAGTTTAGTTTTGAAACTTCTTTTTTGCACCATAGTATACTACATCTCATGTAAATATTATAACCTGCAATATCATGGGCATTACATTTAAAGCCTAGATGACGGAACACATACATACCAAGCCTCCAATTTGGAACCGACTTTTTGATGCGCCACAAAACATACAGGGGTAATTTAATAGCCCCGTCCCTGGGCGATCCCTTGTTCCTTGATTAGCTATGACAAGCTAAAAAATTCCCAAGCATAAAATGTTGAACCACAAACCGTCGTTGTCCTTTTGCTCAGATCCATACCCCCCATGCGACTTTTCGCGTCTACAGCGCTCTTCGCGCTGTCCCCCCTCCCTCTCGTTCTTGGGGCCACTTATCTCCTCACTGACAATATCGTCGGGAAGACATTTTATAGCAATTTTGATTGGGAGGCCATTCCGGACCCTACGCATGGGAGGGTGTGAGTTGTGTTATTCTGTTAACGTCAGCCTTCTTATTCAAGGACTTATATTCCAGCAACTACGTTAATTCAGCAACCTCTTCGTCTCAGAACTTGACTTTCGCTACCTCTGATACGTTTATCCTCCGAACGGATTTCAAGACCGTGCTTGATCCAAATGGGCCTGGAAGAAACTCGGTTAGAATTCGTTCAAAGAAGACGTACACTACGCATGTTGCGGTGTGAGTTACCTTTTTTTGTTTTGTTTTGTATGCGTTAAATGTCTAACTTTTTGGATAGATTCAATATGCGACATATGCCCCAAGGATGCGGGTTCGTCGAATCCAAGTCTTCCCACGTATCGTAGCTTGATTCTTTCACAGGACGTGGCCGGCTGTATGGGAGACGGATGGAGCGAATTGGCCCAATGGTGTTCGTCCCCTACATCTCTCCTCCTTTGAAGAAGGCTGATCGTTCCACATACCTATGTACAGGGAGAAATCGACATTCTTGAAGGCGTAAACGACCAGGCTCCCGATCTGGTCTCGGTACACACAAGCCCGGGTGAGTGAAAGGACCATACCTATGCTTGCTCAAAACTCATTTTCTCGCTCCTTTGTAAAATTCAGGCTGCACAATGCCAAGTTCCCGAACCATGACTGGGTGAGCATGTTAACCAATACCTGGCCGGCTGTCATTCCCTAATCTTTCTTTTGCAGCACGCCTACGTATCTCGACTGTCAAACCGGTGCCAATAGTAACGCGGGGTGCGGCGTCAAGCTCTCAACTACCCTCAGCTATGGACCGGCATTCAATAAAGTAGGAGGGGGATGGTGCGTTCTTCAATGATCGTCGCGACTAACTACTTATAGAGTTTCGTACTAGGTATGTCATTGAAAGATCCCCGACCTACATGAAAGTGTGGTTCTGGTCCAGGCGCGATACAAGTGTCCCAGCTGAAGTGGCTAACGGCGGTCAATATGTGAATCCTGATACGTGGGTACGTACAATATTTTATTTCGGTCTAAATCTTGCATTAATTGACCGGCTAGGGAACACCCGCCGCGTACTTCCCCAATACTTCCTGCGACTTCCCTTCCCATTTCGACGCTCACAGTATTATTATCAATTTGACCCTCTGTACGTGATACATCGCTTACTGCTTGACCACCACTCATATTTTCACGTAGGCGGGGACTGGGCTGGCGCTACTTACGGCCAAACCTCGTGTCCGTCGACCTGCGTAGGTTATGTGAACAACAATCCGTCAGCTTTCACCGACGCATATTTCGATTTCGCCTCTTTGCGGGTATATGGTGCAACTGTTCCCCTAACAAAGCGGGGAGTTGATGTTCATGGTCGCGCTCACCGTCGTGAATTTTAAGTATACCAGACGTTCATTTTGACAGCCGTTCTTTTCTATCGTCTTTCGTTTATTACCATTCGTTTTCACAGCCATTCTTTTTCGGACAAATAATTGGAGTAACTAGTAATTGTTAATGTTGTTTTATTAACATCAAAGGGCACGAAATTCAAGAGGCTGCTTTTCACTGGAACATACATTCATTTCAAGAGTGGTTCTTTTCCATAGAATTATCAACACTTTTTGAACTACGGAATAATAACTAGCAATCGGTAAAGTAGCAATCAATGTGCTGATAGTGTCAATTTAACAAGAGGGTATTCTTTTCGTACTATTAGTTTGAATTATCAGTGTGAGCTGTGTTCGTAGCGTCATTTGCCCTCAACATGCTTCACTCTAACTGCGATTCTCTGGCCCAACAATCCAAGCGGATGCGAGCGGTCGTCTTCCACCGTAATCAACACAGTTCCACTGCATTCCTTCCTGATCAGAGTTTCTTCGTTTACCGCCGACGAAGGTCGAGACGACTTGAGTTGGATCCAATCCTTGAGACCTGTTTGGCTCTTCAGCTTGTTTTCGGGAGCGGTGATATAGCCGAGGCAGGTGCACAGAAATTCAAGTTGGCGGGTGTTGGTGGACGAGGAATGGCGTGGCAGGGGTGTACGGTGTCTAGAGATGGGTTTGAGAAGAGTGTTTTGGGGTACAGGGAAGACGAGAAACGTACGCAAAAGAAAGGCCAGCAATTTTGCGCAGGTCCTTGGCGACGAGCTCGGCGCGGAGGGCGTTGTCGATGATGATCGATGCGACTATGGAATGTGTGGCTCGGAATTTGAGGTTGGATGGAGAGACGAGGATGGATGATTTGAGGGCTGCGTAGAGTTGGGTGGCGGATTGATACTCTCGGTATCGAGGGATCTAGAAAATATTTAACGGTAAAACTTTCAATAGAGGGATTAACCGACGCACCGTAGATTCTACTCGAGGAGGCGGAAAAGGCACCGAAATGGTGCTCTTGATACGGTTCTTCATCATCGCTAACGCGCGTTCCTTCTCCTCACCCTGCAAATCTTTCAACGCCACTGCGGGCTTTCGCACGGGGTCAACGTTCTCCTTCCGCCTCATGTCGTTATCCACGTCCATGGCCGAGCCATCGTCGCGTTGCATCCGTCTTTCAGCGCGTCTCGCGTCTTGCTGTCGCCTGAGTTCTCGGCAATGGTGACACTGTTTAAAGCGCTCCCATGATGATATAACCTTCTTGCAGCGCGTACACGGCTTCCCACTCGTCGCGACGTCGCCGGTGTCGATGGAAAGGGCGGAGGACATGGTGGTGGAAGACAAGAGGTTTCAACAAAGAAAATTGGACACACGTGTTTTGTGACGTAGCGCGTTGTATGACGTGCCTGTCACCTACACTGTAGAGTTGCTAGGTAAGAAATCATTGTCCTACATAAAGAGGGTTCCTTAAATACGTCAACCGTGATGTGTTTCAGTAAGTTAATTATAAGCCACGAAACCACGGAATGCCGGCAGGCAGTGGTGGAGGCGGTAATCCGTCCGATGGGGAAAAAGGACCTCTTTGCTGGTAGGCCACATAGCACAAATCAATGGACAGCCCATCCTCGACGAAGGAAGACAAAGCCGGCAATATATCGATGCCCTTCTGCCGATTGAACCCAACATACACACGTTTCAGCTTCGTCACCCCTTCGCTGGAAACTCTCTTCTCAACGCATTGCAGTAGAGTTTCGTCACGAAAGGTGAGGTCGGAGAGAACTTCGAAAGTGTTCAAATGTGGGAATAGGCATCGTCCTTCTTCGTCTGGGATGAGCAAGCGTTGAAGCATCGTATCGTCAAGGCGCGCGACGTCAGGAGTTCCCGGACCTTCAGTCCATGGGGACGGACTGCCGACGAGAGATCTCTTCAGCGTCAACGTTTTGAGTGAAGGCACGATACTGAGAGTCTCGAGGAAATCATCTTTGGTAAATATCTGCGGGTCCGTCGTCATTGTGCGTATAGGCACCTGTAATCGCGAGAGGAGGGTGAATAGCGAGGGCTTGGTGCTTCCGGGCCATATTGACGTATGGAACTCAACATCGTCTAATGCTGGGAGGTCGAGGCGCTCGAATGCAGGGCCTAGACCGACTGCGTCGAATATTGAGAAACTCTGAAGCTTGGAAAGGCGTACACTGGGAGCGTCTAATTCTTCGTTGATTTCTCTTATTCCTACTTCCAATCTGCACCGTACCAGCTGGGGACACATCGAGAGAAGTTGGAGGGTTCTGGAGGCAGAGAGACCTGATTCTCGTGACCATGCATTGCCTTCCAATGATAATTCGGTGAGCTGTGCCCACTTTACGGGCAGCCGGAGCGAATCTTCTCGAAGCTGTGTCAGTGACAGCGCTCTCAGTTTAGGCGCTCTGAAGATGTCCTTATTGACGCTGCTTGTGGGCTCGACTCCATAACCCCATGACCTGACTCGCGAGAAATTGAGTGACAAGGATTCAAGGTTGGGAAGTGCTGCGGGTGAAAGGGCTGTGATGTTGGATAGGCTCTGGATGGGGGCTGTGATAGAGACTTTTCTCCAACGTTCAGAAAAAGGAACGATGACGGTAAGCAAAGGCCGCGGGAGATCTGGGTCAGTGGACGGTGCTTCATCCCATTGATTCAGAGAAATGTCAAGGGGACACGCCCCAGATCTCAAAAGCCAGTCTCGCGCGACCGTTGCTCTGACCTCGACGACTTTCCCAGCGAGTTCTGAGTAGTCACCTGGAGGGATGTCTAGTGCATAGAAACTGGCGTGGTGTCTGGGTATAGGGATGTGTATTGTCGACCAAAGCTGTGGCGTGGACCGCGAGGTCGTTCGCCATGAACTGCAGACCCGGCCAAGTAACAAAGGGGCCTCGTTGGAAGCCATTACGGCGTTACGGTCTGTGGGGAGACATCGGATGAAGATTTCCTGCAAAACGTCCCGGGGTATCCTTCGTATAGGAGTGAGAAGGATGGCGTATTTATCGATAGCATTGTTGACGGAATCCCGCTCTCGATTGAGATCGCTGAGTATCTTCTCGACTCTCAAAATTTCCTCCTCGATTTGTAGGAGGCGCGCTCGGGGTTGCTCCAAAAGTTTGTTTATTGCTAAACATTCTTCGTCTGATGGTGCATAATTTGTACCGAAATACTGCGAGAACGGTTGCATGGTTTGGAAGGAGTGGATCATATGGAAATTGGCGCTGGAACCTAGTGATCGAGTGGAATGTTTCCGTCTCGGCCCCGAAGGCCGAAAGAGCGTCGTTCCCTGCCTTTGGGCCTTGGCTCCACGAATGGAGGGGAGATTGTGATCCCTCTTGTCACTAATGTTTACGATTTGCCCAGTACTCGAAAACCCCAATGCCTCAAACAAATATGTGCATTAGACGTATATACTTTATGTAGAGGTCCATTCCAAATGTGCATCTAATTAGCGTGTATGCAAGTGAGTATTTAGCGACCAGGTTGTGGGTAGACAGCGTCAAAAATGTGGTCATCATCCAAACCAAGAAAGTTCATCGAAGGTCATCTATCCGGGAACTCAAAGCACCATCCAACCACCAGCGACGATACCCGCAAGCACAAGTGATAGGCTCAAGAATGGAACGCGTGTGGAAACGATAGCTGACGAAGACTGGCCTGTGCTCGAGGCCGCAGCGCCACTTCCGGACTTGGAGCCGGAGCCAGAGACGGCGGCAGCTCCCTTGCCTGTTGCTGACGCTGCAGCACCAGAGGCCTATGTGAAGGATATATGGGTATGTGAAGATATATGGAGGTGAAAAGAGAACTTACGGTAGCAGAACCAGCGAGGAAGAGGTCAGTGGATTGGTAGGTCTTGCAGTTGGATGAGGCGGGGATGCGAGGGGTGTAGGGTGGTGTGGTTGTCAGAGGGTCGGGCATGCTCCACGTGGAGGCTGTTACAAGGTGTCGTGTTAGACCATGAATGGAGGGTATTAGAGAGGCGACGTACTTTGTCCGTTGACACTGTAGACACCCACGACGTCCTGGACATCTCCATCGCACGAGGTGAACTCGCCGTCCTTGGCGGAAGAGGGCATGTTGTAGTCGCAACCGACCAAATCATATCTGTTCTCGCAGTAATCCGGGCTTTCGACCGAGTTGTAGCAAGCTTTGAAGCAGAACTTGTTGCCTCCCACAAAACTAGGGGATGTGAGTGACAGGGAGGTGAATAATGACGGGGAGACTCACGTATTCCAGTTGTATACCTGAGTTAATGTGTGCCCATCGGAATCGGCTGTGCCGTTTGAGAAAACAACACCACCGAGGGGATTGCCCTGGAGATCTGCACCGTGTGGGTCGAGTTCACCGCCTTGGTCTGTAGGATCTAAGCCGATCCCAGCGTTCTTGATCCAACCTATGGCTTGAATGTAGCCCGAAGTTTTAGTCCACTGTGCACTTCATGAGCCTCGGTAGAGAATAAGGGAGGAGTACAAGTACCTGCAACCCAGTAATGGACCCTGGGGGGATGACACGTGTACCGTGGTACGGCTTCGTGCAGTATGCGACGACCTTTGCCTCCACGTTGCCAATGAGACCACTGGCGTCTGGAGAACCCCAGAGACAGAAATCGTCCTGACGAGGGTAAACTCATTAGCCTCCATCTTCATTGGCGAAAAAACTCGGTGACTCACGGGACCGTTGAAGACCAAAGTCTGACAATTCGACGTGTCACCCAAAGTAGTCGCATTGCATTGGTTGAACCCGAACTGGGGGCCACGTAGGACCTGGTAGGGATACACCTGGTATGGCAGGTCCGTGAACGCGTATTTCAGCGTCGAGAGGATGGGAGTGCCCGGAGCACCGGCGACTTGGCGCTTTGCAACGGTTGGCGTTGGGGCCGGGGTGATGGTTGGAGCCTCGGCTGAGGCAGTGACGAGGGTAAAAGATTGGACGGCTGCGAGAGCAGCGGCAATGAAGAGGGGCGATGAGGATAGCATCGTGCTCGGTGTGGAAGACGGCGAGGGAGGGGGATGGAGAAAGAAAAGAAAGAAGAATGTGGAATGAAGGAAACGAAAACTGGCGGAAGTCGTTCCAAATTTATATCGGAGTTTGATATGCCACGTGAGGTGTCTAATTCTAAAAATAACCTGCACTAGTCCGTTCCATCTGCCTGTCGTCAAGGCAGTGAGCACTGAGTCTGTCGAGTCTCGACCTGCGCAACTCTGGCATCCTCGATGGCAACTCTGACGCTGACATCCTCAATGGCTTGATCAACCGTCCTTACTATCGAGTTCTTCGGAGTCGCTGGAGTCATAAGTAGCCCTCGACTTTCTACTGTTCTCCCGCTTTCAACTTGTTCTCTCCCTTCAACGCTGATATTAGATGTCTCCATGAGGTGCCCGCGTGGAGCGATTGCAACTGGCACTCGAACGCGGCTTCATGTAAGTATGCCCCCAAAGAACCTCACAAAGAACCTACTGACACTTCGCTGCAGAACACTAACGATCGAGTGAACCTCTGAGATTGCGTAAGTGGAAATGCCTACGCGTGACTTGACCTCCTTATAAACCTGGTCGGTTCTCTTTTCCTTCTTTCCTCTCCCATCTTCTCAAATGGCTGATTCATCGTCAGCAGCGACCAACGAACCGGCTAGATCCAACGCTGACGCCCCCCGTGGTCGAGGTTCCAAGCCTGATACCGACTACTTCACGTTCCGTCGGATTCCACCCATCGGGTACACCCTCCAGAACATCATCATCTCCATCGGTACTGTAATTTCGTCGTTCGCCGTACTATGCTTCACCATGTCTTTTGTCCTCCCTCTCTCTATCCTACGAAGATCCGTTCCACCTCGCACCCTTTCTTTGGCTGCTACCGCTGGTAAAGACTTCAAGTTGGACGAGGTCCTGACTAGGGGGAAAGTCGTTCTTGTTGTCGGCGTCACGCGTGAGATGGGGTACGACATCATCATGCAATACGCGAACGACAAGGATACCACCATTATTGGTTTGGCGCAAACTGCGGGTGAGTCACGCTTTTTTTGACGCATATATTCGGGTTTGCTCATAGTATCCGCGCATATACCCCGTTACAGGTCAGTATATGCCTTTCGCCTTTCGCCTTGTCGTTGACAACACGTATTATAGAAATGGCACAAGATATGAGGATGGCGTTCCACGATTGGCCCGCGACTTTTCAAGCCGAAGTCCTCGACCTCAGTTCTTCGCCAGAGAGCACCGCCAGGATTATCCAAGACTGCGATAAGAAATACGGCCCTATATCTCACATGTATGCGCTCGCTGGTTGTCCTAATCAGAATAGGCGCAACCCGCATTGGGGAATGGTTCGTATCTTACTCTTCTCCTCGGAAGCGGAATGCGCGTTGAAATCAATGAGTAGGATACGACCATCGACCTGGTGAAGATTAATGTCTTGGGAGTCGTCTCTGCCGTCCTGTCCATGTACGAATGCATGAAGTCTCGTCGCTACGGAAAGATTGTGAGTTTAGTCATTGGCCTTCTTCACCCAATACCGATACCCTCATCTATGTATAGTGTATCGTCGGCTCTATTTCTGAGAGGAACAGCCCATCCAACATGATCTCCCACGCATCCACTAAATCGTTCATGATCACTTTCGCTTCCAAGCTTCGCGTCCGCGCTTCTACGTCCAACATCGACGTCGTTATCGTCGACCCCGACTTTATCAACAGCGGCATAGCGAAGAAAATTGGCGCAAACACTGCTCAGCACGCAGGTCCACAGTTAATGGCGGCCTTGATGAAGGAGGCAGTGGAGATGGGCGGCGTTGGGGTTGTGAACTTACCCATCACCCATAGCGTCAAGGTATACGCACTTCGGGGTAAGTTAAAAATCTCCCTCCGCGCTTTCTTTGGAAATTGACGCTCATTTCATTTTGTAGCCCTGAATCCCATTTGTGAGGAAATTTGGAACTGGACGGCGATGAAGGTGGGACTCGGGAAGAAGATGACGCGATCTGGGTGAGGCATTCTCGTCTCCCCGGTTGTTTCGGAGGACCACATGTATTTTCGTTGCAGCTGACAGAGGTCTTTTTTTGCACATCGAATCGATATCGCTTGTACCATACGACGATAACTGTCGCGTTCGGACAGAAGAAAGGAGGAAGGTTCAACTATGTTGAATATATTAGAGTTGCAAAAAATTCGTCGGTACGAATTGCCTGTGTGTGAATAAGGCTTGCCCGGCGGGTTCCTCGTGAAGGTTGACGTTGAGAGGAAAGCTGGAGCAAGTCTCCTATATTTATTCGCTACATAGTTGATGGTCAACTAAGGAAATAATTTATTTGGGTCAGGAGGGTTGGTGGCCAATCCCAGAAGTATAAGATATGTGGCAGGCGAGGGAACGAAACACTGCTCGCCTTTGCACAATGCGATTCCGTGTGCAACCAATTTTGAACAAATCCTACACTTTTTCAACACTTTTTGCTCAAAATGGAGGGTTTTAGAGAGGCCTAAGTTGGGCCTAAGCCTGAACTTGATACCGAGCTGTGCTGGTACATCACTAATAGTTCACTATCCCTTCATATTTCTACATGCTATCAAGGGGAGGAGATAGTGAACGCAACTTCTGGAAATGGCACAAGGTCTACATAGTCCTACTATGTAGATCGCATATGCCATGTAAGCCCATCGGCAGCCCCCTGTTATAGAGCCCTATGTAGAAGCAACGAATTACTACAGACTACTGTAGCAGCCTGTAGCAGGACCTACGCAAGTCTACCAGGCTACGCAAGCTATGCGAGTTACTGATCAACGCAGAGATCCAACTCTCGATCAGGTGTGTCGCTATTTTGGCTGACGATTCGACGATGATCACGCCATCACCACCTCTCTTCTCAACATTCCAGCCAGGTTCCAGCAATGCCCTCAGCGCTCAGCGCTCAGCGTGCACCTGCACCTTCGCACCGGATTGAAATGGACTGAAAGCTGAACGGCATGACACATGCAAGACATTGAATTGATATTGCTCGTTTGATCTACACTACGGCACTAGCTTGGACACCAATCGACAGTGGTGTGTACAAATCCTACTTGTATCTGGTACCCTGCTGATCCTCAGACAGCAGAGAATACCACTCGATCGGGGGGTGGGAGACAGGATACCAGCACTGGGTAGTGTTGGCGGATGTCTGACCCTGGTCGTCGCAGGTTGGGAGCGAGGGTCGGAAGACGATGGGGAAATGGGAGAGAGGCGCAACGAGTGTCGATGGGCTTTTTAAAGCAATGGAAATATGCCCGGGGCCTTGGCGGCCTGCATATCAGATGATTATCAGGACCTCGTGGTCTGCCTGACTCTCGGGAACACTTGTGGGCTGGACTTGGAGGTGTAGACTCGCGTAGGTTCGCATAGCCATAGACCTAGGTAAAATTCTCATTACTACTCAGCCAAAACGCCTTTCCAGATGTTGGCATCTACGTCAAAATGTTTTACCCTGCAGTTATCGTCCAATTCTTGTATGGGCCGTTTTTCATATAGGCCTGGTATCTCTATACATGCGTCAGGACTGAATTACTCTGGACGATATGTACTTACGTTCGACTTTGTCTCCAAGTACTTAGGGAAGAACTTCAAATATACTTTCCTTGATCGTACCTCAAAGTAATACTTATTACTTTTACCCAACTTTTACCGTACATAATGGTTGAACGTTGATTGGTCACAAATCCTATCGTCGGCATAACCCTAAGTGCTGCTTGCAATCGTAGGGCGGGATTTCAGACCCGCGCGCTAATAAATTTATTGTAGAGTATCCCTTTACAATCCTGGACGTGAAATTAAAATTCTAGATACGCATCGGCCTAAGACGGTAGACCGTAACGATGAGTTAGGGGAATTCGGTGAGGCGAGCCGATGTGTCGTTTATACGAATCCCCTTATGAAATCAACGCCCTTCTCGCTCGTAATTATTCTTTGGTTTGATAAGATTACGACTTGACTTCTACTGAATATGTGTATCTGAAAGACGTTGGGAATCAATTGGGAATGCAAGAATTTACGACTTTTCTTTTTTTTAAATCCTCTGTTGCAAATGTAGCTTACCACGCAGTAAACTATGTATATCATTGTGTTTATTTTCTCCATAGACTGTAATTTACAAAATGTACTGTAATCCATCCATTTAGGCCTCAAATCTATGTATAACGGTTAAACACTCGGGTGACAGGCACCTTAGCCACGATCAACTTTCAAGCATACCCCAGCTATGATTCCCCACATCGGAAGAAAGTCCCGGTAATTCAAATTCGAAAATTTGTCCCGCCGTGGGCGATTAAAGTTCTACTAATCATTAGCGCGCCAGGCTTTGAGCATTCCAGTCAAATGAGACGAAGAGTTATGACTTTCGCAATAAAGACGCTGCTGTAGAGTAGACTTCATAAATGCGCATACCCTGCTTAATACTGCTACTCCGTGCTATCCAATAACTTCAGGGGGTTTTTATACGTCATCTGTCGGGGAGAAATTAGCCGAAATTAGACGTTTGTAATTTGTTCAGGGTAGGTTTGGGGTAGGTAGTCGAGATCAAATATCGATTCCTCACCTTCCCCACATCGGAAGCCCGGTCCGACTGAAGAGGAGGTAATCAAACGATGACCGTGGTTCAAAACTTTAGTATGTTGAAGGGCCATGCGGGGAAGAAAGCATCGCGCCCCTATGCGTAAGGGGAAGTTCGGGTAAATGAGTAAATTCATGAAAATTTCTCCGGCCAAGGGATGTGCAAACGAACTGAAAACATAATCAAGAAGGGTTGGCTCGATTTTCAGAAGATACTTAAACTACAGCTCGTAAAGCGCTTACTTACGTAAACGAAACTGTCAAGACTTTCGGAGTCTGAATTTGTCCACTCTTCACACCACCCAAACACCACCATGCTGGAACACCTCGCATGCTCTCTTATGCGCCATGCGCGTAATATTCATTTGGATATCTAAATTTTTCAAAGGTCGACGCCTTTTTGGACAGTCGAGCTAACCCTATGTTGACAACGGCTCAATCATGTAAGAATTTGCGAAATCGCCCTGGGTGAAATTGGTCGACTAATGCACTTGCTCAGGAGGTGAATCTCACCCCACCTTGCGATCTACCTTGAGTTGCACGAGGAAAATCTGAGATCGAAAATAACACTATAAAATCTACCCACTCTTAGGTTTCGGACTCCAGGCTTCGGACAAGATGCTTCTCTCCCTCTCTTACGTGTTGGCGCTCTACTCTCTGTCAACGTTCGCTGCGCCCACCACGAATGACGGTGCTCCCCACGTCAAGTTGGGGAAGACTACGCTTGTCGGGAGGGCTATCACAGCGTCAAAGGTCGAGTTCTTTGGAGGTACTGTGGTTCGCATTGGTCGCTTGACGATTTATTGATTGAACAATTTGCTTTGCTTGAAGCTATTCCTTATGCCGAACCTCCCCTTGGTCCGCTTCGCCTCAGGCCCCCTGTGCTGAAAACTCACTTGAACGTTGATACGTTCAACGCGACGAATTTTGGCAAGGGTTGCTTGCAATATGTAAGGCGGCGCTGCCTTGCGATGATTTATGCTGATACTAGGTGTCCTTAGCCAAAGCATCTTACTGCTAATGAAGTTGACGAGGATTGTATGACTATCAATGTTTATCGTCCCGCTGGGGTTAGTTCTAATGCCAAATTACCGGTGGTGCGTTTCATTTTTTCCCTCGATGCCGACACATTAGTGACAACTTTTGCTCAGTTGTTTTGGACGTACGTTTCACAAGACATATCTTCTTTGCTTGTCTTTGATGTAATGATATCTTAGCCATGGCGGTGGGATGATTCAAGGTGCTGGAAACATGTTCAACGGAAGTGCAATCGTCGCTCAGAGCATAAATCGGGTTCGTTCTTCCTTCTCTCACCCTTCCCTTAGCGCAAGTATTCATCTCGATTTAGGGTACCCCAATCATCTATGTCAACTTTAACTATCGTCTCGGCCCTCTTGGGTTCCCTCAGGGTCAAGAAGGTGGGTAATCCTCCATTGCGTCGGCGGTATCACTCAAACATATCATAATTATCGTCTAGCCATCAATAATAAAGCGGTCAACCTTGGCCTCAAGGATCAAGTAACTGCCCTCGAGTGGGTCCAGCAGAACATCGGGATTTTTGGCGGTGACAAGAAAAAGGTCAGTGGCTACCACCAAGGCTAATGATTACGCAATAAATCTCCGATCCAGGTGACCGTCTTTGGAGAAAGCGCTGGGTCTATGATGACGTCCACCCTCTTCCTCAACTCTAACCTCGAGAAATACGCGAGGGCCGCGGTAAGTTTCCGTCATTCATCACCAACGACCCCTACCAACCCACCCTCAGATCTTCCAATCTGGATCCGTGACAAGCGCTGGACTCTTCCCTGCCACGCATCAACAATCCGCTTGGGACGGCTTCGTTGCCCTCGTCCCAAGCTGCGCCGACCTCGTCGCCGCGAATAACACCTGGGAATGTATTCGCAAGGCCCCTGTCGCTGAGATCTTTGCTTCCCTCGTCAACGTGGAGACAAACACGGCCGCGCCCTTCATGCCAGTACTTGATGGGCCGAACGGGTTCATCCCAGATTACCCGTCTAAGTTGTACGCCAAGGGCCATTTCGCAAAACTGCCATTCATTGCGGGGACGAACCTTGATGAGGGTGGGTTATCTTAATCTCATTGGCTCTGGAAAATATGAACTGAGTTGAGGGAATGTAGGGACACTCTTTGTAGCCCCGACGATCAACTCCACCGACCAAGTTCGCGCGATCGTCACCGCCGGCGCCTCCCCCTCCAACAACCCCGCTTTGCTAACCACCTCAGTGGATAAGGTCTTGCAGTTGTACCCCGATACTCCAGCGCTCGGTGCACCCTTCGGGACTGGGAACGAGACATTCGGGTATTCGAGCCAGTACAAACGGATGTCTGCCATCTGTGTGTTCCCTTTCTTCCCTTTTCTTGGTTTCACTCCCAACTGACTATTGTTGTGGCATAGTAACGGATACGATGATGTTGGCGCCGCGCAGATTCTGGCAGAAAGCCGCTGCCGATTTCGGAGTCAAGACTTACGGGTATCTGTTCACTGAGCCTATGCTTGCGGACCCCCCTGCTCTCTCCAGTGCGTTCTTTTCTTTCTTGGCGCGAAGTTGCGGTACTAACCCGCTTGACGTTCAGCAACGCATGCTGTCGATCTCACATTCGTCTACGGTGGGCTCTACTACAAGCCCCTTGAAAACACCACCTCTGCGCATACGGCTAGCAGCTACTTCATTGATTACTGGGTGTCGTTCACGAATGGGTTGGATCCTAATGACGGGAAGGGTGTTCAACGTGAGTTTTTTTCTTTGCATTGCTTCCTTGCGTGTCAGTTGAATGGATGTGTTTGATATCTTAGGCCCGAAGTGGGAACCATTCACGTCTAAGAACCAGGTATGTCTCCTTAATTTCACGCAAAGGATGTTGACACTGATGATGCTTTTCGTAGGTCCTCCTGCAGATCAACGGAAAGAACACGACCACTATCCCTGATACCTTCCGCAAGACACAGACTGACTTCATTAACTCGGATCCGGCAATTTGGTTCCATTAATTTTGAAAAGTGACTAGATTCCATTCCGTCTCGGACTCAGAACTACCTGCGCATCCGAGGGGAGAGGAATAGTGATCATTTGATTTCGTATTTGGATATGGATACTATGATTGATGACGATGTGAGAATGATACGACTACGATTGTACCTTTCGGTTTCGTGTAAAATGCGACGATTTTGTTTGTGGGGTCTAATTTTGACGGCGAAGATGAATGAATACTCGCTTGGGAATTTTGAGAATTTTATCTTGGGCCCCAAGAATGCATGGCAACGACAACTTGCTGGTATCGGTCCACTGATGTATGTTATATCCTAAGCGCCCGAGGCGTAACGCGACGCCTTGTTTAATTATTCAAAGAAGAACCGAATATGTAGTTGAATCTTATGTTTTTTAAAACACGCTTCGAACATCCCTCCCTGGACTGCAGGCAAATTTTACAGAAGAGTATCACATTCTCCACCCTGGGTCGAGAGAGATGCTAAGTTCCGCCTCCCTTCAAGTTGGCTTGATTTAAATGACAAGCCGTCACTGATACAGCGGTTAGAACGAAATTTAGCATCCGCCAAAACAAATATCGGCCGACTAGCTCAGTTGGTTAGAGCGTCGTGCTAATAACGCGAAGGTCTTGGGTTCGACCCCCACGTTGGCCAGAATATCTTTTTCAATATCTGTACATACATATGTAGGTGGGGGCGTAGTATGAATCGGGATCAGTTTTCCTTTTGGCAAGACAATTAATAGTTAGAATCAAGTCAGAACGTCGTAGTTTTTTGGTAGTTATCGGGGACCATCAATGACCACGGCGGACCCAAATTCAGGGGGTGAGGTGGGAGGTTACGTACGTACGTAGGATGGATCGTAGAAAACGCGCTCGACTGAACAAGTCGACCACGAGCGTGAACATGAGAGCAATACTTTGACGGGCCTTGAGGTAGACCAGCGACGAGGACGGGAGTTCACCGAGAAGAGGTCCGAGGGGGGTTTGATCAAGACGAAGAGGGACGTTGACGAAATTGAAGGAGGGAGCTGACCGTTACGAAGTTAAGTTGATCATGAGCCGGCGTGAGGGAAAAGAAAAATGCACGTGGAGGGAGCGGTTTGTCCTTCCTAATGGCCTACCTGCAGAAAGATGGCGGGCGTTATCAGAGTTAAAATCTCAGCAAAAAGCGGCTGCAGTGATCCGTGCAGTAGTACCATTACAACCTCCCGTCTTGCCTCCTTCATCGATATCACGGTTACCATCGAGAGACCTCGAAATTTTTGACGCGGTAACCAGTATCGATATTCCAGAGGCCATGGCATGCTCATCTCGGGTTGGCCATGAAGTTGATGTACGAGAGGGTGGAGGCAGTGGGTAGGTACGACCTGTTCGCCAGTACATACCCGACATTGGAGGCCGTGAGGAGTCGTCGGTACGTTATATCGACGAGGAACAGGCCTTTGAAGTTTGACTCGTTGCTGGCCTTGAAGTGATCTTTGATCAGGGATATTACATTGAATGTGGAGCGTCCCTCACTTTTGTAAAAGTTGGAACATTTTCTTGTCAGTACCAGCACAAGCACTTTTTTCGGGATTCCGAGAATCAGAAATGGGTGTTCGTTTGATTAAATTCACTAAGTATTCAGGTCTGATGAGCGTCACTGCCTCAATGAATCGCGTGACGTCCTAGTTAAACAGTATTGGAGAAGGCACTCTGATACTTGACGTACGGGGAATGTGAGATAATTATAATGGGGGTGCGATTGGAGCGCCCTCGGTACTCTGAGGATTGAGAGAAAAATCCGAGGTAACGTTCTTTGACGTCACGAAGAGGAGGATGAGCAATACGAAGTTGGCAAGATATCGTTTATTGGTAATTATTACCTCATGTGGTCATTGCGTCTCGTAGGTTCGGGGATCATTGATGACCCATAGCAGGGGATGGGATAGTTGGACCTGGGATGGATCATGCAGGACGCACTCGACGGACTGAGTTGATCATGAGTGCGAAAAGTTTGGCGCGCCCGACGGCGGCCGTGGCGAAGTTGACAGAGGGAGTTGACCGCAACGAAGTCGTAGGAGGGAGCTGACTGTAACGAAGGAAAAGGAAGAATTGACCAGTGACGAGGAGGGGAGTTTACCAAGGCACAGGTGGGTCGAGTGGGCCGAAGTCCAAAGGGGAGAACTGATGGGAAAGGCGTGTAATACGCTTTGCTTCATTCCCTCTCGTTCATGGCCGTGGTGAGCAAGCGAGCGAGGCCGTGGATAGGGTCGAGAGAGACTAGGAGTTGCGAGGGACGCATTGATTATAGCGGCGATGCCGTTCAATTGTAGGGAAAAGAACGCGAGAAGAGAAATGAACGCAAGGGGAAGAAGAAGCGTCGGCCGCGGGAATAAAAAACAAAAACAAAAACAAAAGAAGAGGCGTCGGGAAAATTAGAAAGAGTTGGTGCAGGAAAAATTTCAAGACAAAAAGAAAGATGTGTCGGGGAAGGGGGAGAAGGAGGAAACGGTGCAGAGAAACTTTAAAAAGAGAAAGAGCGCTGGAAAAAGCTTCATGAGGAAGAGAAAAAAGCGTCGGGATTCGGGATAAATGGGAAGATGTGAGACGTGTCGCGACGTCGGAGCTATGATGGCTTCGCTGTTCACCTTTCAAGTACAATAGCTCCCCTTTTTCACGATTTACGTTGACTCTAAATTTTCTTTTCTTTCGAGTTTACGGGTAGACGAAGCCGTGATGAGCGGTTGTGTGTGTGCATCATTGTAATGCGAGTCGTCATTTCGTTTTGATGAATACTTGTGGGTTCAAATACTCCGGTGATGCGTTGTTCCAATTTTTTGAAAGTAGTCTTCAGGCCGTAGGATTTATTCCAAAATCTTGTTTGAGCGTTCAACAACGTTCAACGTTCAGATCCTGACGCGAAAGCAAAGATTAGATTAGATAACGGACAATAACTTATCAGCCGAGGAAGGTGAACGTGGAGTGTTTACTGGGAAACTTTTCTTGTTGGTGCTAATTTTCGGGGATTTCTGGGGAATGTGAGACGAGACGCGGTTGGAGCGCACACCCTGGAAATTGGGAGAAGATCCAAGAGTCTGAGCACGCTGCTGGGGGTGACGTTCTTTGATGCTGAAGGGCTGAAGAGTGAAAGGTGTACGTCTGAGGTTGCGTCGTCGTACGTTTGGCCAGGGAAGGGAAGAAGGGAAACGGGCAGGGAAGGGAGGGCAAGGGCAATCGGTGACGTGCGGAAGGGAAGCTGGCGAGATAAAACTCCGATCGGAGTCTAGTCCAAAAGTGGATGGAGTTTGATGGCGATGATCCTTGGCGTTTTTTGTGTTGCTACCCATTTTGTCCACTCACTTCAGCTGGTGCTGGCTGGTTTTCTGCTTGCGCGCCGTTCGTTCGTTTGCTCAGTACGTCTGTTTTCTCTGTTCCTACGTGTTTTTTCTTATACCAGCAGCAGAGAGATGGAAACCACGCCACCACCGCCTCAACCCCGCCCACGCAAACAACCTGTCCCGATCCTCCTCGAATCCTTCCCCATCCCTCCTACTTTCATCCCTTCCACTCCTACCACTGCAAACCCACCACCATCAGGTCCACCATCCACACCACTCCCTCCCGTTCCTGGGCCCAGTAGGATATCAGAGTACGATACCCTTAATCTCCTATTTGCTGCGTCCAGGTATTCTCATGGTGGTGGGAGGGAGTCATTAGGGAGTACCCGGCATAGTGCTGGCTATGCTTTTAGTGGTCCTGCGAGTCCGAAGATACCCGCGGGGAGGAGGGCTTCCTACGTCGTTTCGCCTGTGCCCAGTTTGGGGCTGGACGATGAACTTCCTGCTTTGTCCGCAAGTCAAAGGAGGGCAAGAAAAGGAAGACGACATAACCACCAAGCAAACGAATCGATATCCGAAATCGACTTTCGTGACATCCTCTCTTCCGTCTCTGTGATGAGCGACGACGACGAGGTGTTGGTCCCTCCGCCTAGTCCCTTTCCTAAACGGCCACCCCAGACTTCTATAGTACAAGTGGTGCCATCTCCACGCGATTCGGCATCTATACCGCTTGCCTCGCCTTTGAGGAGGGCGTTTGAGGACCAGCAAGTTCGGCACCTCCACCACGAGCAACATGAGAGAGGGCAAGGGCATAATTACATGGCATCCGTTGCCGACTTGATTGATCCCGCTTTTGCTCCCCCATCTCTTTCTGAACGGCCGCCCATTACCGCTTCTGCCGGTCCATCGACTACCTCTGTAGACCACCCTCGTCCTCCAGACCACCGGCATCCACCTGTCTCTACCTCCTCAGATCAACCTACTTCCACCTCTTCCCAAGACGCAGCTGCCCTCCACCGTCAACTCCGCTCGACCCGATCAAGGAGCGCCTCTCATAAACAGGCGTTGACTTTGAGGAGTCCTCCTCCTTTGGATGAGCTCCCTCCACCCCCTAGCTTGGGTGCGTTGCCTGCGCTTGCTGCGGGTGACACAAACGGCGGTCTAGAACCCTCCTCGTCGATCCTTTCCACAGCTAGTACTTCTGGGAGCTTGTATTCGGTCGCTACGTCCTTGAGTGCGTCCTCCTCCTTGAGTGCGATGACGACTTCGTCTTCGATGACTATGACGACTGCACGTACAAGTCCTGCCTCTGTTTCGCCTGATTTGGTGAAGGCTGGCCTTTCAAAGTCGACTATTACGCGGTCGAAAGACTCGTTTGAGGGTTCAGAGTCATCGAACCACACGAAATCCACCCCAGATCTCTCCAAATCAACTTCAACACGTCCGAATCCGAAAGAGGCCTTTGTCGATCTTTCCAAATCAATGTCTTCCTTATCCTCTAAACCCTCTTCAATACCCCCTCGAGGAACCTCTCCACTCCCACCAAGAGGCACCTCTCCAGACATCGACGCCATCCTCTCCCAAACGCCCAAACCGAAACCACGGCCTGCCCGAGCAGCGCGTGCTTCCGATCCGTTGTCCAGGGCTCCTTCTGCTTCAGCTTACACAATGGGAGAAGGGAAGAGGAGGGCGTCCGAAAGTTTGTTGGCGCTTGGATCTCATTCCTCCGCCTACGCGAATTCGAATTCCACGACGACGATCCGTGCGTCTGTGTCTAGCTCCGAGGGTTCAGGGGCGTCTTTGAATTATAGGAGTCGACGCATAGGCAGTGGAACCACACCTCGCACGAACAACCGGTACTCTTCCAACGACGACTATCAGGAACAGGAAGAGATGACGCGCCATGGTGATAAGGACGAGATTGAGAGGCTTGAGAGGGCTTTGGATGGGTATGGGAGCGGGAGCAGTGATGATGAGGGAGGGGGTGGTCGTGGTGTTGGACGACGGGGTGCTGGCAAAGGGGGGAAATTTACCAGAGGGGGAAGACGTGGAGGAGGGGAAGAAGGGGACAGTGATTCGAGTTTGGATTTACATACGCCTCTTCCGTGAGTTTCTTTCTCTTCTTCGCATCCATCTCGACGAAACTGACCTTCTACCCCAACAGACACCTAATGCTCAGACATGGCCTACTCTCGCCAAACTCCAAGCTGTTACCACACGAGTCCGAGTCCCGTATGGACCTGGATGGACGTCCGGGGAGCATTATGACTATGGCTTCAAACGGTGAGGATCCGTTCGTTTATGTTTTGTAGATTTCGGTTTTGTGGTTCCTCTCATCTCTCACACTCTACCTACCCCATTCCATCCCTTCTCATTCCTCGAGCGTCCACGCCCTGTCCTCTCTCCCTCCTTTTTGCGCTTTCTCCACTTCTGGTCTCATATTCACCTCTTCCCATCTCCTTTTCCCCCTACTGACCCTACCTGCACAGCCACGACCAAAACCGGAATCATCAAAGACGAGCGGGACACACCTATGAGGAGGGTGCGTCATCGGGATGGGCGGCTCTTGCGTGGTGGGATTGGGTTGACCACTGGGTTGGGGTGGAGTGATAGGTGGGTTGCCTTTTCATTCTTGTTATGAGGGGTGTGGGTTTCGGGTTATGTGACGGGGGAATGGGGTGAAAACTTCACTTGAGCTTTCATCTCGAAGACTATGTGATGGGCGGGTTTTTGCCCTGGGTGGAGTGCGGTGATTGATGGATCATTCAGGCTGCAGTACGTTGGTTGGTTGGACAACTGACTGGCATTGATCCTTCGGGCGTGATACACCCTATCTATCTGCGGGATTACTTTAGGCTGGATCTCCGTTCCGCTTCCGTCTTCATTATCACTGTAACTGACACCTCTTTCCCTCACATAGCGAAGACGAAGATGCACCATCACCACTCACCCGTCGCCTATCAACACTCAACCTTTCTCGTCGCTCATCAGCGGCGTCTTTGGGCAAGGAACACAGCCTCCGTAGTGTCTCTTCTGCCAAACACCCCCTTTCGCGATCATACTCCAGCGGCGCGCTCATCGAAGAAGCTCGAGACGACGACTACTTTAACGACATATCCGCGACGACTCATGCTCCATCTAGCTTTGCTTTGAAAGGCAGATCGTCTCTACCCCCAACAGCATGGCAGCGCAAAGCAAGCTCTGCTACGGGCAGCAGGACGAGCACCTCTAGTGCTGGTTCTCGTTTCTCATTAGAGGTCAGCATACCAGAGGATGGGCCTACTAGCACAGGGAGCAGGACGCCTTCGAGGATGAGGAGGCCTAGTGCAGGTCCGACAGAGTCGTGGAGACAGTCTGCGGGGTCGAGTACGGGGGGGAAGGAGGACTGTACGGCGATCACTACGCCTTCGTCGACTGCGTCTACGCTCAGCATCCCCATGCCCGTTACGCCCCAGGCGGATTGGAAAGGCCCCACATCGCCGCCTTTGGATAAGGACAAGTCGTTGCCGCCGTTACCTGTCCAGCGGTACCCTTCCAAGACCCGGATTTCTCCTGTTGGTAATGTGGGGAGTACGACGACCAAGTATGCGTTCCCTCGACCGAGGACGTATTCTGCTTCGGCTACCAATGCTGTTTCTACGCCTTTACCTCAAGTGCAACCATCACAGACGACGACGACAACGACGAATGTCGTCAAACCATTACAGCTCCCTCGCCTTGGATCGCGTATCGCCATGGCGGGTGGGGGTGGAGACCGACCTGCTGTTCCAGTTCCCTCTGTACCGAGTACTCCTTACTCGTCATCGTCCACGTCACCGCCGTTACGTGCACAGTCGAGGAGCGCGGCCGCGACGCCTACGGATATGAAGCCTAAGCCTAGGACGGGGACGGGGATGACGTATAGGACGGCGAGCGCTTCGAAGATGAGGGCGCCGATGCAGTTGGCTTCGGCCGCTGCTGCTACGAGCGTTGGAAGGGCGCCAGGGACGAGGGCTATTGCGTTGTGAGATTTTCGGAGCTGTGGATCTATCTATGTTGGTTGGTTGGTTTTTATTTCATCTTTTTTATTACTATCTCCCCCTCTCTCTTCCATCGATTTCACTCTCATCCTATCATCTCTCTTTCTTCCTCGCGAATAGATATTTACTGTATTCTACCCACTTCCTACTACTACTACCCTTCACGCTCATTCGGCGTTTCGCTGGTTACATTTTCTATCTCTCGATATCTATACCTTCACATGTCTATATGCTCACTCTCATTACTACTCGTCGTTATTATACCTACACTCTCATTGTACCGGTTGCTTCGGATATTTGGAACAATTCACTGTTTGTCTCTAATTTTTGAGAGTTCGTTTGAGTTTCTTCCATACTGTATGAAATTGATCGACTATCAACTTCATATCGGAGTCTGACATCGGGAGACGAGGAGTTTCTAGCACTACAATGAGACAATTCAATCAGAAATGCAGCCCCTCCCTCCTGAACCACAACATGCACCTTCACTAACTGGAGAACGGATTCAAAGTACTTTAACTTAATCATAACCCACATCGCTTGGAGCCTGAGGCATTCCTCGTCCACGCAGTCAAAGTCAAGCCCGGGCCACTCTGTAAATTTAGTCTCGTTGCTCAGTGGAGGGGCTTTAAGAAGATGTCCAGCTCCTCTAGTGCCGGAAAAGGCTCGGAACTCTCGAGAAGTTCCAAGAATCGAACCCACACCGGTTGCGCCCTTGATGAGAATTGACCTTTGAGAACGTTGCAATTCTCCACATCATCGTCTTCAGAAACGCGGATTTTGTGGATTAAATGAAAAATCGCTTGTCCAGTGTTCAGGCAGTTCAGCAGAACGTTTGATTGAGGAAGCACCAGAGAGGCACTGTGTTGTTGACCCTTTTTGCCGCCCAGGGTCATCAATTGAACGTTGTACATAGATGTCAACCGTGAGAAATTATAGAATTTGGACTTCCTTCTGTACACCCGACGTCCTCGACTTCTCGTCCCCTTCCCATGTAATATGCCCAGCGTTACTTCCAAAGTTTCGAGTCTCTACAATGCCCCACGCTTGGCGACTCTAATTTCCAGTCTCATCGTCGCTCTCGCCTCTGGAACTGGCTATGTAAGCCTAAGTTGTGTTGGCTTTTGTTGTTGCGTACTGACGAACTGCACACCAGGTTTATTCAGGTGAGGTGTGGTTCTGGAATTGGGCTTTGCTATGGTAGATGTTGAGGCGACGTCAGCTGTGGGCGGTCGATCATTTATGGCCATCTATTCCGATAAAGAATGGATACCAATGTCGTTTTATGTTGTCCAGCATACGCCCCCCAATTAGGCTCCCAACTCCGCATCACTCATGCTCAATTAAACATCGTCGGCGGGGCAGGAAACGGTAAAATCACGCTTTCATCTTCCTCTGTCATGCTAAATCCCTTCAGTCGGTGGCAGTATCAGCGGTCCTGTTGTGGGACGAATTGTTGACTCCCGAGGTCCCCGAATCCTGTTTGTGTGCGCCTTTCTTTTCCTTCTTGGAGGATACTCTGGAATACGATATATCTATGACAAGGGTATTCCAGAGGACGCTACTTCTCTTTCCGCGTTCAGCTTCTCCCTCCTAATCTTGTTCGGGTTCATGACTGGCGCTGGCAACCATTGTGGTATCACGGGTGCACTTAATACCATTGCAAAAACTTTCCCAGATCGCATGGTACGTTGTATGTCTTGTCACGTTTCGCAACCTTTTCCTTTATCTCTTTTGTAGCGCGCATCCGCAAGCGGACTAGTTATCTCGGGCTTGGGCCTGTCAGCCTTTTTGTTTTCCACCATCTCCCACGCGTTCTTTGCGGGCGACACATCGTCCTTTCTGCTTCTGTTGGCAATTGGAACATCACTTCCTATGATTCTGGGTTTTTTTCTCGTACGCCCCATCCCTCTACCGCCGAGTGAAGAGGAAATACCCTTGGATACTCGATACCCTGATGATAGCAGCAATACGCCATTACTAGAAGATAGCGGTGATAATGTGAGCGGTGATGACGAGGAAAATGGGCTAGGTGATGATGATGATATATCACTATTGGTGGCCGAATTGTTAACATTTCATCTTTCGACTGGGCAAGAAGATGGTGATAGAAATTTAACAACGACCCCTTCCCAACGAGTAAGGGGTCCAAGCCATACGCCAGCTACAAGCCCGGAACTGTTCCCAAATCTATACGGGAGGAAATTATGGACAAGCGGAGATTTTTGGTTGTTGTTTACTCTCCTTTCCCTGCGTGAGCCATCACCATCCTATTTAAATTAATCTTTCGTTTCATTTCTATGTTCAGTCAGCGGGACGGGTTTGATGTGTATGTATTCGTCCGATCTTTCCTTCACGCTCGTTGATGAATTTGTAGATATCAATAACGTCGGTTCAATGGCTCAAGCCCTATACGGTTACAAAAATCCTCAGTACAATCCGATCAGAGCTTCCCAATGGCAGGCAACGCAAGTCTCTACAATAAGTCTCATGAATTGTGCGGGGAGGCTCTTCATCGGTCTGTATCTCTCCTGTGCATATTCCTCAGCCCTGTAATTTGTCTATCCATAGGCGTGATATCCGACTGGGGCAAAAACCATTTTGGCGTGCCGCGTTCATACTTCCTCACGCTCGTCTCGTTTCTCTTCTTCACCTCTCAGTTAGCTACAGCCTTCATTCACGATATAAAAAGGCTGTGGATCGCCAGTACCCTCCTCGGTTTCGCGTACGGGAGTCTTTGGTCACTATTCATAATTGTATGTCTGGAGTGGTTCGGGATGCGTGAGTGTTGTCTTTACTCGTCAAGAACGCACATTCTGATCATGACGACATTTAAGCCCATTTCTCCGAGAACTGGGGGTATCTATCTATGTCACCCATGATTTCAGGAAATCTTTTTTCTATAATATTTGGGCGGAACTTTGACGCGCATGAGGGTGTCCAGACAGAGGTCATACATTATCCGAGGGCTTCTCTCAAGCTAATCCATGATTCTGATCCCACAACCTCTGCCGATCTTAGATGTATCCAAGGTTTAGAATGCTACATTGACAGCATATACCTGACGATTGGAATTACCTTGTTGAGTATACTTCTCAGTGTGTGGGCTGGGTGGAGAGACAAGTGGAGAGGCTGACCCTGCTAGGTTTCTTGTAATTTATATTGATTTCCCCGACGTTGATGATAGAATTCTTACAGTACCTCGACTTAGATATGATATTTGCAATCATTCAACAATCTCGCACTCCGCCAAACTCTTGGCGAGATTCCTTATAGTTGGTACAAGGCGCTTCGAGAGTTACCTGTCGCATTGTTCAAACCTGCATTTGGTGTTCACTGACTGTGGTCCAACAGCTTTCTGGGCGTCGTACAAGAGAGGAGCATTGGAATGCGAGCATGCCTTCCAATCTGGACTGCACCTAATTTCAGAAGGCTCTGATTCGAAGTTGTCGGATATAATTGGCCTACACATAAAATACATTCGACGTAAGAGAAAAACGCAGGAATTGAAATACCTGAACTCGTCAAAATAGCCAGCTTCCTCCTTTCTCGGTGTAAAAAATGTATTGGGTGTCAATATTGGGATAAAATTAAGAGAAGTCGGTGGTATGTAAGGATTTGCCGTGGCTAGTAAACTATTTGGAAGGACAAACCGCTCTATCCATGTACGTTTTTCTTTCGTTTTCCCCGCGGATTGTTTACGATGAACTCGCAATCTTATCAGGCCTGATTACCTGGGCATTGGCTTGTAAGTCAAGCTTATCTTATCGGCGGGTATAGCAGCATTCCGCTGTAAAATAGCCGCCCGGAGCCTTACAAGGCTCCTGGGAAATTTACGACATAGATAAAAAGGACGAATGGTAGACTCTTACTCAAAAACTTTAGCCCAGTCCTTAGTCATCGTTACCCTTAACAGCAATTTCAATCACAATGACACCTGGTATGTCACTTTGTAACAATTCAACAATGTTTTATGGCCCAACTGAACCTTTCGCTACCTTCAGAATACGTCAATATCCTCCTAAACGCTTGCCAGCAGCACAAAAGACAAATCAAGTTCACCGAAGAACATTCAGGTCCCGAACACGACAAAACCTTTACCGTGATAGTCTTTAGTAAGACCCCTCTTGAGTACTTAGTAACATTCAATGCTGAAGTAAGTTCCCCGAACGCAGTTGACGGTATTGAGGCGGGCAAAGGAGCTGGGAAAACCAAAGGGAGTGCGAAAGCAGAAGCTTGCAGGATGGCTTTGGAGTGGATCGGCTTTTTGTAGCATTACCCCCTATACTTAGTTTGATCCACACCGCACGGGCCTATTTTTGTTCCCGTCGCCTATTCTGCAGGGTAGTACTTAATGCTAGTTGACTAACTTGGACTGACACGAGATCATCTACATGGGCAACTGGAAATCTGCGTTGGCGTGCGTTGGGCGTGCGTGCCAATTAAGGCATCTCTGATTTCAGATCCCTTCGTTTTTTGTTGGACTGTACGCCGTCGATTTCAGGGTCATTGGCGCTGGCGTTGTCATCGTCAATGAAGTCTTGGGAAGTCCATCTTTTCCCTCTTCTGGATTGATTGCTGAGTTGTGATATGAGTTCGTTCATTGACAGCTGCATTACGTCGCTCGTTCCTGAGGTGGATAGTTCCCCAGGCATTTCCCCAAGCGTGGGTTGGGGTAGAATTCGCATGAACGTTCACGGCCGGATAAAACACTGGAGGAACGGTGAGCAGGCGGAATTGACTTTGCCAAGTAGAGCCTGGACATAGAATGTCATTCACAGTCTGTCATGAGCTGCCTTTGAGGGGAATGAAACGTCGGGTAAGTGCTGCAAGCGCGTTAGTAGTATCTCAGATAATTTGAACTTCTTATACTAACACTCAGCAACACCAAGACTAGAAATGTAGGAGGGAGACATTGGCAAGCTCCCGTGATTTCGTGCGTTGTGATTTCTGCAAGACAGTTTGAGTATACACTGTCGTTGTTGTATGATGTAGAGAGTACTTATAGTCCTAGCAGCTTAGGAATCCGGGGTTCTACGGAAGAACGCCGGTGGGGTCAAGGTGGGGTAGCAACAAGTTCTATGAGCTCTTGAGGAGTGGGACTGTTGCGGAAGCGCGAAGTAGAGGGTGCCTTGTATTTGTGCACTGCGACGCCTTCACTCCAGAAAATGACCTCCTACTGCAGACACCGCGAGAGCAGTAGCAAACGAGTGCATGAGTAGTGAAGGCGGCGATATTGTCGCCGACGTCGTGGTGGTTAAGATCAAGAGCTTTGTAAGTTGGCGACTCTCAAAAAAGTAAGGTCCGACGTCTTACATACAACCTACTGGTAGCGGAAAGTATGCCATGAGCTTCTCTTCATATTTGGGCCTCAGCCTGTAGATGGAATTCTCAGATCAGAAAAAGGATGTCTCCGACTGGAAAGCATCCTTCCCGCCGCTCTCTCGCCCGTTCCATCCGTCCACCTATACCCTCCACCAAGGTCAAACATGTCCCACGGCAGCCTTTTAGCCTACGGCACTATCATAACGCCCAGCTCAACTAACTTTTCTCAATCGCGTAAATCGACACTATCACATCGGACTTAACGAAAACTTCGTCTGTCCCCTCCTCTCTAAAGGACGCCAATTCGTCCTTCCTGTACACAACCTCCAGAGCGTTGTTGAGGGGTATTGGTGCGAATTTGACATGGTCTTCTACACCTCTGGTCACTTGACTCCTTCTCCTCCAGACGCCGATGAGACTGAGAAATCGAATCTTTGGCACCGTAACGGAGATGAGGCGAGTTTACCGTGACTCTGAAGTTCGCGAGGGGCAATATCGAAGGGAAACCGGGTGGGAATGGTGTGCCGTGAACGTTCAGTGCTCACCCCTTGCAGCTCAATAAACACCTTCCTTCCCCCCCACTAAAATTTCGTCCGAACCTTGTCCACGATATCCGCGTTCATCGAGCTCTTGTCCCGATTGAATCCGTGCTTGATCGCTTCCACTGCCTCTAACCTCTCTATTATCCATCCACCCAGAATCACCACATCGACATCCACAGCGCATCCCACCTTGCCCAGCCAACCTTCGCTCCCGCCATAACTCCCTATATGGCGCCGATTTTCACAATCCTCACAGTGCAATCCTGCGCCAGCTCAATGTCATCCGGGTTCTCTTGCCTGGCGGGTTGGTTGATATTGCGATGGAGCTGGGAGAACCGTCATAGAGGGACAACTAGTACATGAGGGATTGGCTCTCGCGGCATCGAGAGGCCTGAAGCACGACCTTGGAGCTCGTAGAAGTCGATGAAGAGAAAATGGCAGAAAGTGAGTCGCGTTTCGTATAATTCCGGCCCACATCCACTCTTTTTGCCTTGCTCATCGAAGATATATCCAAAGGTTGTCCACAATACTCATGTGGAACAACCACGAGAGCGTCGACCAATCCGTTGTCCACGATCCGCCTCGGGGCTACACATACCGGAACGAAGCCATGCTTCCGTGTCATCTGGACTCTGGAGGGCCCTCCCAACGATCGACGTCAGTCAAGAGGATACTGAAATAGGCCAAGAGCATACTTGGCTTCAGCACCGAGGAGAGGTGATGGACGAGCAGTCGAGATTGGGAGGTGTAGGCGCGTTGCTGGTGCGGAGGGGTAGATTCTGAGGGAACTGCGAAGGTCGGCTGTTGTTGACCGTTGCTTTCGGTTAGGAGAAGAAGCGAAGCGGGCAGATGCGAGGGTGCAAGAGATTGCGCTTGGACTTGGGAGACTAGCTGAATGTGTAGAGTCATCTATGATGGCAGTCGTTAGCTACCGCCTTTATAGAAAAGGATATGAGCTCACTTGAGTCTGTCAAGCGAACCAAGGGCCGAAAGCTGACCAATCCCCCATGCAAGTGAGGATTCGGCGATAAATCAAATAAATCGGCGTACTGTTTTTTCGTTCGGGGGCTGAGATCTGAGACTCGGCGCTGCGCAGCCAAATCTGACTGTCACTTTTGTTAGCGGAGGCTCCTGTGTCCAGCGTGTACACTCATTTCCATGAAATTTTTGACAGATCTTTTTGAGATCTTTGCTGCTATACGTTGGCTATACGAACTCGCATCGGGAAAATGCGGAGTGCAACTGTGGAGCACCGCCCATCCAATGGGTGCCTTCGTATTCACCCCCTTGTCATGAACTTTGTAGGTGCCATGCAGAGCCAGCTTGCAAAAAAGTCTGACCGAAAACTTGAAGGGTGGACCACCGAAAAACGAAGGCGTGTATTTATGTCAAAACAGACCCAAACATTGATTGCCTCTGAGTGCTTAAGCGCTTATCTTTCTTTCCCTCCCTCATCTTGAACTCTTACCGCCATCCTCGACCACTCAGAATGAGTGGCGTACATATTTTTCCAAGTGCCCATGGCACTACTGTAAGCGGCAGCACGTTCTATGCATCTGACACCGTGAGTACTTGGAACTGCCATATGCCTGCCCAGAAAACTGATTGCATGGATCTGGTAGATGCACATCCAGAACATCAGTGGCAATAAGACGGCATCTGATGGGGTCATTCCCCTTATGCCAAATCCGAGCAATCGGTTCACGGGGCGGACAGCACTCATCACCAAACTCAAGAGCCATTTTTCCAACACAAATGAGAAGAGAAAGTTCTTCCTGTTGTATGGAATGGGGGGTATTGGAAAGACTCAGATTTGCTTGAAGTTTGTTGAAGAAATGTTTGACTAGTGAGTATCACTGAACCAATCCTCATTTCTAAAACTTCAATTGTCCTTAGTTTCTCTTCTGTTTTCTGGATTGATGCTTCCTCAGTTGGCACCATCACACAGGGACTTAAGGGTATCTGTAATCTTCCTGCAGCCCAGTCTAGTGGGCTGGATGGCTCACCTGAATCTATTCTTCACTGGATTGGCTTGCTGAGAGAGAACTATGTAATGGTCTTTGACAATGCTGATGTCCTATCACCTGCTCAGCTGGAGGCTTATTTTCCACCACCTGGAAAGGGGGGAAACATTGTGATAACTAGTCGCAATGCTGCCATGAAATGTTTGACTTTGCCAGAGAATTCTCTTGAAGTAACTGAAATGGAAGAGAATGATGCTATTGAATTACTTTTAAAAGCCAGTTGCTTGCATGCACCTTCAATGGAGTTTCAGGCTGAAGCTTCTAAGATTGTGAAGGAGCTCTCTTACCTTCCTCTTGCTATTGATCAGGCTGGTGCTTACATTGCTTCTGGAGCCACCACCCTTGGAAACTATCTTGCAAAATATTTTGTGCATTGAAAAACATTATTATCCCATTCTGAATTTACTGGAGCTTCTAAGTATAACAGAAGTGTTTATGAAACTTGGGAGCTATCATACAAAGAAATTCATCAAAGGGCTGAATCTGATGATTGTCATAAGTCAAATGCAGCCAATATTGCAATGGTCCTTCTGGAATTGTTCCCTTTCTTCCATCATGAGGGAATTACTGAGAAGATATTTTCTTATGCTGCTCTTCAACAAGATAAAATAACTTCTAGCCCTGAATTGCCACTTGCCACATCTATGTTGGATTGGAGACTACTGCCTCTGAACAAGGCAGGTACTTGGGATAATTTACTTTTTGGAGAAGGCATTCGGGTATTGCTATCCTTCTCCTTGATCAGAAAAGCACCATCTGATGATGTGTATGCAATGCATCCATTGGTCCATGCCTGGGGCAGAGATAGGATGACTTTGAATGAATGGAAAAAATCTTGCTTCATGGCATTTGTTACTTTGTCATGTTCACTAGATGAAGGCCAACCATATGGATTTCAGAGGGCCTTAGTAACACATATACGAGAAAACATGGAGTATTCTAGATCAGGAAGTAATCAGAGCATTATTCGTTACTTGGATGATGCTTTTCCCAAATTTGGAGAACTCTTGCAAAAACAAGGATATACAAAGGAAGGAGAAATTTTGCAGATCAAAGTTTTGGATACAAGGAGAGAAATTCTTGGGGTAGAACACCCAAATACAATAAGAGCTATGGCAAGTCTTGCATCAACAAATCGAGACCTGGGAAAATACACAGAGGCAGAGAAGCTGGAAATCCAAGTTCTGGATGCAAGAAACAGAGTTCTTGGAGTGGAACACCCAGATACAATCAGAGCCATGGGAAATCTAGCAGTAACATATCAACATCTGGGCAAATACACAGAGGCAGAGAAGCTGGAGATCCAAGTTCTGGAAGCAGGGAACAGAATTCTTGGAGCAGAACATACAGACATGATCCATGCTATGGGAAATTTAGCAGCAATATATCAAAACTTGGGAAAATACACAGAGGCAGAGAGGCTGGAGATCCATGTTCTGGATACCACAAACAGAATTCTTGGAGAGGAACACCCAGACACAATCAGAGCCATGGCATATCTAGCATCTACGTATGGAAACCAGGGAAAATACATAGAGGCAGAGAAGCTGGAGATCCAAGTTCTGGAGGCAAGGAGCAGAATTTTTGGAGTGGAACACCCAGACACAATCAATGCCATGGCAAATCTAGCACAAACATATTATTGTCTGGAAAAATACACTGAGGCAGAGAAGTTGGAGATCCAAGTTCTGGATGCAAGGAATAGAATCTGTGGAGTAGGACACCCAGACACACTTGATGCCATTGCAAATCTAGCAGCAACATATTATGGTCTGGGAAAATATACTGAAGCAGAGAAGTGGGAGATGCAAGTCCTAGATGCAAGGAATGGAATTCTTGGTGTGGAACACCCAGATACAATCAGAGCCATGGGAAATCTAGCAGCGACATATCGGGACTTGGGAAAACACATACAGGCAGAGCAGCTAGAAGTACAAGTTCTGGATGCAAGGAACAGAATTCTTGGAGTGGAACACCCAGACACAATCAAAGCTATGGCAAATCTAGCAGCAACATATAAAAGTTTGGGAAAATATACAAAGGCAGAGAAGCTGGGAATTCAAGTTCTCAATGCAAGGAGCAGAATTCTTGGAGTGAAGCACCCAGACACAATCAAAGCCATGGGACATCTAGCATTGACATATAAAAGTCTGGCCAAGTACACAGAAGCAGAGAAACTGGAAACCCAAGCTGATGAATTGAAGAATAGAGTTCCTGGACAAGAATCTCCTCATAGAGTGGCCACCATGGTCAATGTCCAAGATACCCAGGAAAATCAAGTTCCTGATGCATGCAGCACAGTCCCTGGTGAAGAAAACCTGCCTTCAACAAAGATTGTTTTGAATCATCCATTTCAAGAAGTTTGTCCATATACAAAAATGAATCATGAGAAAAAAGGTATATTTTGGAAATTATTATTTGAGCGCCCTCTGATGTTTTTATCCCCAGTCTATTTTTTTTCCACACTTGGATATTTAATTCTGATTTCATGCATTGTTCTCATCTATTTTCTGTTTCCCTGATATTCTAACTTTTTTGTCTGATTCATTATACTTTCTCTCTTATACTGCACTTGAACCAAACCCTCCTCAATCCCCTTCATTTGCTGTCCAATGCACCCATTGATTTCTACTGTGCCCCAAGGACACTTCAATATGTTGGCTCATGTGCACCCTCTGCCAGATTAAATGCCCAGGTCATCTAGTACTTGAAGCCTTTCACCTGGTTGCCCAGTTTATACCCAGTTTTGCAATAACAGGTGATTTTAACTTAACTTGGTTTCACCAGTTTACTTGGTGAGACAGTTAAATTTACCCTGACCACACCACAACATGAGTTAATTCAAACCAATATTAACAAAAAAAAAGAAACTCCTCAACCAAGTTCTGGAAAGGTTCAGTTGTTCATTTTTAACTTGTAAAACAGATACAGTTGAGTGCAAAAAGAATGAAGGTTGGTTCATTTTTCTGGTTCTTTCTAAGAATCTATTGTACCTCAAATGTATTTGTATATTCTTTTACATTATGTAGTTGTGTTACACTTCCCTTGGTATGGACTAATTTCAGTGAAAGCTGGAGCCTTGAGAAGGTTTTTATTCTGGAGGCCATTTTTGGCATCTGAAAAAAAAAAATGTGCAAACTGGAGAGGTAGCCAGAGCATACCTCTCGTCAACCTGAATGAGGCTATCAAAGAATTAGTTAAAAATACTGAGCGGTTATGCTTGTAGAGCCTCCAGAAAATGGTCATTTTGTGCTATTTTGGTCATTTTTGGCCTGTTTTAGACAAAACAAGCCATTTTCCAAAGCCGGGGATCTACAGACCTAACCACTCAGTATTTTTGACTAATTCTTTGATAGGCTCATTCAGGTTGACCAGAGGTATGTTCTGGCTACCTCTCCAGTTAGCGCATATTTTTTTTTTCAGATGCCAAAAATGGCCTCCAGAATAAAAACCTTCTCAAGGCTCCAGCTTTCACTGAAATTAGTCCATACCAAGGGAAGTGTAACACAACTACATAATGTAAAAGAATACACAAATACATTTGAGGTACAATAGATTCTTAGAAAGAACCAGAAAAATGAACCAACATTCTTTTTGCACTCAACTGTATATTCACACCTAGCAATCCTCCCAATTATAACAGCTCATTTACCAAACTACGAAGTGAGTCACTATCCTGTCTGAATGATTCACAGAAAAGTTAGTCATTTAAGGTGAAGCTTGCATGAGCAAGGACTCGACAATGGTCAATTAAAACCCATTCTTTTCTATTATTGAACTGGCCAACATGACACTGTATTGTGGTGATATCAACAACCTTGGTGCGACCATGCTCAACCAATGAATATTTTACATATATGATATCACCTTTTTGTGGCTGCAAAGTTGAAATAATAATGAATCTTTTTTATTTTAACATTTTGCCAATAATGTATTTAACATAATTATCTGCTTTTTATTACCTCTTGACCAAGCAACAAATTTTGTTTGTCCCTTCATGTGGTGAAGAAACTATTATGATGAGGACTTTGCATTAGCAAACCAACATCCCCTCCTACACTGTACCCTACTAACGCCGATTGACTTAAAACTCTTTAACAGTGAACTAACATCAGGAGGAAGCATTACATGGTACGCATGAGGCGCGCTCAACGTGTCTGCCCGACTAAAAAGATTGATCAAAAAGTGATGTAATCATCGAGGAACGGTAATCTTCTCTCGATCTGGTTTTGAGATGTGGAGAATTACTTTACATCGTACTAGTTCATGTGAGGGTGGACATATCCAAACCTGAAGCACATTCAATGTTAGGATTGGGAATGGGAGGATAGTTCGAAGACGGCCGGCCTCCTTTACCGCATTTTCCAAGCCACAAGTGGTTTGACCTCAGGTAGATGCCCAGCATATATAACACGAAACACGAATGATATCAGCACTTGATAAAATTACCCACTATCATACTCGGAATACCATGCCTGTCTCGCCGGATTGTGAAAGAGAAGCAACAGCTAATAAACCCTTCCTCGCCCTGCGGTTCCGTCCCCGCAGCCTCGTCGTTCTTCAGTGATTTCTTCGGTGGTATCTTTGGGCTGTAAGACCCAACTTTGATCATGGGCTTGTATCGCAGCACGCATGACGTGAGGACAGCTTTTTGGCTCGGGTCGAACGCGACGTGACCGTATTTCTGCATGGGGGGTCAGGAGAAAAACATTCAGAGTGGAGGTGAACCTACCTCCCAGTAATTAACCGCTGATTCTTCGGCCATGAGTTCGTAGATGCATAGTCTTCCCTTAAGAAAAGAAACGACGATGAGGAGGGACAGTAAAAGCGTGAAGCGGACATACTTCACGCATCATATACCCATCCACTCCAACGAGCTCCGTGAACTCCCTATTGCCCTTGTATATTTCCCCCGTCCGCCTCCACAAACACGCTGGAACACCCATCGCCGAGAAGACACGGTCGTAATCGAGGAGCATCCGCTCAAACTCTTCTTCGATAAATACCAAATCAATATCCTGAAGCAACTGCGCGACTGCCTAAATCCCACTGCCTCAACAAACAAAAAAAGACTAAGCGTAGGGACGAAACCACTCACTCTGAATTTCGGACGTAACACAGAAAGCGGCTGGAGAATCTGCTGCTTCGACTCCTGGGACACATTCTTGTCCATCCACAAGGACAGCCGCGTGTACCCCTTGCCGTAGTTGTGCGGCTTTAATAGCCCTGCCTCGTATTTTGCGCGGATGACCCTGTTCAACCGCTCGTTGCGCGAACCGGACTCTTGGTCTGCCGCTGTGAGGAGAAATTTTTCGGTTTTAGTGGCGGCTGGGAGGATAGTCGTGGTTTCTTCTAAGGGCTTAGAGGGAGCTGCTACTGTGGTGAGCAGAGATGGGTGGGATGAGGATTGGAGTGGTGGAGGCGGTTGACTGAGCGGGACGGGGGTGGTCTGGGTTGTAAAAGCGGGGGATGAGACGAGTGTGGGCATGATTGTTATAGGCGGACAGAAGAAGGATCCTTCGTCTAGTGTTTCCAAGAAGTCTCTGTGCAAAGATCAATAGTAATAAGTATTATGAAGAAGGATTCACGTACGTCAACACCGAGAATTCGTTCCCGAAACTTTCTGGCTGGTATGAAAAAGTTGACGGCCACGACAATGTAGGTTGCGCTGGAGGGGCTGGGTACGCGGTCACTATACGACGATCATCAGTCCGTACCCTCACTCACTTTTGTGTGCTTACCCGGAGCGTACGTTCGTGGTACATCCACACTAACACCGGTTGTTGTTGGGCATTGAGTTGGCGTGTCGGGAACCTTTGGCCGCTGTTCATCGTGACAGAGATGCCCTATTTCACGTTTGAGGCTTTCCCCGCCAACAAGAGTTTAGATGAATTAGTGATTGACGAACGAAGCTCACCAACGCTGACAAGGTCTTCCTTCATCACAAGTCATATGGCTACGTCGGCAATACAAGCATGCGTGGTTCACCTTTCGCCTTTTCATCGTCTTCTTTTTCTTGCCAGCATCGTCTGCCAGAGGCGCAGTCGTTTGGGATGTGCTTTGCGCAGGTGAGTTATCGACGTAGCTGGCCATGGAGTGGGGTATGAGGAAAGGTGTAAACAGCAGTGAGAAAATGTTATAATGCCGATTGATTCGGAGGACCCCGATCACCTCACTGTCAAAATTTCTGTTCTTGAACAACAGCTGCGTAGTGCCTTCATCATCAATTTTCAGAGACTAATGTTCGAACTGGGTTTGATAGTGCTTAGTTTGAAGCTTAAAATCATTTGTACACACTCCTTTGAGTTATAGAGAAAAGTAACATGATAAATTCCAAAATTTGATCTCAATGACACTTCTTGGCGTGGAGCGCCTGATCTACAAGCCTCCAATCGAACGCAATATAATAATTCGGTGGATCTCGTCGGTGTCCGCAAGGCCGAAAGTCAACCGAAAGTACTTAGTAAGATGGCAGATCCGAGGCGGATTTGATGGACCGAAACCATTTCAAGAAATGAGGACTCAGGAGACAGAAATTGGATGACTTTCCGACGTCCGTAAGCTTTTATTCAAGGAAATAGATTATTTCTTGATATCTTGGACCTGTTGCCGTGTTGCCGAGGCCAAATGGGGACGAAAAATATTCTTCGTGCCTGTTTTCACGTCTCAATAAACCTTAATCTGTTCATAGGGTCAGACCCCTCTTCATAGATTAAACTCGCTGGAATAAAACGGTCCCAAGCCAATCTTGCCCTCATCCTCTCCCCTCATTGGCTGAAACAACCTTCTGTTGTATAGTACATGATAGCCTGTCTACATCAGATACCGTAAACATTGTAATTAACTGCAGGGTACCATGCAGCACAAAATATTGGGAACGGAATGATAAATAGCTTGCGGAATGTCAGCTTGAATAGATTAAACGACTAAACTGACATTCGATCTCCGATGCGCCACCAAAATATGATATGTAGGATTAAAAATCTTACGGAAAGTCATCCAATGATTTGCCGCGTTATACGGATACTTATGGTGTCTAATTTTTTATACGTTTTGTAGATTTGTTCGTTTGTTTTCCTGCTTTCTTTTCTTTATGAACGTTTGTGAACGAAAACGATTTCTGTTTATGCATTCGAACACGTGACTACCATTTTGCGTTAAGTAGCGCCCAAACCAAGCCCAAACTTGAACCTTCTGTAAATCAACAATGAGCGAACAAAGCCACATTGCCCCACTATCCACGACTACTCCACAAGGAAGGATTGAAGAAGTGATGAAAGATACAATAGAAAGACTTTACAAGTTGTTCAACTGGCTGGGAAATGAGGTAAGTCAATGTCAACATCGTTCCTCTAGTTCGAGTTAAGACGGAGTACATAGGATGTCCAGGGTCTATGGAACCAGCTGGTGAGCTCCGATGAAAAACTCTACCATCGCCTTCTGAAATAATTTAGTAGAACCCGGTGTTTGAAGACCCCACTTTCTCCGGAGATGAATTTAAAGCTTGCCTAGATCAGTGGGAGGAGCATAGGACCAACGATGTATCAGGGGGCTCTAAAAAACCATTGCTAAAGACATCAAATGGTAATGGGCGCGTTTCCTCGGTTACTGAATCCTCGGCGCTGGCCTATTATTCCATCTACGGCATTAACAGCAACAAAATTCCCGAAGGTTGGACCTCCCTACAATGGTGCATATTCGCAACTGTCGGTGAGCCATTCGCCACTTAACTCACCATACAACACTACATTTTCTATCCAGGGTGGCCTTACGAACTACTTATCTACCAAAAACGGGTCGAAAACCTGATGGACCAGTTAATCGAATCGCAAGCCCGAGGTATGTACCCTGGAGTACGACTGCCCACAAAAACCTTATTCACATTCCCACCCACCGAGCGCAGTCCACCCAGCCAATAGGTCATATTTTCATCTCCTCTTGAGCAATTTCTCTGTGCCGTCAGCACTAGCAAGGGGTTTAAAGCAGGCCGACCCATCGCGTCTCTCAGAAGCGCTCAAGTCCTTGGTCAAAGAAAAAGTGAAAAGGCAAGACGCAGATTTACGTGAATGTTTGAACTGCATGACAAATGGGAACGAGGAGCAGGCTCTCTTTCGAGCTTTTACGATGGGTCCGTTCGAAAATGTCAGTTGAATGTTCGATTTATGGTATGGTGAGAGTTGAAGGTCCCTTTTTCAGACGGTTTTACCGCTTGCGACGTTCACACTTGAGCGCGCACTTGGGATGATGAGGAAAGCTGTGGTTGACATTATAGATGCTCGAGAGTTCATGCCTTTCATTTTTACAATGATGGGTTTGAGAGCTTTGATCGTGGCGAGGATCAAAATCCTGCAAGGTCCCATTTTCTTTTACTTTGCCAGTAGCTCGCTCGCTTATTTCCAATTTGCAGCTAAATTCAAGATGGCAAAACTCAACGTCTCTGGTACACTCCCTGGTCTTATTTACTTTACGCACCAGCTGAACGGATTCCAGATGCCATGCAAAACCACCACAATGGCCTTTTCCGTTTTTGCTATCGTGAATTCGTGTGCGAGGTCCCACGACTCGCAAACACTGACCTTTTAAAAGATTTTCACCCAGATTTTTCGGAGTTTGCGTTGGAATACGTGACTTGGAGCGACCACTTGAAATCTCATCCCGAGAAAGAGGGCTTGGATTCTGTTCCTGCAGCGCTTAACACCGCTGAAGATGCTTCCTTGAATGCCAGTGATGGATTCCCTGAGAGGGGCTCGGTCGCTTTTCCATTCCATTCGTGGTTTTTTTGAATTCTTTTCTCCGAATTTGTTTTTAAGATCACGGAAGAACGGTACGTTGCGATTTATGTGGCCAAAGTCCGATTTCGGAACGAGAGTGTTTCCATTGCGTCGATTGTCCAGGTAAGCACTGAACAAATTATACCGTTCATATTGTTATTTAACCACAACCAGATCTCGACCTCTGCTCTGAATGTTATAAACTGCCTCTGGACGAGGCAAAGCTCAGCGGACACACCGCCGCGCATGTGCTGGTGAAATATGTCTTGAACTTCCCGACGCCATATCGTGAGTGGATGACCGCGCTTGTGAAGAAGCGCTTGGAGTTTTTCAAAGACAGTACCACCCGTTCTAAGGACGCGCCCATTTGTTCCGAGTGTGGAGAGGTAATCCCCGACGGCAGCGTTTTCTTCGTCTGCGTGGATGTCTGCTGCCTTGGTACGTCCTGATCACCCCATAGAGCTCACCGATATGATAATTAGGCAATTTAGATCATAGCCTATGCCCCTCGTGTGAATCAAACGCCTCAGAACGGTTTTTCAGAACGGACAATACGGTAATAATCGACGAAGAGGCAAAACACACATTTTGGCATTCGACTTTAATGTTGAGGCGCCAGCCGTCTTTTGACAGCTGATTGCGAAACGATAGAGCAGCTCGGCTCCTGTTCCAGCCCAGCCATTTCTTTGTTTGTTGATCAGCAGCTTCCTAAATGAGTCAAAATATGAGCACGTGCCTGGTTCAACTTTTCCCAGTCTTCTTCACATACCCTCGCTTCTCCCTGTCCTCGAATAATAATGGCGCGGGATTTTCATCAAAGACAAATCCCAGAACTTGTCAAGGAAATCCTTGTCGCCAAATGCCCTCAAAAGACATATCGATCCAGTTTATTTGGCTTTGGTGTACACCACAAATAAACACACGGCTGAGCTGGAGCGGGAACCGAGCTGCTCTATCGTTTCGCAATTAGCTGGAAGACCGTGCGAGGGAGTTGGAACTCAAGATCACAGGGCGATGGATGTCCAGACCATCAGTCAGATGTTGAACCTTCTTGCGGAGGTGGTTGAAGATATCGATGTGTTGTAAATATCAAACTCGGACTCACAATAAATTAGCGGTGATCACACCAAAAAAACATAAACCAATTCATTCATTGATGGTCACGTACCCCGTACCTCAGACATCATATATCTCTCCCACCCGTGCGGCCTCACATCCGTCCTGCCCATCGCCCACTCCCCCTCCCCCTGCTCCCTTAACCACCTCAACTGCCGATATAGATTTTCGATCACCCTGACAATCGCCTGCCTTTCCTCAGTTGAGCTCGTCGCTCTAAAAGACTGCAGTTCTCGAATCTGGGCTTGGATCTGCGCGATGCGGGTGAGGAGGAGACCTTGGCGATCAGTAGGTGCAGCAGACGCTGGTGGGCCCCTGGGTGTTGTGGGACGTGGTCTGGGTCCTTTCGGCGATCGAGGGATGAACGGGTTAGAGGTATTGCTGTTCAAAGTTGTTTCTTCGTATTGAGAATCACCTAGAGCCCGCTCCGGATCAACCAAAGAACCATCAGCATCATCAGGGGGAGTGACGATCATGCTCGGGGCTGCCGACGGGAGAAGCGGCGGAACCCTGCGCTGGACCATCATGCTTCGACGGAAGGTGAAGCAGTGATCACCCTGTGCCCTCATTCTGCGTCGACGTAAGGTGATGATGACCCCGGCTGTGAGGAGCGCAAGGAGAACGAAGGATCCGATGATGGTGCCGATGATGACGAGGAGCCTTCTGCGCTGGGCGTGGCTTGATACTAAGGAAGCGAGGGGGTTCAGAGAGCTGGAGGTGCGGTGAGAGGGGTACAGATGGATAATGGTGCGGTGACTTACGGAGGGCGAGATGAGGTCGGGAGGGGTGGGGTAGATGAGGCAGTGCTAGTGATGAGGTTTAGTAAGGCGCAAGGATACGTGAATGAGGCGTACGGGTTAAGTGGACTTGCAGCTGTAGGTGTAAACGTCGGCAAGATGGTTGTAGTGACCGTCGTCGTTGCGCTAAATGAAAGTGTCACGTCGAGCTTCAAAACAAAAATTTGACAACTTACGATACGGGGAGCGGAACGACGTTCACGTTATTACTCATCCCAACGTTGATATTTCGTGAACTTCTCATGACGAAGAGGACAGCTCTTAGTTAAATGTCACAATACTCAATTGAAGACACAACACACCCGGTGACAGCTGCCAGGACATAGGTGCTGTACGACCGTCAGCGAGCAGTATTAATTTCAGCGAAATAAACTACGCACCCTGGTTCAGGAAATACGACGTCCACAATCCCATAGTCACCCACTCCCTCGATATTTGCGGCTGCCAATCCGACATCTGCATTTTCGCGTGTCTTCACGAAGCGTAGGTCGAAGTCAGTCGAGTCAGCAGGGTCTTGTGTCCAGATAACTTGTGTCTTTATTCCAGCTATGATAGTGGATGGAACGATGATTCCGAGGCCAGCGACATGAGAGATGAAGAGGATTATGCTGGGATGAAATGTAGACGCCTCAGTCCGAGTCCAGCTCCTGAAATAGGCTACTCACGGGAGATGCACTTTCATTGCGTACGCACCAGGCGTGACTGCAAAAGATAGAAAGTTATGCTGCACCGACCAGCGCACCAGGCGTTTGAAGGTGGAGAACGAAAGCAAGATCCAGCTGGAGCCTGCATGTGTATGTGTTTGATCATTACCAAATCTGCGGCAGCACAGCCTCACCCCTGGCAACTCGGAACGGCGAACATCGATCACTGGCATGCCAACGGGCCGAACGCGATATGCGCATGAAGATCCCCATCCAGAGGAGATTTTGGGGCTCATGTCTTATGTCTGGAGGTGATCTTGAAAAAAAAAACTTTTTTCAAGTTGAGGCCTTGAGAGTTCGAACTCGAAGCCTCGGGGACCTAGCCTGCCTTCAACACGACATAACCACTTCACCACATGTCTAATCATAAACTGTAAACATTACTCATAATATAGCTCGTCATGGAGCTGCATCTAGACCATGTAAAATGTCATTTCACAACAACTGATATCTACATCCAAATCAATTCACATAAATCCCCGATATATTTCTGTACAGTATAATACACATGCATGTATAAAAGGTGTGATGGGTGGGTATGATATTGGCGACAGAATGTGATTGAAGGGTGGATGTCGTATTTTCCGCGCCGTGGGGATGCACCTGTGCATCAACCATGCGTGCACACGCAGTTTGATGTGCGGCTACGTTGTTGGCGATGGAAATGCGATCGAGGGGCAAAAACGGCGGTAGTACCCGCACTGTTTGCGATGGGGATGGAGCCGAATGGTGGGTGATGTGCATACGCGCACATGCCGAGTGACTCGCGCACATCAAGCAGCGCATTAGCTGATGGCAGATAGAAATGGGGTGGGGTGGTCAGTGCATCAACGGCCAGAGTGCCATTAGTAAGTCCTGCAGAAATAAAAACAGATATTAGAAGCGATGGATGCGAGGAAGCAGAAAAGTCTGCTTTCCTCAGGTAGGCTACGCACCTGAATAACCCAAAAAACCGCTTTATCGAAGCGCGACCTACCCTGCTCGTGTCCGCCCAACCAGTGTCCAAAACCTGTCCTTCTCGTGTGTCGATGCGTCGAGATCTGGGCAGTGTTTAATCTTGATGCGACGAGATCTTGGCGGTGGTCGTCCCGCGCCCTGGCGAGTGGGAAGTCGAGCTGGTTATGTGTAGGGGACATAAAAGCAGACAAAACACGGGCGGTATCCAGATACTGCCCGTGTTTTGGAAGAGCGTTGGAGAGTAAATGTTGCTCTTCAACGCTCAACGTGACGTTACATGTGACTTTTGCCTTAACGGGTACATCCGCATTTGTACATAAACTTATGTCTATATATGTACATAAGCCACCTCCAGACACCGCATATGAGCCGATTTTGGGGCTCATATGGGGTGTCTGGAGGTGGCTTATGTACATATATAGACATAAGTTTATGTACATATGCGGATGTACCCGTTAAGGCAAACGTCACAAATGTAACGTCACATGTAATCAACGGAGAGAGCGTTGAAGAGCCAAAGTGCTCTTCAACGCTCTCTCAAAACATGGGCGGTATCTGGATACCGCCCGCGTTTTGTTTGCTTTCCATGTTCTACACATACCCCGCTCACTAGCTCGACTTCCGACTCGCCAGGTGCGAGACGACCGCCGCCAAGATCTCAACATCGCCTCAACGAATATCTGTCAAGATCTCGACGCATCGACATGCGAGGTGGTTGGGCGGGCACGAGCGGAGTAGGTCGCGTGTTGAGGACAAGGCTTTGCGGGGTCATTCAGGTGCGTACGCTACCCGGGGAAAGCAGACTTTTCTGCTTTCCTCGCATCCACTTTTTCTAACATGTTTTTATCTCTACAGGCTTTGTAACGGCACCCACTCTGGCCCGTTTGATGCACCAACCACGTCACCCTACATCTATCTGCTATCACCTAACACGCCGCCCGACCTGCGCCTGTCGCTTGGCATGTGCGCGTCGGATGACGCGCACATGCCCATCACCAAGACCTTTACCATCGCAAACGCTGCGGATACCATCACCCTCGCCCCTCGATCACATTCCCATTGCCAACTACGTTGCCGCCCATCAAACTGCATGTGCAAGCATGCAGGCGCATCCCCATCAACTTTGTTCACGCGCGAAAATACAACATCCACCCTTCGATCACATTCCCATCGCCATCGACGTAGCCATCCGTGTGTACACGCATAATCGATGGTTGACGGGGATGCACCTGTGCATCTCCATTGACGCATCTCCGTTGACTTAATGATCCGCCATCACCATCGCCATCGCAGACATCGTGAACAACATAATTAGCCCCATGCCTATTTCTACAAGCCACTATAGCCCTACCTCCGCTACCCTACTTCCGCTACCAGTTGTATGCGAGTACTTACTGATCTTCTGTCTAGTCTTACGTTTGATTCCTGTACTATCCATAGTAAATAAATAAGCATTCTCCACTATTGACAACAGTTGCAAAGGATCTGGAAACAGAAAATGGTGCACCTGTGTAATGACAGGTGTAAATTTGTGTATTATATTGTGCCGAAATATTTTGAGAATTTATGTGAATTTATGCAAATTAATTTGGGTGTAGACAGCACTTGGAATGAAATGTCGTCTAGATGCAGCACCATAACGAGGTATATTAAGAGTGATGCTATCAGGTATGAACAGGCATGTGGTTGAGTGGTTATGTCGTACAGTGGTTGACACGACCTCGGCCAAATGCCTGAGGTCATAAGTTCGAACCCTCAACTTGAAAAAAGTTTTTTTTTTTCAAGATCACCTCCAGACATAAGACATGAGCCGATTTTGGAAAGAATCCGGACAGGCCTTTCATACTATCACGACCCTAGTGTTGCAAACTCACCTAGTGTTGCAAATCACCGTCTCACACCTCAACAAACAGGACTGAGCCTCTGAAAATATTTGACACAATGTAAACCAATATGCTTAACATGACTCTATTTTTTATTTGAGGAAAATCCCTCAGGAAACAAGCTTAGGAGGGTAGATATAGTGAAATTCAGTGGTTTGACAGCATATTGCCCACCTAGAATAATCAAAACTGGTCGAAGAGTCGTAAAACTTTGTCCTAATAGAGATACACAAGAGATACATACTTATGCTAAACACTACAGATAAATTTGAGCCTATCCGTTGAGTAGCTCTATGAAAAGGACGTTCGAATGGGCGAGCGTGACAATTCACGACGACCCAAAGCTGCCCATTCGAACTCCGACGAAGGGTGGGCGTGCTGACATCAAAACATGAACAGGGCGGAGATTGTAATCTCACCTCATCGTTTCTGATTTGGCCTGATCTGACGTGACTCCACCGTGACAAAATTTGCAACACTAGGTGATTTTCTCTTTTGCCTCGGCACCTACCTCACCCACCTCAGATAAATACGAAAAAAGCATATTATGAAAGCCTAGAACTAAGGCTTTCCAATGGTCAAAGAATTGCAAAAATTGGTTGAGTTCTTGAGGCACTATAGTGGTTTGATTGGAATATTTGCAACACCCCGTTAATGATAGTAGGTCCTGCTAAAACCCTGCAACACAAAAGAATTAGCGATTATTCGAGATCTGCCTTACCGGGTTACTGTGTACGTTAAGTCAAACAGCTTGCGTCAACACCTCAGGGAGACACATTTCAAAAGCAGACCGAGGCGTCAGGTAAGTAGAAGATGACCAGAAAAAAAGGGCCACGAGGTGTAGCCATGACTTGGCGGTCTGTTATTCACGTCCGTGGTTCACCTCCGATAATGTCAGTGACGGAGGAATTTTTCTGAAAAAATAGTGGTGAAAGGATATAGAAAATCTATTACACAATTTCCGGATAATTAAATTCTAGTGTGCAAGTAAGTAAAGTAAAAGGGGTTAGGCGAAAAGTAAGATAGCGGAACGAAAATATAACCGGTACTGAAGCTGAGAAAAAGAGATGCTCAGAAAAGGCCCAGGCAATCTATGGCTGGGAGACAATGGGGAGTAAAACTCAGGAAGAGACGTCTCAAAGCCCGCTAAGGGTTTCCAAAGCCATCTTTGCCGCTGCCGCTTTCGCACTGTCCTTGGTTTTTCCAGTCCCTTGACCGTGCTGGATCTTTTCAACTACACTTGGGGAGATTACTTAAAATTGATCACAACAGGAAATTTGAAGGCTTACTGAAGACAGTCAGAGTCCAGGTTTCATCATGTTTGGGACCTTCACACTGTGCGGTGTATTCGGCAGTCTCCCTAGCCTTCTGGCATTTTTCATTGAGGATATGAACGTATTCTAGAGCTAGCAAAAGGTTGAACTGGAACATGTTGTCGATATGGCACAGGACGACATACCAGGCATCATTGCTGTGAGTGCGGAGTGAGATGTTGGTCAAGTAGGTGGGTTGAACTTCGGAGTGAGGAAATTCACTTTGACGTCCTTTCTTTTAACTCTTGCCTGAGCGTAGTTGTGCGATGGATACTGTAAATTCCGATGATTTACGACATTCATCAAACAAAGAAAGTACAACTTTTTTGAAACAGAGCCATTCGGATCTCGCTTGATGTTGTGTCTCCCGATAGCTAAAAAAACGCCGGCATCCATTGTATCACTGCTGGCATCCGAAGGAAATGTACCTGCAATAATAAATTAGCTGCCTCGTTGTATGTATTTTCTAGAGGGCTGCTGCGAAACCACGGCATCTAAAGCATTGGGAGTACCTTCAACTTCGCAACTGGAGGTTTCGATAGACTCACTCACCAAGAGCTTCACTTTCACGCCTACGGCGCTTGAAGATGATAAAGGGCATAACTCCCCGTAAAGTTCGCAACATTAACTTTACCCGGCATCTTGCAAAATCATGGTCAATGTAAATTCGATGCCTCAGCGCAGACTTTTCCAACGACGCACGGGGAACTTGACTTGTAGTGACCTCGAGCGCTCGTCTCCAAGATGAAGGAAAGAGATCACATAAAGTTCGCGTCATGAACGTGTTGTTAAGGAGAATTAGTGGGGTAGCCTAGGTAGTCTTGTTCTAGTTAAATCCGAAATTGACGGGTCAAACAACGCGTCTCCGAGGAGAGGTGTTGGGTTGTATTAGGGCCCTTTCCTTTAGGTACCAAACGGTTATTCCGATCATCCATCGCATGGTAGGACATGTTCAATAATAGACCAGCGATTCAGAGATTGTAGATCAGATGAACTTGTGGCGTGGCCGCCGGTCGACGAAAACGAACCACAATCTGAGGTTCGCAATAAATTTGGCATCTATTTGAAAATCCCTGGTATCGTTTCAGCGCCTGTTAACATCAGCAAAGGAGCATCGTAGAAGCGCTCAGCGTCCTGGGTTTTGTGGCTGGCAAACTGTAGTCTGTCAGCGGTAACTTTCAGTAAATGGCATGACAAACACGGGTGTAGAGTTGAAGTTCAAAGGAGCCATTTTGTGACGCTGTAGCGACCCATCCAGCCTGAGACTCAGAGCCTTCGCAATGACTGTTGCGAAGTTTTAGTTTTGGTTTAGTTGTTGAATTTGTGCAAGCTTGCGGCTGTTGTGGCACCTTCGACGATAACCAACAGATAACGCTCTTTTAAAACTGCCCTGCGCTCTTGAAACCCTTGTGAATCTTGGTGTAGGGACGTTTCATTGGTTCAGGCTGCCTAGGGTTTCTCTTGTTATACCTGTCAAGAGTTTACTCGCTTACCGCAGGACCCCTTCGGCTGTTCTGGCGTCAAAGAACATGGCACTGAACGCTGAACGATCGATCTTCAACAGTTCTCACTCGACACCGCGAGTTCTACTTTCTAGACGTTTCTGTCATAATAATCATCGATGCTACTGCATTTAAGGTTCATCAATCAGTTCTATCGCGACACTCAGACGTCTTCGCTGGCATGTGGGATGTCCCCCAACCTCAAGGCATCCCCGACATTGATGCTTGTCCCAGGCTAGAACTCCAAGATAACGTCTCAGACTTCACGGATACGTTGAAATCAATATACGATTCATTGTAAGTCCCTCACCACGCCCATTCGCCAACCTTGTCTTTGACCCATCATAAGCCACTTTGACAACCTCCCTCCCAACGCCGACCTCACCACCCTCCTCACATTTCTGTCTGGTATCCTCCGAATCACTACCAAATACAACATGCAACAACTCCGAAATAAATGCATTGCCCTGCTCTGCCAAAAATTCCCAAGCACCCTCTCCGGTTGTGACGCAGTCATCGCGGAACAATACCAATACACCCCCTCTACCATCGTCCGCCTGATCCCCCTCGCTCGGGAGAACAACATCCCAGAAGTCCTACCCTGGGCATATTACATCTGCACCCAAATGTCGATCCCTGATCTCCTGGCAAACCCGGTTTTATCATGGCAGGACAAAGCACTCTGTCTTGCGGGGAAAGAGCGGCTAAGGGAGGCGCGGAAGACGACCACGCACCCGTTCTTGCTTGACCTGACGCGCTCGTTACAGTGCTCGGGGGGCACGTGCGCTACGGGGTTGAGGAGGCCCACTGCGAACTGGCGTGAATCGGAAGATCAGAGATCGTTGCCGCATCCGATTGTGCCGTACCGCGATTGGACAGCGCTTGGTACGTGCACGAGATGTACGGCGGTGTACGAGGCGCAACGTAGGGTGGAGAGGGAGAAAGTTTGAGAACAGCTGCCAAGTTTTTATCAGCTAGGCAGTTGGGACGAGATTCTGAAAGATCAGAATTGTTAAGTGGTGGATGTAGAGACTTAGAATTGATCCTTGCTTTCTTGTAGAGGATACCGATGCCGTAGCTGTGCTTATTAATTGTTGCTTTTACCATTCTAGCGACCTCTGAAGATTTTAGTTATTGATTGCGATGTTCTGTTCGCCACGCCAATAAGTAGACCCAATAGTAGAAGTGCCCGTGCCCGACAAGTTCAAAAGCTCACATATAATCGAAGCCATCGGAATGGGATAAGTACCAATCGGAGTGATACCATTACCATTAAAGTGAGAAGTCTTTCATATACTCAACTCGATAGAAATTCCATAACAACTCATGTTGATAACTTAGCTTTTGAAATCTGACGGGATTCTTTGCAGTTACTACAGGTTCTTGAAGACTCAGCCGCATGAGGATATCTGTCGATCAGGTACATTCTGTCGGCCATTTGAACCAAGATTTCTCGCAGGAGGTGGAGACGGGTCACGGATGGCCCACGTTTCCAATGTGTGCTTGGCGGAATGCTGAAAGACAAGGGCTCGTCGGCGTTTTTCGGTCACGACTCGGCTATTTGTGTTTGTTACCTCCATCAAGCACAGCGCCGAATTCGCACTCTTCCAACCACTTCGATCTTGGTGAACTTTGGCCTGTCAGCACTTGTGCTACGCCGCCATGACCAAAAGAAAGAATGTCACGGGTTATATGGCCATCGAAGAAAACGGCATTGAAGTGTGGCCAAAAGCTTTCGTCGAAGCGGTTTATTTGGCGTGTAGCGAAGAGGTGCAGCGCTTGAAGGATGTGGGGACTGAAAAGGTGATCAAGATGATTCCAGTGCGTCATCGTTTTCGAATCCCGCTACGTTGCGGTTCCCCTTATATCGTGTTGTCAGAAATGCGAGAAGTGCAAGAGCAGAGAGCTTCCATGCAAACTGAAGACTGGGCTTCGAACGGATAGAATGAGCTGCAGCAATTGTAGCAGCACGAAGCCCTGCTCGCGGCCGGCCGACTACATGTGGAAGACTCTCGGGGCGACTTGGACGGAGTACTCCGTCACACCGGACCAGTTTCGATATTGGTATCCTAAAGTTATGACCCCCAAAAGCATCTACGTCATCAAGGACAGTGGCGATCGTCCGATTTCTGAAGTAACGGGGAGAAAAGGAGGAAAAGCATCGAAGAATAAAAGTAGGGGTCCGGACAGCGATGAGGACGAAGTGGAGGACAAGGAGGGGGACGGGGATAGGGACGGGGGCAAGGAGGAGGAGGAGGATGAACAAGGAGTTGATCAGGACCCTTTGCCTTCCACATCACGAAAACACAGCCAAGATAGTTTGCGTGCTGCAAGTACCCAGGATCGGAAGCTTTGGTCTCAGAAACCCGCAGAATCGCCCACGCCTGACTTGCAATTGACGGCCGAGAACAGGAGATTGAAGAAGGAGTTGGAGTTGGCAGAGTCAGAGAATGAGAGGTTGCGGACGCGGTTGTTGGAATTTGAGAAGACTGTGGGTGAATTCAAGGAGGATGCGATGGAGAAGCAGATAGATATCGCGCGGTTCAAACAAGGTTCCGCTGGTGGGTATCTCTCCGGACATTCACGCCTGTTATTCACCTTATGGATAGCACTTTACTCCATTCTTGATGCATCACATGGCCAAAACGAGGACTTTCGTCAACGCCTCACCCATCTCATGAACGATAGCATGTTCTTACGCCTTCGCCTGGACGTTGATGGACAGCCCGAGTCACAGCTTCACAAGGACATGAATAACATGTTGCGTGAAATGGCGGTTCGGGTGTTACATTTGCCAGGCCCTGTCTGGACAACAGCGGAGAAGGAGCGGATCGAAAAGACTTTCAATCCTGCAGAAGGAAGCTCGGGAACTAAGCGGTCGGGTGGGGATTTAGAGGAAGAGTCAGAGTCTCGAAGGAAGCGGGCACGGATGCTTCTCACAGGCAAAAGTGTTGAACGGGTGGGGTCGGAGTCGACTTGAAAATGTCCCTCATGTTTTTCAGTTTCTGCTGCATGTGAATTTTTTTTGTTTTCTCTTCGCTTTGGTGCGGGGGTGAGTACACACAACAGTGCAGGTAAAACCTCTCCTTGACGTGAATGACAAGAAAACTGTCCGCGCCAGGTAAAGAAGAGTGAAATAAAGTTGATGAAACTCTCGACGCGGTGAGATATGCATAAGGATATGGAATGATGTTTTTCGTTATTGTCAGAATGGCAGGTACAGTGAGATCACAATTTCTGGAGCCAGTCGGACCCGAGCCGCGCCCTGTTGTCAGTCGCGTGAACACTCGATTGTGTACGCTAGCAGCTAAAACCTCCAAAAAACGCCGATACTTAATTGCATACTGACCCTCCGAAGGCTTCTTACGACTATGGGATATGTGCACCTCAGCAACGCCAGGAATTGACGAAAACAAAGGACTTGGCGAATGGTCAAAGCTGACAGGTTCCAGGAGCGCTCATAGAGAAGATAAAGGAACTCTATTAAAAAAATTACGGAAAATCAATATTATAGATACAAATTGGGGATATTGGGGCAAAAATAGGCCCATGGATTAAAATCTGAAAGTGATACTTATAAAACTGGGGGAGGAACGAGAACAAGCGACGAGGAGAAGTCACAGGGAATAGATCAGCGGGCCAGGAGATAGTGTTGTCAGGCGAAGAAAACGTAGTGAATGACGGCGTCAGATCCAGCCGTAAAACTCCAAAACAAACTTGGCAGCTGCTGCTCTTGCGCTCCTTTTGCTTCTCCCAGTTCCTCTACCCACCTCAGTTCCATTGACTTTGTTCGGGGAGCTTACTTTAGCATTGAATGTTAATACTCAAGAGAGGTCTTACTAAGGACTATCGCGGTCCAAGTTTCGTCGTGAGGGGGACCTGAGCGTTCGTCGGGGTCGAACTTGAATTCTTTGTTACGCTCCTGGCAAAAATTGTGGAGAATATTTGCGTATTCTGGGGGGGTCGGAGAATTCTCTGGGGTGATCGAAAGGTTCAATCGGTAAGATAATGTTGAATTAGTGCAACGCAACGTACGAGGCATCGCTGTGGACATTGACGAGGACTGAAAGTGTTGTTGAGGAGAAAGTTAGGGAAGTAGCTAGCTTAATGTTGGAGTTGAAGGGATTCGCTCTACCATCCGTCCTTTTATCTCTTTCCTAAACAGAATTGTGCGTTAGTTACTGTAAGGATGATGATCTATTACAGCGACGGGAAAACGAAAGCACACCTATAATTTTCTGAAACAAAGTCATCCGGCGATATCGTCTCAGGAGAATAATATTGCCGTTAAATCATTCAGTATCATCATCAGCGGGTAGCGTAGTACTCACAACAAGATATTTGTCGCCTTGTCGTACGCATTTAGTCGCAGGAGGGCCAGCAAAATACCACAGCATCTCGAAAAAAGTAAATTCAACGTTATTGCATCTGGAAGTCTCAAATGACTTACTAGGAATTTCGCTTTCGGTGCTCGCCTATATCGAGATCAAAGAAAGGACGACCCGAAAAGTTCGCGTCATGAATGGGCTGTTCAAGATCGAATAAAATGCTATAAATCGTCCTTTTTGTAGGCAATGCCGGCATTAGCGGGTCAATGATTCCAAGTGAAAAAACGCGTAGTAAATTCAGCATCAAAAAATCCATGCTCTGATTTCTGTTCCACGGAAGGACAGCCTTTAAGAATACCACTAAGTCAGGGAATTTGTTTGAACAAGGCAAGTTCCGCAGCTCCCGATGGTAGCCTGAGTTGAAGTTGGGCGCTCCTTAGAAAGTCTTGCTACTGGAAATTTGGTGGAGTACGCCAATTTGGTGTTGAGCAACCGTGCAGGGTTCTGAAGGCGCATCCAGTGATTCGGCGCCGATTGGTTGTGTGGTACATCTCGGCAAGCGGCAACTTTTACCACACAGACAAAGGTCGTGTCATGGTGCTGTGAAGATGACTCTTGATTCACCGGGGTTTACAGCAGAAGGAGAACAAGGCCTAAGAGAGCGCGATTTTCTTCGTTTGTGTCGGAACAGTCTATCTCTGTGGCCACTGTGGCGCCCGCTTTCTTTTTGGCTTTTTGTTCGTCGCTTCGTCAGCCTGATGTGCATATCTGCTTGCAGTCTACCTCTGTTACTGTTCGACGCTGTTGTCCGATTTTCGGAGTAGGAGTTCCGTGAAGGTGAAATTTTTACCTTCATCTCGCATAGTGCTGATCCGTCGTTGTACGGAAATTCAAGTTCTAGCTCTGCAAAGCCTCCTCTAGAAGACGATGAGCAAAGCATTATTGCCAGAAAAGGATCTGAGTCCATATCACTGGCAACATCATGCAAAGTCACGCTGACGTCCATCCCACGTGAAAATGACCCCAGTGGTGAGTTAATAAAAAACTGCGAGCAATCAAGTACGTCTTGACACGATCGCAGGAAAGGATCGGCTTCAATTCGATAAGAGCCTATCGCCCCCAGACGAGATCCCGGAATGCGTAGGCAACAAGGCTAAAGCACGCTGCCAGCAACCACAAGAGGCTGAGAACCCGTGGCTCTGACCCCATGGGGATCACGGGCGCCAACCTGGAAAGCCACGTAGTTGCCCCAGTGATGTCTTTGTTAGGTTCATGAGACACCGGAAATGATCAAGTGCGTGTCGATATGACAGACACGACAGGAAGAACCGCGTTTCGTTATGACGGAAAGAGCCTGTAGTCACGCCATGATCCCTAAACTCAAGCAACCAAGAGTAAGCGCGCAGCCGGCAGGCAGCTCAACAAACTTATCATACATTTAGTCGCTGGGGAACCACAGCATCTCGAAAAAGTAACGTTAACATAATATCTGGAAGTCTCAAATGACCCACTAGAAATTTCGCTTCGTGCCCACTGGCGCTCGTCTACATCAAGGTTGAAGAAAGGACACCCGGACGGGTCGTTAATTGCTGTTGAGGAGGATTGACTAGAACGCGGGAAATCGTCTTTTGCGTAGATATGCCGGCATTGGCGGGTCCAACAGTAATATCAAGGAATGGTGTAAGAACGGTCCGTTGTAAATCCAGCGTCAAAGAATTGACGCTCTGATGCAAGACCACGTTCCGAATATACCAAAGTTACAACGGATCGAATTCTGGCGGTCAAATCCCCAGCATGGGCCGACGAGTGGCTTGTTTACGACGACAATTCCGGGCATCAAATGACAAGGAGACGCTAAACCGCCGCGCACAGGCAGTAGCAGGTTGTTTGACTGTGATGGGGTGACCACTGGCTGATGAGATAGCGCTCGTTGCGTACTTTGGGGGAAAAGCGGGAGCCAGTTCCGTGATGTTTGTGCCAGGAAGGTTTTCCCGAAGACCAACAGAAGACGAAGACAGCAAAACATCATTACCAGAAAAGACTCTTATTCCACGAACATCATTGGCGCCATCATGTGCAAAGTTGCGTCGCCAGCCCTTCATCTTACGTGAACAACCCACAAAAAGTTGCGATGGATCGAAAATCCGTACCTCGCCTTCCTGAAAGTCACAGTGGTGGGTGTTCTACCGTCGCCGTGATAGCTCTGTTGAGTTCATAAGGTGCTGAAAACGATCAAGTTCGGTTTGATATAGATTTTCCCAGTCAAGATCCCAGGCTACCAGGAGTCCGTGGTACGGAAGGGACCATCGCCTGATCGCTAATTCGGCGCGACGAACGAGAATATGGGTCGATCCCGGTGAAGACCTGGTTTGATTACTGTAGTTGACCCAAGAAGAGTCGGTTCATTGCTTGTTTGCTCGGTTTTAAACAACATCACGTGTCATCTTCGGCAGTCTTTACCAGCCTCTACCTAGACTCGCAAGCCAGTCACGCTCGCAAGCTCTATGTCACAATGTCACAGGACGTTAGGCTTTTCGAATTGAGGAGTCACGCGAGTCAATTATGTAATCGAAAAGCCGGCTGGGGACGAGCCTAGCCTCTACCGACTTTTTCTGCGAACAGCATCCGCCTCCGTCCTTCGCCATCGAGCAGCGACCTGGAATCTTCGTGACTTATGACGGCCGGTTTTAGAAGGTGGGGCTAAAGCTACCAGACAGCTCCAACAATTAAAAAGAGACGACGTTGCGAGAAATTCAAAGGAACTAGAAACGTTCTTGAAGGAATGGAATGTGCGGAGTGAGTCTCTCAAGAACTCAAGGGCTTCAAGTACATGCAGATTGATAGGATCCATATGTAATGTATATTAACAGGCATGTATCGCGTGTAGGACGCGCAGCGCAGAGGTAGCTGACACTACCATAGCCCTTACCTTGGGTGTTATGTGTGTAGAGGCGAAGCTAAGCAAGACTAGCTAGAAGTAAAAGACTTAATGTATTAGGGCATAATAGACGTCCTTATATACTCTACAGAGATGGTCCGTGCTATTATGTACGCATATTTGACATAGAATCATATGGAATGCTGTAGAACAATGTACAGCATATGATGTGTAAGTGCTGCGTAATACGCACAGCACATGTCATAATTGTGACGTATTGAGGTCACGTGGTTTTATGCCAACACTCCCCCTCAAGTAGTGCAGCGCTAGCGCACTTACTTGTCTGTGGGTACGGGACTATAGAGAATAAAACTCTATACCAAGCTCCTTTCTATGTTTCAAGAAGAGCGTCGGTCCCAGATTCTTGGTGAACATATCTGCAACGTTCTCCGATGTGGGAACGGCAAATACTTTGACGGCACCTTTCTCGATCTGTTCTCGGATGTAATGATAGCGGATCTCGATATGCTTTATCCCTTTTTGCGTTACGGGATTCTGAGCATTGAAGATCGCTCCATGACTGTCACCATAGATAGGGACGTAAGGCATGGGCTTTCCGAGTTCGGAGAATAGAATCTTGTACCATGCACAATCACGTGCACAGTCAGAGAGTGCTATGTACTCTGCCATGGTGGAGGAGGTGGAGATCAGCGTCTGTGTCTTAGAATGCCACTTGACGCATGCATTCGCGAGGGTGAAATGATATCCCTGCGTTGATCGACGTCTGCGATCTGCATCTGATCTGTCATCTCCATATGACGAGTCACAATAGGCGTATAGCCCTCCATCACTCCTTCCATTATAGACCAAGGCGTATTTGCGCGTACCGACAAGGTAGCGCATGATGTGCCTGGTTTGATTGAGGTGTTCCTCAGATGGATTATGAGCGAACTTTGCCATTTGTGTAACAGCGAAGGCTAGGTCGGGACGTGTTCCGAGCATTATATATAGCAAGGATCCGATCACCGATTGGTACTGAGACCGGAGAGCTGCCGTAGCAGTTCCATCAAACGGTTCAGGTTTATAGCCGGTGGGAAGCGGAGTTTGTGCAGCCTTGGCATCGGCCATGCCAAAGCGCTTGAGAATTTTCTCAAGGTAGGGAACCTGATCAAGGTAGGTCTTCCCATCTCGATAATCTATCCTCATACGTAGGAACTCCTTGCATTCTCCTAAGTCGCGGCATTCCCATTTGTCCATAAAGAGTTTCTTCTTGGACGCGACTAGGGTAGCGTTTGGTCCGGTGACAATAATGTCATCCACATACGCGAGTATGATAACCATGGTTCCGTCAGCATGTTTTGCGACGAAAATGCCAGCATCAGCATATAGGCGGGTAAAGCCGAGCTCTTTTAGGCTCTTATCAAGCTCATGCCACCAAGCTCGTGCGGCTTGCTTTAGACCATAAATAGCCTTCAGCAATCGAAGCACCTTGTGTTCCTTACCAGGAACTTTGAACCCTTGTGGTTGCTCCATATAGAGTTCTTCGTCCAGCTCTCCATAGAGAAAAGCGGACTTAACATCAAGGCCTTCGACTTTCCATTTCTCAAGCGCTGCTAACGCGAGAATGGTGCAGACCGACTCAAACCGAACAACCGGTGAGAAGATCTCGTCGAAGTCTAGACCCTCAACTTGTGAGCAGCCTTTAGCGACTAAGCGGGCCTTTTTGCGTCCATCGGACTTTAAATCGAATACCCAGCGATTTTTGATAGCCTTTCGGCCAGGAGGTAGGTCAGCAAGCTCGTAAACTTTACGTTTCTTGAGGGCCTCCAGCTCCTCAAACTGAGCGTTCTGCCATTCCCTTTGATCTTCGGCTGGTAATTTGCCGATGTCCTTCGAAGTCCAGTCACGGACATTCATCGGATCTGGTAATTCACCGTGAGGAATTGCCTTGGAAAGCAAATATTCCCACAATGCTCCCCCTTCCGTTGCTAATTTAGCATGACCAGGGTCACCTACAGCAGGCTTGCTCGACTGTCCTGAATTAGGAACGGACGTTGCGCTGTTTGCGTCAGGCAATTTACGACGTCTGTCGGTGTCTGTAGAGGTGCCAGGCGGGTATACGTTCCCGTCCTTTCTGGTTCCTTTCCTTTCTCGCTCAGAGCGGCGAGGCGGCTCATTACCACGCTGTGCTCCCCCTGGAGCATGTCGGGGTTGCAGTGGCGGCGATACAGGAGGACTATGAGGCTCAACATCGTCATGAGTGCTCTCGTCGTCTCTTGGCGGAATAAAAATATCATGGGGTGGAGCGAAAGGTGCACCGGAATTATCGTCAGGCACGCTTTCTGTCTCAATTACGATCTCGGGTTCTCCGGATTCCTGAATTTGTGTGACAGGGGGCACTTTACTCTTCTTCGCACATTTTGGGAACAAACGTTCATCAAACAGTGCCGTGGCAGCAGTAAAGATGACGTTGTTAGGTGGACGCATGAACATCAAATTCGATTCACGACCATCACGATAGCCAAGAAAAGTCATCATTTCTGATTTGGGACTTAACTTGTTGGCTCGGAGATCTTTGTGAATGAAGACGTAAGCTCCACATCCAAGGATTCGTAGGTGTGAGATATCAGGGTCTACTTTTTCAAGATAGCCCTTCGGAGTTTTCCAATCAAGGCGCCGCACAGGGGTGCGGTTGTAAAGGTAGTTCGCATGTAATACGCAGAACTCCCACCAATTGTCGGGTAGACAAGCCTGATGGCGCATTGACTCCGCTTTCTCATCGATAGTACGATTGAAGCGCTCAGCTCTGCCATTCATTTGTGGCTGAGCCGGAACGCTCCGTTGGATCATGATCCCTTCATCCTTAAGGAGTTTGACATAGTTCTGATCAACGTACTCTCCTCCGTTATCGGACATCCATTCGCTGATGATCGCTTTGTACTGGTTTTTAACCATAGCGATAAACTGCTGGGTTGCCACTTTGGAGTCACTCTTCTTTTTCAAAAGTGTGATCCACGAGTGAGAGGAGTTATCGTCGAGGAACGATATGTAATATTTGTGGTGATAATAAGATTTCACCGCAAACTCCTTGAGATCAGAATGAATCCGTTGAAACGGACGTGTGGCGCGTGCAGAATTATCGGGAAAAGAGCGGGAGTGCATCTTTCCTTTCGCACAGCCTTCACACACCGGCGGATTTTTAGGGATCTCGATCGATTTCGGAAAATTCCGTGTACTCGATTCGAATTTCTCAAACACCTGTTGACCAGGATGTCCAAGTCGTTGATGCCAGAGATCGAAATCATCTAGATGCATGGACTTGTGCGCGATCAACTCGCTTCCAGCGAGGATCTCCGAATTGATCCAGTAGATCGTATCGGTGAAGATTCTGGTAACGGCTACTATTTTCACCTTTCCAGATTGAGCATCAATGAATCGAAGGGTGCGCTCATCTCCCTTGACGTGCATGTTGCCTTTCAGAAGCAATCCCATAGATAGAAGACGGATCCCTATTCCTGGCATATAGAATACCGGATGTAGGCGGGATATAGTGGTCGACATTTTTTCTGGGGATTTAGGGTTGTCTATCCAAGTTTTTACGAAGACTGTGCCTGTGCCGTGTATGGCAGCGGCACCATTCGCAGTTTGTGCGAATGGTCTTTCTTTCTCGGAAAAGAGGTTTAACTCCGAGAAATCAGACTCGTCTTCTGAGAAGTGGACAGAGGCTCCTGAATCAACAACCCACTCAATGACATTCGACTTAGAGTTCTTTCCCTTGCAGTCTGAACAATTCAGAACGAACTTGCAATTGATGTTATTCACATAGGCTAGATATTTATCTAACGATCTACCTATGTCTACGCTAATAGAAGCTGTAGAGGGATCAGTTAGTGAATCGCCTTTATGTGAACAAAAGGGGACTGACTCATTCTCAGTCGGACCATCGTAGGCCTCGTCATCGTCGTACCATCGTTTGGTCTGGGGGATACCCATGTTCCAAACATGCTTCGACGGTCCTGCCGCGCCAGCTGATTCGATCAGACCACAAAGGGTCTCCGGACCGTCATCTCCGTAGTCGGACTCACCGCTACCGAAATCCAGCTTCATCCCCTGAGGGATGGAGGCGCCAACATCTTCGTCATCTCCAAATAGATCCGATCCCTGTGGAATCGGTTCCTCCTCGTCTCCGAGGGATACCGTATCACCTTCTTCCTGCGACGGTTCGTCTACCTGCATTCTCTCCAGCAATGGTGCCATTTCTGGCGTGGGAGCCCTGATTGGATCCGTAAGTTTGTATGCACCCCACTGATATGTGGGGGCTCCAAAGGATCCTTCGGTTACTTCCTCCAAGGAAGCGATTCCCTCAAACTCTTTTGAAGTTTGGATTGTGGGTGTTACCCCAAGGCGACTCATAAGATCGCGGGATCGCTGCACATGGGGGTAAGGAGGAGTAGACCTCCCAGGGTTCTTCCATGGCCCTGTAGTTCTCTCGCGCCGGATCGAAGGACCGGCAGCGCTGAAAGAAGCTACGGAGTGAGCCGTAGGGGCTGGTAATGCTGGTGTATCGGCGATATGTATCGCCGATGATGCGAGGACGAAATCGGAGTTGTAAGTATCAGAGGCTCCAGCCACATGATTGTGGTTGTTTGCACTCTTTCCTTTTCCTCCGCGTCGGAAGGGTCTCTTCTTCTTCTGCTGCGAGCTGCCGGATTCGGCGCTCTGCTGCTGAGAATATTGAGGCGTAGGGCCTTTGCCCTTGATAGCGGTATTCCGCTGTACCTGATTCTGCTGCTTCTGCTGCGACGGCTGATTAGCCGGAGCTTTCCCTTTATCGTACGTAGTCCCCTTGCGGGGCTGATCGTGAGATGCGAGGGTGAGGAAGCGAGCTTGCCAGACGTCGCGTATCTGAGTCATAACGTCCTCAAGGACGAGAGAGGTGGCGACCTCATCCTTGAATGAAGATTCAAGGAGATTCTGATAAACGTTGCTAACGTTTGGATTGGTTGACAGCGGGAGGTTGGAAAGGAGAATGATGGCGGCCATTGCGGAACTGATCATGTTGACGGGAAGTGCCTGGTAGTGATGCATGAATTTGGCGAGCTGAGGGTTGGGATCGGAGAGATCAATCTTTTGATCTTTCATGAAGCGGAAGTGCTCCATGATCTCCAGATGGGAACTCTTGGCATACTTCTCTTTCAGCCAGTCCCAAGTCTCTTTGGCGGTTTTCGCCTTGACTTGATCCCAGATCCCTATATCTAGGGCTCGGTTAAAGATTCCCATAGCTTGGGAATTCGCATCGGTCCAGGCGGAGTTCCTCCGTTCCCAGATGCCAAGCAGATAATTAGACTGGTTCATCTGCACCTGAAACTGCGTCCACAGAGCGTTGAGCTTCGTGGTGGTGATAGCGTCAGTCTCGTCAGTGATGATGGCAGGTGGTCTGATGGCAGGTGGTTTCTCAGAGTTGGCGGGTTTGACAAGGTCGCCCTTGACGACGTCGTAGACCTTGGCAATCATAAAGATGCCGATCATCTTGTCAGACCAACCCTGAAAGTTACGACCGTTGAAGTGAGGGATGTCGTTGACAGAGAGGGAAGTGGATTTGTTGGTGGACATATTGTTTTGAGGATATCTGAAAGATAAAAACTTGGGTGTAGTCAGCATGGATGTTTTAACTAAGGGCGTGCAGCCTTCAAGGCGCACTGCGCATCCTGCTTGACATGAACCCGACTCCGTTAGAGTCAATGTCCAGACAGCAACAGCGTTGACGTTCAGCCGTGAGGCGAACAATCTTGACAACGTTCAGCAATTAAGCGAACTGTTGTTGGCGATGTGCAGCCCAGAGGGCGCACAATCAAGCCCAAAGGTTGTTTAAGGCTAAGGCTTGTCAGAACTCGTGCAGCCGTAGCGCACGTCGTTCGACATCGGGGCCCATAACCTATTAACAGGCATGTATCGCGTGTAGGACGCGCAGCGCAGAGGTAGCTGACACTACCATAGCCCTTACCTTGGGTGTTATGTGTGTAGAGGCGAAGCTAAGCAAGACTAGCTAGAAGTAAAAGACTTAATGTATTAGGGCATAATAGACGTCCTTATATACTCTACAGAGATGGTCCGTGCTATTATGTACGCATATTTGACATAGAATCATATGGAATGCTGTAGAACAATGTACAGCATATGATGTGTAAGTGCTGCGTAATACGCACAGCACATGTCATAATTGTGACGTATTGAGGTCACGTGGTTTTATGCCAACAATGTAGTGGACAACACACTCGCTCTCCTGTACACCTCTAGCCAATCGCGAGGACTCGCACATCAACCTTCGCGGAATCTCTCAAAGCTCGTTCAAGCGGAGAAGAAACGGGTACAAGACAAGGAGATGCAGCTTAGGACGTGGGATGCTCAGTCGCCTTTGCCTTCCACGAAAGACCTAGAGAAGAGGGCGAAAGCTGCAAAGAAGAAATCGGAGGGCCAAGCAGATCGATTTGCTAGGTTGAATGAAATTATCGACATGGCTGAAGGTCGGGATAGGATATCGCTGGGGAGGATCCAGAGGGATCGGAGAGCGACGAAGAAGTAGATTTGATACTGGAGTGGTGACCCTGATAGTCGGAAACATGGTTACGGGAGGAATACACAACAGACTTGTTTATCGAGACCTTACGCGAACGCCTAAGATCTGCCTTTGAAGTGAGGTGAACTTAGACCGATGACCTATACGAAGGAATTCTAAAATATTGGGAATGGAGGAAATCATATAGTAAGTACATTAAACGTGCATATAATCCAAATCCAAAAGCAAAAAAATAGAAATAAAAAGAAAATCACGACGCCCCACTGATACCCTTCAAAACGCTAAACACCTCATCCTGCCTCTCCCTAAACGCCTTCAACTTCGTCAACCCCAAACTCAACGCATTAATCCGATTCACAAATGCCACCGCCCGTCCCTCCACGCTCCTCCTCCCATCCACATCACCCACATCCGCCCCAATCCCACCTTCAAGCATAACCCTCACCCTCTCCATCCTCGTCGGGGGTATATCCTCCCCCCTCTCCGCAAGCCTCATCGCACTCTCGTTGTCCTCCTCCTCCACCGCTTTGGCTTGTGCGCCTATCGCCGCCAGCTCAGCCATGAACGGGCGGAGCGGTGCTGGGCATTGTTTGAGTGTGAGTGGAGTCCCAAGGACGCCGACGACGGAGCCGTCGGGCGTTATAGCGGTGGTGGCTACATCCAGAATGGCGAATGCGACTGCGGCAAAATATGCGCGGGGTGGGTCGAGGGAGAGGAGTCGGCGGAGGGAAGGGAGGCGTTCGAGGGCGTCTGCGAGGGACGCGTATAGCGTCTCGCGGATGAACTCTATAGCGGGTGAGTCGGGGGCGAGGATGGTAGGTGAATGGCTTCGTGCAGGAAACTGCGGCGTCGAAGGTGACAAGAGACCAGGTGACTGGGGGCGAGGAAGGGAGGAGAGGGAAGACGAAGAGGGGCTATCGGGGACGTATATGGGTGGGGGGACGAAAGATGCTTTGCGCGGACTGGGTGTTCCACCCGCGTCGAGCGCTGCTTGGAGATCTGAGGCGTACCGGTCTTGGAAAGACCTGCGCTGGCTTATCTCGATAGCTACGGCGCGTAGATCCGCTGCGATGCCGTTAATGGAGGCGTGCATCGGTTGAGCGATGGGGTCGAGGCTGCAAATAACTCTTGCTAGGTCATGTTGATACTCTGGGGCGAGAGCTTGAATACTCGGAACCGTTTTGGCCCATACTTGGAGGAAAGAGACGAATGCTGGTGGACAGTTGTCGTAAGATAGATCGGTGGGCTGGGCTGGGCCTGATTTCGAGGAACGGGGAAGGGGTACTGACGGAGGGTTTGTGGTACATCGGAGCGCTGCGAAGTATAGGCAAAGAGCCGGTCCTGGTAAATTATTGTTAGAACCTTTGTAGTATGTAGTCAAATGGTGTTCCGTAACTCCACGCACCGGTTATCATGAGATCACCCTCCGCACTGCTGAGAATATCGGCATCTAACAAACGTTCGGCCTTTGCTTGGGATAGAGAGGATTTTAGATAGCTATGAAAGCTATCTTGTATGAGCTGCTCAGAGAGCTGAGAGTTGGTCCGCGCTGGAGACATGGGTGTCGAGTGGAAAGAGCTAACTTCCGTTGATGGCTGTGCCTGACGTCACTGCCATTATCATTGTCAAATTCCTGTGCAGAATTTGGAGTCATCACTTTGTTTGGTCGAAGCTGAAAAAAAAACTTAGACAGGATTTGATTCGTAGTATTCGGTGTCATTATTATCCTGAGGTTGATGGTGTGGCCATCAGGCTAGATCATCGGCACGCGAAGTGCGCAACGAATTTCAAGCAGCCATATTTCTAAGAGCGATAAAGTAGTCTTCAGAATATCTTCCGATTTTATTTTCAAGTTTCTCTGTTTTGACACGTAAATAGACGCTGCCAGCCAGACCGTTTGCGCAACCTTTGCGATAACATAAATGTGAGCGAGATTTCTCAGAGCGACACCTATTCAACTCCTTTAACAATCGTCACAATCAGACTTGAATAATGATAAAGTGAGTGTTTCATTTCAAGATCCACTGGCATGCGTAATCTGCTGCCAGACCTTGTGCTGACCTTCCTCTTTCAGCGCTCTGTGCGATTCAACTCATACGGTTTGAAGTCGATGAATGCAAGTTTTACTGTTATTTAGTCTGACTCACACCCTAAGCAAAAAGCCCTCATGACGCTTCTGCAAAGATAATGCCTCAATCGCATATCAGCTGTAGGATTGGGATAATAGGGGTAAATTTCATTTGTCTCAAACTTCCATGATCACCTTTCTATCCGTCATCCCCCTAGTGTTTTCCTTCGCCACTGTCTCCATACCATCAGCCAATGCCGCCACTATAAGCCAGGACACCTCTTCCCCCACACGGCCGAAGTTTGCTGCACGGGAAACAAATTCCAACACGCCCGACGGCCTGCAACTGACCCTGATCCTTCTCATTCCTGGTCAGCCAAACTGCGTATACTTCTCGCGTTCTAGAGTTCACCCAGACTCTTCTCTGCAATATGGGCCGGAGCAATTTATATCGTATTGCTTTGTTTCATAGGCGTGGTTGCAGGTTGTTGGAAGGCGTGCCGCGCACGCGCGCCTGCAACAGCCGCTGCTCAGGCTCAAGTGATGCAAATAGCTGTGGCGAACGTTTCGCTTCAAATGCCCACGATCGCGATGGGGAATGTACCGCGAGGAATCTTGAACGTTCCAAATCCTGATCAACCCGCCATCATATCAGAATCTGGTCGACCATCCTTAGATATTACCGTCGTTTCGGATTCTGATTCTGTGTGGTCTACTGCGGCTTCCTAGCCTACAATAAAGTGTTAGTTTTTCTGCAGTTTTTTCCAAATCAGCCGATACAGGAAGTTAGATGACCGCGCTGGTAGAAAAAGAGTAGAACCGATCCGCGGATGTGGTTCAAGGCGTTAATTTTTTTTTTTGCATTCTGTTTATTTAACGTCGAAGGAAGACATTTGCTAGCTCTGTAAATGGGCTGCTCAACCACGGTTCAACTCGACCTCAATTCCGGTTACGGTTGATATCGCCTTTAAGCACCGCATTTTATGAATAAGCATTCGAGCAAGGACACTACATATTTGTAGAGAAGCATCTCTGAAGAGATTCGGCTACAACGTAATGACAGAAGATGATGTCAGAAGTTTGTTTACATTTAGCCCCCTTCCCGGCCCAGTCTGAGCTCGTGGTCTGCAAATCCCATGCACCCCCTACCTCTCGTCCGACCTTAAGTGATCCACTCTCCCTCTGACATCCAGGGTTTGTCCGCCTCGTCCTTCCCAGTCACCTCGATATCGTGGCCCACCGTTGTGAGAAAAGTACCGATGTCAGTTGATAAACGATTCCGAGACCTGTATCGCATGTTGTTTTGTAGTGTCCGATGGCGATGTTCAACGAGGAGGAGCATCACTCGATTGCCAAAAATAGAATTGAGAACTCGTGCTGGACTGTTTCCTAGTACTTAGTAAATTGAAAAATAATGTTAAAAAGCGAAGACGTACAACGCAAACATGTGCTTATACTCCGTTGGCTTTGATTCATCAATTGAGTGGGATGAAACTATCTAATGGGTTAGAGGACGCACGACATCGATGGCGATAAAAATGATGTTAATCGCGCTCAGCACTATTGAAAACGTTAGCGAGTAACAGATATTCGAACTTGAGGAGGAACACACTAAGGACGCAAATACTATAGAATATCCCTGAAGTGCATCATTAAATAACGGAGAAATCAACTTCAATCACACGCACCATTCTTGTACAGCTGGCTAATCCAATCGGAGGGCGAATGTCTAACTGAAATCGGAATAAATATGTAGCTCAAGCTTTCAAGATTAGGGAAGACTGACGGTGTTGGTATGCCTTGATCATAGTTAGGATTACGACGGCTGGGGGTCTCATGAGCGATTATGTCGCGCAAGATATATTGTTCATACCGCATTCCGTTGCCATAATAAGATAGAACCATCCGAGGAATAATCTGCCCAGCGGATGGACCTTGCAACCCTGCGGGGTGGAGATTCTATTTGCAGCTAATCAAGATCATGATTAACGTTCAGCAACTAAGACACGCAGATGAACTACGAACCAATTGTGCTGATCACCTCAGAAATGAACGTGTAAATGGAGAAAACGGAGGAAACCTGACAAACTCATTTGGGGTGGATGATTGATGGCGAACAGTAACGCACAAGTGTTAGCAACCCGAGAACTGCCAAAACCCAACGTTGGCGACCCCATATTGCGCATGTTCGGAGGGTTATTATCACTGGAAAGAGACCTACAGTTTGATTTGACGATTTGAAAGGGAAATATACGAGACGAACTTTGAGATGACAAGAATCCCGTAGACGTACTGGCTGACTGCATATGAGCTTTCGTTAGAATTGTGAACACGACGGACCAACGAACCAAGTGCGAGCGACAAGAGCACCGAGCACGTCTGAACATTTGCAGAACCCCGTTAACCTGAACCACGACTCTCAAATTATCTGACACGAACGTTGGGAGATCCTCCTGCAAGTTGTACTCCCCGACAATTAGCTATACACTGAACGCCATAGAAAATGGTCTCACCGTAGAGAAAGAGTGGCTGATCGATAAACAATAGGTAGCGGCTCAGATAGAAGAGAGTGATTCCGATGGACCATGGACATGACCATATGTAGGAGCTCTTTAGACAAATAATTCAGAATTCTATAGCAAAACGCGATTGTCGCTACGCACCTCTTGCCGGAAAGTCAACAAGTAATCATAGCACTTTCGCCCACGTCTTCAATCCGCAATCGACCAAAACTTGCAAGGAGCACCCACCATGCATGTGATGCCTGAGACAAGGATGAAAGAGAAGGGGTTGGGGTATTGCGCTAATACCAGATCGTTGGTCTTGTCGGGAAGGGAACGTCCAAGTCAGTGTAGAGGGTGGGATAACGACGGGGAACATACCATGGATAGTGTGGACATAGTGGGCAGTAGCGTGCGTAAGGTATGCCAAAGTTAATAAGTCAACTGCATCAAGTCACACGGAGTTCTCAGTTCGCCCTCCCAATCAAGGGCTCGGAGGATTGTCGTTGAAATTGATTATCCGCATGTAGGAGGTAAATACCTCCTCTATGTGAAGCCAAGTCGGATTTAGAAAGGAGGAACTCCCCCGTTTCTCGTATGGGACAAAGGTCGAAGTTCGCGGTAAATTCCTATAGATAAGGAAGAGTTGCCATGTTTGAAAGTCACCTTCAATTTTAATCAAAATGAGGATACTACGATGTACTTCAGGAGCCATAGTATTTGAGGGGGGAATCCCCAGGCACACTGAATTTCGCCGAGGATGTAGAGTCGTTTGTGTTGGTTCCTGCTAGTTCCTGAGACGATACCTTGTCCATATCGCTCCTTCGCCTCGTTTCGACTCTCAGGGAATACTAACCCAATGAACACTCATATTGAAAGAGTTTCAGTTCAGCAACGTAAGTTGAGAAGGAGCGCCAAAGGATGGGCTAACAGGGTTATCGAAGAGATATGTGTGCTTTAGAGGGTACAGTCAAGGAGGGAGAGTAGCAAACGACTCCATGGCAAAAGTGTCATTGTCACCAAATTGTCACTGCCAGAAATTCGATAATCGATTTGATGTCACGTGATGAATTGCGTGTCACATTTAAAAATTGACGGTGATTTTCTCCTCTCTATCCCTCCTTATATTCAAATCCTCGACGGCCTCATTGTGCATCGTCTCTTTTTTGTTTTTTCTATACACTGCAGTCCACGGATGGAACCTTCTGGAGCCCGTACTAGGATCATACGCGCGGCGATGGTGTCGCTTCCTTCATATTTTCTTCCTGATGAGCGCTTCCTCATTGCGCTTGAGAGAAGCTGTAGGGGGTGTAGCGATTGAAGGTGCATCTCTGTGGCACGGTCAATCGTCAATCCCTAGGCGAACTGGACGAGAAGGATTTCGGAAACTCACGGAGACCCTGCTCGACGGGTCCATTCGACGCGGAATCTTGACCGTTCGACCCCATAGGGGTATTGATTTGCCACGAGTTGCAGCTACCCCTGAAATATCCTTCCCGCGATCTATGGGGAAGACAGTTCGAGTCATCACTGTCTAGGCTGGAATAGGCCAGAACGAATGGACAACTCGCGATAACCCTCAGCCTTCGACGCATATCTCTTTGATGTGACTTTCATTGTCCCACACCGAGGCCCAACTTGCAACGAGTCGACCGCGGCTGGGGAAAGAAAGCCCTCCTGCGAGCATCTCATTGAGTCTTGTGGACCGTCGCACTCCGAGGGAGCTGACTGTATTTGTGTACATCGAACAGAAGTAATCCGGAGGTGGGGGAGACGGTGGTTATTGAAGAAGGAAATAGAGGACGGATTGTTGTGGATTGTTCCCGATCCTCTCTCAAACAACACACGTGATATGCCATGAAATGTGCCAGGGGCCTCGAGGCTCGCATTGTCCGTCAAACCCCGTCCAACCGACTTCTTGGTGGCCTTGATGAATCGTGTTCCCTTGACGACGTCGCTATCTCGATTACTACGTCCGTCTTCCGTCTGCTGTTTCCCTCTGGCTATCGCAGCGCCACTCGCGACCGCCGCGCTAAATAATCAAGCCTTCGTGCTTGTAGTATACGGCTTTGAAGTTGAAATATCAGTGGAAGAACCTATAGAGATTTTGACCTCAGAAACCGGGACAAGCATGATGGCTGCATCCGGTCGGAGCACAACAAACAATGTGAAGCCACAAAATTACCAAGATCAACGCAAAGGCCAGAGAGGCCACAATTCACGGTCACATGTCCTCGTTTAAGAGGGATTGGTGGCCCACACACTCCTTGCTCCTCTCCTCACCCACATCCATCTTCACGTCACTTCCAATGTCGTCTGAAACAGTATCCCCAGCTGCCCCGAGACGATCCACGAGGTCTCGTCAGGAGAGCAAGAAAAGTCTTGCCACGCTCAATTTACATCCCAATGCCACCGCCGTGGTGTCTACTTGTCAAAGTGGCAATGATAACAAAAAATCTGCATGCGACGTTGGATCGTCGTCAACGTGAGTCGGGTTTTCTGCTTTGCACAATCCAGTCGTTGACGAACCGACGGCTCATAGGTCCCTTAAGATATCGATTCCTTCTCGAAAGCGCAAGCGAGAGGACGACCTCGAAAACGAAACTCAAAAAAAGAGGACAAGCAACCACAACACCTCTGAACTCCTTGAACCCTCCAAGAGGAGAGATTGGAGCGAGAATTCTAACCCGGATTATAAAAAACGTTTCAACGCGGTCATTCAAGCGCTGTTGGCTCGACGCGCAGCTTCCGGAGTACGATGCCAATCCGCTATCGATGATGAGAAAAAGAGGATAGCGGAACGAGAGGCCGACCCATGCGTCGAGTGGTTCACCACCAGCTCCGTGATGTGCGCTGGGTGCTACAAGGAGATGGCAACAGACAGCCGCCAGAGTTACTACAAGATGTCGTGGGAGAGGCACAGGGACAATCGCTGTGCTGGCGCGAGAAATATTATGGCAGAGTGGCAACGTCGCCGTCGTGAGGAGGCGGCGCTTCAGTGGGTAAGTGGTTCCACACGTCTTGGAATATTCCCGAGGTTTTGACAGAGCTTGTAGACTCCCAGCAAAGAGGAACTGAAAGTGGTGGAGGTACTGAGGTTCTTGGCCGCGCGTTCACTGAGCACCCCAAGGCAGGTTTTAACAACTCGATCGCCCACCCCCGAGGACGTGCGGGACGCAGGGGAGGGATTGGCGCTCTTGGTCACGCGTAGTGCCTTAAGCCAGGCGTCGACACCTCCGTCGGATTCCTGATAGCTTTCTTGTTAGCAACTATTGGACAATATCTTATCTGACCCCGCCGCGAAAGCCAAGATGCGCATGTAGCTATTGATTGATATGATTCGAATGAGATTACTTTCGTGATTCAGACGATTTATGACGCCCAGATAGCTCTCGGACTACGTGTACAGGTCTGTGAGCAGAGAGCGGCGGCGGAGTCTCAGCGACAAGCTTTTTCTATGCAAAAACCACACGACGGCTGAGATATGAGAGGTGACTAGTTGACTGTCAAGAAGCATTTACACTCCACTGAATTTGAAGTACCTCGCCCCACTTCACGGCCTCAGGCCTTGATGGCTATACCATAATTACTACATAGATTGGGCTCGACACGTTGAGAGATATCAGGATTGCAGTAGTGTGAAGTTTTGAAACGCTCACCCCCTGATTGTCCGTTAGTATTCATACCCACTTTCACGTACAGGTCTTTCGGTATTTCTTTTCGCTGCCTTTTATTCTCATAAGCTGACTCAATAGTTGCACAATTCATTATCGTAAATCCAGATAAAGATGACCAACGAACGTATTGAACCATGTTAAAAAATTACATATATGTCGAATTTTATAGATTAGAGGCCGACTCGCCGATGAACTACTTGAAAACACGAGAGGAACTAGGGTGTATGTGATTTATGTACTTGCTGTCAGATTATCCATTCTACTTCCAAGGTACCCGCTCTGCTATTTGGGTCGTTGGACAAATCTTCATCTGCGTCGAAAGTTGTGAGAAATACGTCCAGATTCGTAGGCAATCCGAACTCCGGTATTGATGGGGAGGATTCCAGATTTTGCTGTAGCGTTTGGTGTCGGTGTTCGACGAGCAGAAGCATCACTCGGTTTCCGATAATAGAATGTGCGACCCGCGTCGGGCTGTTTAAGGTGGTTGGAAATTGATCCTTTGTTGAGAGGAGGTAACAGGTACGTACAACACCATCATGCTCTCGTATTGTGGCGGCTAGGAAGGTGCAAGCGGAGAAGGGTTCAGCGATGAGTAGTAGCGATGAAAGGAGGACACACGAGGGCGAGGGCAAACATAAGGAGATTGACGATGCTTAAAACTATGTCGGTTGGTAAATTGAATTGTGATAGTATGTAAAGTCTTGAGCCAACATACGAAGGGCGCAAACACTATAGAATATCCCTACAAGAGCTGTGAGAGGGGCGGTTACGAAATAATTCAGTGGAACACACCATTTCTGTATAATTGATTCAGCCAGTCGGATGTGGATTGTCGAACTGAAGGCGGAGGTACAGTGAAATGGCAGCATAATGCGGGGAGAGTTCACCTACGGTGTTGGTATGCCTTCGTAACAGTCAAAGACACAATGGCTGAAGTTTTGAGAAGCGGGCGAGGAAGATCACTGGGGTAAGATACGTACTGAATTCCGTCAGTGTGGTGAGGCAGAACCATGCGACGTAAAATTTCCCCGTTGGAGGGAATTTGCACCCAGGCATTGTTATCGTGCGATTCATAGCTAATCCACATAAGCGTTTCAGCACATAGGGATGGAAAGTCAACACTGCTAAAGGGAACGAACAGATTATAGACCTGGCTGTAGAGACCATTGTATAAAGAGCCAATCCAAAGGTAATCTTTCGACGTCAGGCAGAGGCAAAATGAAATTTAATGTCACTTACCGTCGTCAGTGTCCCCAGGATAACCAATACCCATAATCTCCGACCCCACATCGCGCATGTTCGGAGAGTAATGATCGCTGAAAAGGATTGCATCAAGCTGACATCGGAGGCCAAAATGGGCACACCTTGGGATGACATGAATCCAACCATCATGCTGACTGAGAACCTATGAACTCCAATTGCGGGTAACAGCAAGAACCGCAGAGGACGAACCAATCGCAAGTGACGAGAGTGCTGAACATGTCTACGCGTTTGAAGAAGTATCATCGATCGGTCACAAACTCGAATCAAGATGAATGAGGCACGAACATGAGGACTCTGAGCAAGAGCAGCAGGAAGTTCAACTGTGCGAGGATCAGCAGCGGAAAATAAGAAGGTGGGCCGAGCTGACCATAGAGCATAAGCGGTTGGTCAATAAAAATGAGGTAGCGACTGATGTAGAACAGAGCGAGCCCTATTGATCGTGGACATGACCATACATAGGAAATCTTCGGACGGTGAGGTTCGAATGGAATGTAGAGGGTTACAATGCACTCACCTCTTGCTTCAACGTTAGAAAATAGTCATACACCTTTGATACTTCTTTCACTTCATAAACACAGCCTCGGGAAGCTTGAACACGCACCGAAACCGTGATTCCTGCTGCGAGAACGTAAAGGCAGGCAGTTGGGTACAATGTTGACGGGGGTACGACAACGATAGGGGGAGGTGCGAACATCAAGACCAACGTGCAGAGGTGGCAGACCTTGACATGGGAAGGTGAGTGCTCTTTGAAGGGCTGAAAATGCCTTGAACATCTCTCGCTCACGTAGAGGACACCCGCATCAAGGGTGAGATCAGGCTATTACCGCCCTTGATTATGAGACAGGTCCGCAGATGAGATGCCGATTGGATGCCGGTGACCTTGGGGTGACTTTGCACAACTGAAGAAAATTAAAAAACTTCAACAGACTTCTACTGAGATACTAGTCTATGAAATAAGGAGCCCCACCCACAATCTATGTATTAGCAAGGCGGCTAACATATTCGACCAGGGCCCTACAATTGCAATTTCAACGTTACAAATCATCAACAAAAGCAGGGCAACTTACCGAACCGGTCGACCCGTCATCCCTCTCTCCTGATACGGTGATGATCTAGTGGCCTAAAGTAGGAACCATCGTCAGCGTCGGGCGGAGCCAAAAGAACGACTGAGAACGTACCTCCATACTACCTGCGATATCGATGTGCGCCCACTTCATGGTGTGTTCTTGACCGTCCTTTGCCTCGGCACCTTCTGCGAAAGCTTTCAGGAACATGGCGGCTGTTATCGAGCCTGCCGGCCTTCCTCCTGTCTGCGGGGGCGTAACGGGTTTCGTCAGAAGGGGTAATTTAGAGAGAAAATTTTCCAGTTTTCCAGTCCAGCATAGGTGGAGAGTGACACCATACGCCGTGGGTGGCGAACAATATTGATGCGCAGATAACCGCCCAAAAACGAGGAGAAAACAACTCACATTCTGTAAATCAGCGTTACTTGAGGTAATCTGGGGCAAAAAGTCGTCGTCAAGCCGCATGCGCCAGAATCTGTCGTACTCGGCCTCGCCGGCTGCGTGAAGTCGCTCCCAGAGTTCGTCCGAGGTCTAAACGTGCACAACAGCATTAGCGCGACAACAACTTACCAGGTAGAATTACGATAGGCGCGATCGAGCTCCGACATCGACGATGCCGCCATCAGAAACCGAGGTCGTCGGCTGAGATGTGTCATTCTCTCAAGGCCACCGCCAATCGATGTAAAAATAATAATCCCCTCCGTCAGAACCGGCGGGGTCGTTACTAGGTAGACAGCGCCCATCGCGCCACTCTTCCAACGTTCAAACCGCACTCACCGAGAATACACCGGAATATACCTCTCCGAGCGCGATAACCATAGCCCTACGCGCAATTCAGAATACATCTGAGACAGGGGGAAAAGAAGGTCAGGTACCCTGTCAGAGTAGCGACATCAATCAAGGTGTGTGGTTTGTACTCTGTTGCAGTGTAATAGATGGCATCTGTCGCGGATCAGTCGGAGTACAAGAGGTGTAAAAAAAAAGACGAGCCAGATAGAATTAAACGTCCCTCAGCATCTGTATTATACACTTTGATGGATTTACCATTCATGGCGTAGATGCTGTTCGAGAAAAGAGTTATTACAGCGAAGAAAGAAGGGAAATTTGGAGAGAAACGCGTACATATCCCCCGGTTTCACAGCACCAAAACCAGGCATATTCTCCGTAAGTGGCGTGCACACCACAAGATTGATCCTACGGAACTACATACAGCTAAATTTTTCGTGATGGGGAGAACATCATACGGCAACTGCAATTTCGCCACAGCCCATGCAGCCGAAACAACGGCCGCCGCTCCGCCTATTATTCCTCTCAATAAAGCGCTCAAACAATCGATAAGAGAGCGACATACCCATATCGCCGCGCATGAGTTTCATACCCTATCCGTGATTGTCAGTAAGTAGGGCTTTTTATACCACGCTTTGGAACAAGCATACAAGAAGCTGCCAGCTAGCTAAAGCAATTTATCAGAGGCAGGGTGCGCCTGCACCGTCCATGCCGGTGAGTATTCCATCTTTCGAAGAACATTTCGCCTTCTGACCTGCCTTGTAGACTCATACCCCAAAGGACCATGATGGGGCGAATTCGCTCGTGTTGCTAAGCAGTGGATTTGGAACTCCAACCCAGGCGTCGACGCCGCCTCCTTGAGCTCCTAAAAGACGGTATTGGCCTCAGGAGACAACGTGAGGTTCCGGGTGACTTAGTCAAGGGCTGGCATAACTAAACTTGAAAACGGACTTGTATCGTATTGAAGCACTCGTTTCGGAAATTGACCAGAAAGAGTGCCGTAACTTGCGATTAGCTGTCGGATTTGATTTGAACAAAGATGAAGCTGAAGGAAGGAGGAAGAGGAGAAGAAGAAACACGAAATATGTGCATCACGTGACCAAACCTAACAAATCAATCACATGTGAGACCGTGACAAAGTTATCGTTGAACGTTGAACGTTGAGCGCTGAGCTATGGTCAAGCTATAGTATCAACCTCGTCAGCGGGGGAGACATAACCGGCACCAGGAACGTCGAACACCAACCTTGGGTACAATACTGTACTAATCCAATCAATTCGTCGCACCCTGTGACCTGTGACCCACGCGACGAAATTTTGGTTTCGTCGCGTCACCGGGGAAGGTGTGACTGCCGGAAATTTTCGTCAAAATGTCGGAGTAGCCCTCTGTCCTTAGATAATTTAAAATAGTTCAGAGAACTTTGCTAGAGAGACTTAGAGGGCGAAAAAATCGATTTCTAATGAAAAAAGACCCCAATTTTGTTCCTTTTCTGACTGACCTGGTGGTTTCGTCGCTGGCTCCTGTGACCTGTGACCGCTTAGAATTTCGTCGATTTCGGACCGCCTGTGACGCGTGACCGACGAATTGATTGGATTAGTACAGTACTGGCGGATTCTTTTTCACCGATGCTAATGGTGGAAATGCGAATGGAGCGTAAACAATACGCGCCGGGTACTTCATTCAATGTGTATCTCTTCATTTTTTCTTAGTAGAACTCAAGCTTGGTAGACCGATAGCATTCCGTGTAACGGTGGTTTTCTATACCCATCGCCTCTGTGTTTCAGTAGAATGCGACGATATTTTGTGCGCTAACGCCTTTTCCAAACCTCCTACCCGCTTCCCCATATCCTTTGCGACTCCTCCGTCCCCACCGCTTCTTGTTCGGATTCCTTCCTCCGGCTCAAGTTTCAACGTAACTTACACAATAATGTCAGTTATCTACTCTCATCCCTTAGCATCATGCTGAATGTTAGTTCGTTCAGTTTCTGCTCACCATCCCCGACTACTGGCACCGTAGCACTTCACCCGAATTCCAACATTGCAAAATGCCTCGACGTGTAAGGGAATGTTCTGGCCAACGGTACTCCTGTGCAAATGTGAATCACAGGATACCCATATCCCTCATATCTTACCCCTCAAAACAGATTTGACTGCAACGGCACGGGAGCGCAGGAATGGGTCCTCTTAAAAGGGATCACGAAGGTACAGCTATCGGGGACAAATTTCTGTCTTGATGGTGGAAAGTGCATTTTTCTTATTCCAACTGTCTCCTTCAATTCTAATGGCATTCAGATCCGACAAAGCATTGATAACCTCACTTGACAACAATGTTTCTATGCATCTGACAATGGGATCGTGCTCCGGGGTCTCTCGTTTGATATTCTCAGTGTCTGACGATTGTGCGTGCCTCGACTTGAAAAACGGAGATACGTACAGTCAACATGAACAAGGCACAGACTTGGAAATTCACGAATGGGAGCGCCAATCAGATTTGAACTGAATGAAGTATTCTGGTCAATCCTATTTTCAATGCTTAGTCCTCTCATTGCAGCTACTTTTTCGGACTTTTCGCAGAACGTAGAGTCGTTCACACGTCAGGAGGGAATGTTTTCACCTGATTCCGTTGTGAACAGCTTTGACCCCTCGTTCTATTCTGAAGAATAGTTATCGCCGGGAAACATGCAATCATGGGAGTGCCAATGGTGGCATAGGGTAGCGATCAAGATGAGTGATTCTGTTCAAATCAACCCTCTTCAATATTCGTTATTCTGGAAAGCCAAGTCTGCTGCGCAGATACTGAGTCCACCCAAGGATGCCCCCCTTCAATCAACGTGATCCTGTGATCCAGTCCGATACAACTTCGTAGATCCTCCACCCATTTTTTCCCATTTTCTGGATAGTCGGTACATGGTATATTTTTCGTGACGTCGATCCTGAGGAATAGTTTCTTGAATTTTGGTGCACTGGCTGTGAAACCGTCGACAGTTTCAATGAGAGCTCTGACTGCTCGAACGCACTGTGCGGTGTCCATAATTTGGGTAATGTGAAGCTGGGTGAGCATAGGCGTTCCCGGGAGCACAATCGGAATGAGGTCATGTGGATGAATTGGATAGTGAGCAAGGTGTAGGCGTGTCAGGGAAGGAAAGATGATGGGATTGGGCGGAGAGAAGTTGGCTTTGGGGTAAAATGCTCCGTAAATGACAAGCTCTGTCAGATGAGGCAAAGGGATGGGCAGTAGAATGTAGGGGCGATTTAAAGTTGTGAAGTACACATGGAGTGTCCTCAGATGGTGTGCCGCAAATGTTAAGATGCATTGAAAAGCTAAGAGAATATTGTCATCATCGACGTCTGACTCGGCGAAGGTAATAAGTGACTTGGCGTGAGATCCAGTGACAGGAAGGTCGGGTGAACGTGCGTGCTGCGATATCAAAGTCTTCAGAGCATCTTTGACGTCAGACTGTACTCTTTTCTTTGTCTGGTCTGGCGCAGACGCAACGAACAGATGTTTGACGACTCTCTGAGCAGGAGGAAGAGACGCCAGCACTGCAGCGAACCGGATGACTTGTTTGGGGGCGACGACGGAGATGGAGTTCAACGTGACTGATTTGCCGATGTTGTGGAGGCTTCGACAAACCAGGGATACCGCTCGACCTGTAGAGCCATTGTCCGTGCAAGCTAGTCTGAGAATTTGAATCCATAGCTCTAGAGGCAATGCGTCTATCATGGTGGAAGCTGCAAAGATCTGTCCGAAGGCGGCTGTGCAGTAACTAGCAAGTGTTACGTAATAGAAACTAAGCCGCGCCTCGTACAAGCACGGTCCCGACTACAGAGCAAAATAAGATGAAGGTGGGGAAGAACTTAGGAATTCAGATAATCGAATTACACTCTGGCATCACATCTTTTTTGTTACCTACGTCTTCGTGCTATTTACCCATACTGCCCCCCACCATCGTTATTGTTGAAGAACTGGACGTACATTTTCAATATTTGAGCGGAGGTTAAACGAACTTGAACCTGTCGCGACAAAGTGGGGTGTGCAGTAGTTAAAGCCAAATTACAGTCTATATAATACGAAGTGTGAAAAAGAGGTGTCCATAACAATAAAAATAATCAATCTTGTTCGAACCCGCGAACAGGAAACTCGTTGGTGGAGCACGCTGAATCTATGGGTAGGAGACGCGCAGTTCCTCAGCGGTGACGTTATATCCAAATGTTCTCGTCGCCCAAAGTAGTTTGAGCGAGGGCGTTAGTGGACACAGCGCCTCACCGTCGTACAAGCTTGAAGTAGAGGATAATGATAACAAGGACAGCGAGGAAGGCTATGATAGCGTAGAGAATGACTCTTTGCTTGTACATCCTGTAATCAGAGTAAGTAGTTGGCGGGGGCAAAAACTCGAAAAGTCAACGTACTGGCGTATCATCCCTTTGACCGTCCCAGATGACCTATCAATGTGGACCTCTGCAGTACCGAGCTGGAAGAGAAAACCATGTGTACTTAGTGGGGCCAGGCACGAAGATGGGGGCAAGGGAAACTTACCGTAGATCTTGCGTTTTCAATTTGTTCCCTTTGCCCCCTCAAATTCGACAGGATCTCCGCTCCATATGTCTCAGTCTCCAATGCTACGCTTGTAGAGTCGGCCAGCCGTCGGCCACCATCATTCAATCTCTCCGTCCCCAACAATAGCCTCGACCTATCACTCTGCTCGCCATATGGGTCATCAGAACTTGGAGTACCTTTTCTGTATCCCCCAATCAAGTCGTTCCGCGCGGCCTGTGAATGGAGATCCTTGGACAATTTCTTGTATTTCGTAAGGTCCGCTTTGGCCTGCTTCAACCGTGACGTGTACTGCGATTTGATAGACTGTGGGATGCCCTGAATTTCAATCTCCAGTTGCGATACCTGAGCCATGAACATGAGTCAAGAGCGTAGAAACCATGTTTTGGTAGGCGTACAATGTCATCGGCCTCGTCGAGCTCAATTTCAACCTTCCGCAGCGCAGCTTTTCGCTGCTCTGCTCACCATAAGTTCCAAACTTTGCAAGATGCTCTGGGATGCACTGACCTCCAAGTTGGTTCTTTCCCTCTCCTTCTAGCTTATTCCGTATGCTTTGAATTATGTGCCTGAAATCCTGTTCGTAGGAGTCGAAAATGGCGGTTGGCGTCTGGTCCATGATGATGGCTGAGAGAAAGCGGTTGCGGTCACGGCTGTGACTGAGTCCTTGTTACTTACCTTGAGGCAGTGTCACGCGCCCCGAGTCCTCTTCGATTATTGGCATACTTATACTTATTCGTGACACAAAATCTAAGAAGCTTGGATGTAAACATATAAAAAGGTTTTTATAATCCCATCTCTCTCTTCCATCTTCATGTGTGGCCGAACACAGCTTGTGGTTTGTAAGGCTCCTCGAGCTGGTTGACTTCTTCCTCCGTTAACTTCAGATTCATAGCACCTTGAAAAAAAAAATCAGAGACAGCCAAAATGCGAAGTAGATGCATACCAAGTAAGTCATCAAGGTTCTCTAGGGATGTGGTGCCAACAATGGGTGCGGTAACGCCTGCATGGCGATCGTTAGATATTCGTGAAGGAAATCATCATCAAACCACACCATCTCTGCCCATGATCCACGCAAGAGCCACCTGCGCCATGCTCACGCCTCTGGCTTTAGATATTTGTTCAACACTGTGAATCACAATGTAAGCCAAATATGCAGGTACAAGTCAACTAGCACGAACCGGCTAACGATATCCTGCAATCCTTGATTCTGATATCCCTTTATGATACTAAATTTATAGGAGAACACGGAACGGAGCAGTTTAAATCAACTGCCTACCGGTCGGTGCCACCACGCGCCGTCTCACCCCCTAGAGGTCGTGCAAGCAGCCCACGAGCAAGTGGCGACCAAGGGATGGAGCCTACGCCAAGGTGCTTGTGAAAAGCGTCAGGACGGGCAGGAGTCATAAAGATACAAGTAAACCTTGAGGGTGGGAAACATCTCCCGTTCCTCCTCGCGGTAGAGAAGGTTGTAGTGGTTCTGCATCGAGATGAAAGGTGTGAGCTTGTTCTTGATGGCGTAGTCTGCCAGCGGGAAGCTTATTAAAAGATGCATTTTTCGAATTAGAAATCTCCATATACGGACTTTGCATTGCATGGACTATGAAAGTTCCGTTAGAGAGACGGTTGATAACCAATTATATGCACCTACATTGCCAAGCGTAACAAGAGGACATGCCAATATACCTCACAAAACCGGCCTTGACAACGTCGTGGAGCGCTTGCATCTATCATTTAATCAGCGCGACTGTAAGGGAAACAAAAGGAGTCCCAAAAATTACTGTTTCTTCGATAGGTGTATCGATGTCAAATCGGTGGCCTAACCTCTTGTTAGCAAATCAAGTTAGCTTTCGAGAAACAGCCGTACACTGAAGAACATCAACGTAGTCCAGTTGGAGACGTTCCAAGCTGTGCTTCACAGACTCAAAAATATGCTGAGAAGACGTCAACATCGGGTACATGATCTGCAGATAATTCGATATCGACGTGCCTTACGACTAAGCCCATGCTGGTTAACGTATCCCATCTGGTCCTGTACGTTTCCTTGAAGGAAGGGTGCGTTGATACTCCTTCCAACAGTAAAGAACACCTACGTAACCCATCAAGGTTTACTAATCTTCGACTGAACAATAAGTATCATACCTTCGTCATCACAACAATCTCATCTCGGGGAAGATTGAGCTGCTTGATGGCTTTACCAACAGTAACTTCCGACAATCCGTTTGAATAAACCTGTATTACACCTTCATGCACCGCATCGCAAAAGGGTGTGATATCATACGTTAGCCGTATCAAACGTGTTGATTCCCGCATCGTAACTGGAGAATGGGGATGACGATCAGCGTCGAGCAGGAACGACGGGACAGTCGAGGACATACGCTGCCTTGATATGTTTGATGGACTCTTCCTCAGGTAAGACCCAAGGCTGCCATTCCGGCGATCCATATGACATGCATCCCAGGATAATCTTGGACACTTTCAAGCCCGAAGACCCAAGTCGCACTGGGTATCTCTACGTTGGCATGCCGACGACTTTATCAGAATGATGCTCACCGTATGGCATGTTCTTTGTTGTTCCGGCCATTTTTGAGTTACGTCTATGTGGTTGTGGGGAAGAGAGCAGCTGCCCTTGTGGGAGACTGGAGCCGCTGCTTATAAAGGGAGTTCGCGTAATGACTAATTAGGCGGAAACGCCCGGCCGCGCTTATATATCGACCGGATATAATGCGGAGAAATAGAGTAGATATTATCAATAAAGCTTTCTTTTAACTGCCAGGACCACTCAGGAGATATTGTCTATCAATTTATCGGAATCATCGAGAATTTCCTGTGGCGGATAAACAGAAAGAAGAATAGGAATGTAGCAAACCTGTGTGTGTTGGAAGATGTTACACCTGAAACAAGGATGTATCGGGCACCTGAGCGAAGTGCACGACAAGTCCTAGGACAAATGAATCATTTTTGCTTGTTGTTTGTGTATCCGACAGATACTGAGGACAGATACTTCATTTCAATTCAATTGAAGGATTGTTCACAATATTTGTCTCCAGCTCAAACAATAAGCAAAAATTATTTCTTCGTCAAACCATCTGTCAATCAATTTGCTCAAGTGCCCAATTGTCCACTGTTTTAGGTGTTTATAATATAGGAGGATGTTATCAAATTATCTTTTTGATATCTTCTATGGAACTTTGGAAGAGGTAAAATAATCCTCACATATTTCTCAATGGGGAGTATAGATCATTTATATATCTCAAAATCATGGGAGCAAGGGGGCGTTAGGATTTGAAAGTCCGACCAGGGGTTGGGTAGGTAGGTTGGCTGCAGGCCACCTAAAAAGAAAAATGGAACCCCTTATGAAATTATCTTGAAATGGTCCCAGAAGGCCATCCTCTGCAGGATTTGAGTCCTACTAGGTCCTAATAAGCTCCCAAACCTGTAGATGAGCCTGAATACAATGATATTTGAGGATGATGTTATAGTTTACAAATATTATTACTCTTATATTAAGGAAATGCCTGGCTTTCGTGGGTGCATGTTTGGCTAGCCCTTTGGCACCTAGGCTCTCTTGGCTCTTTTGTTGTAGTAATCCTCCACCTAAGACCAACGCACTTGGCCAGGCTTGGCCTCTCCTCATGTCATATGGCCACTAAATAATCACTCTTTCAGCACCTACACTCTCTCTGCTCTTTTGTTGTTCTCCAGCTTTCATGTGTACATGTTTGGCTCCTGTCCATTTTCTGTGCTCAAGCTGCCGAAGTGAAGCGAGGCATGTCTTGTCTAATCTTAAATTTTCTCAACCAAGTTTTAACATAAGAGCGATAATGCGGGTTCCGGATCTGAAAAACAAACATCGGATTTTGGAGAAGATGGCGATGATATAATTGCAGAAGAAGGTGGGGAGGACATGACTGGTACTTCAGAGTTCACAGTTGAACATGATGAGGAGATCGAGGGAGCGATAGGTGAAAATGAGGAGATGCTGCCAGTGGTGGCGGACATGGCAAGTATCACCAATGACAATGTGGGCTCAGAGAACGACAGTGTGAGTATCAGCTAAACTTAGCTGAGCAGGTACTCACACAATGTTTAGCGCACTGTTCCTGGGCTGCTGTTGGTGACAATTTCAAGTGTCTGCAATGTTGGTGACACCGTAATAGCTGCAAACAATAACTTAGTGGTGGAAGAGAGGCCTTCGGATGAAACCGGGCGTTCAAAACGAAAGCGTGTTCCAAGGCAGATGCCAGATGCCTTGAATGGATGCCTGTGCAGGATAGTGGTGGACTCCCTATCAGATGGGGTTCTTGAATGTAAGAAGCTTGGTTGTGAGATGCAATGGGTAAGACTATTTTCCATATGAAAAAACTTTTATACCACTCACCTGCATTTTAGTATCACCTAGATTGCATTTTGTTGGACATTGTTCCACGAAACTGGGTTTGCGAGGCCTGTGAGGCATCTGGGACAAGTAGAGGGACAAAGCGATCATGACAATGATGTCACATTACCATATATGGAAATGTGCCTGATTACGTAGGTAGGTAGGTCAAGCTCCAAGAGCTTAAAAAAAAAATGACCCTGGGTATTTTTTTTAAATCCTAAGACCCCCTTGCATGGGAGGGGAACATTTGGAAAAGATGAAACCAGTTTGCTTGAGCAAATATATGGGCCCTGGTCACACCTAATGTTGGGATAGCTAAACAAAGGTACAATAGATAGACTAAAGTTCAGTTAAGTGAAGTAGAAAATTGGTAAGTCAGAGTAATCACCTTGATGTTCATGTATGGACATACATAACTCAAATGATTGAGGTGGTAGTTGATATATACACAAGAAACATTGCTCAATTATACTGATTAGAGTATCTTGAGAAAGTGTGGCACTTTTTCTTCCCAGGAAAGCATCCTGACTATATTTGAATTTTTCCTTGTTGGGAAAGGCAGGGGATTTTTTAAAATCCCAGCCAAAGAAATTTGCTTTGCCTTTCCCAAAGCTGGTCAAGGGCAAACAAAGGTTGAAATATTCACAAGACTTTCATGTTTGTGATATTGTAGTCAAAGTGAGACCATTGAGTAAGATTAAGAGGAAAGCTGAAGCAAAGGGTTCCTTTGTTTTCAGATGCTGTGGAAAATTGATACATGCGGGGGGGAGTATGAAATTTTTGAGAAAGGATTCTTTGTTCAGACAATGCAACAGAGAAGGCAATGCATGCAGGATCTGTTCAAGTATTCTGAGGGGGAATATTCAAATTTTTCCAATTACAAGAAAGAATGTTACTCTGCATACTTATCAACCTGTCCTCACAATATTCCAGCCTGGCAAAAGTGTTGCACTTGCTCTGGCTACCCCACTTTGGAATCTTGTGCTATGTTCTTCTAGATATAACCTATGAAATTGATGAATGTTTGCAAGAGTACATGTGGGGCCAGTTGAATTTATTTTTATCTTCACAAATCCTTCTGTACTCTTGTAGTAATATGTATCACTTATTTATGAGAAACACTTTTCCATGTAAAGGTATGCCAACTACATAGAAGTAGAAAGGAAGGTAGGAACACCACCTCAGCTCCTCTTTGCTAGTCAAAAGTTAAGAGTTGGTCATCCCCACATCATGCTGGATGCCCTCTGTTGGTGACCCAACTTCAGGGTGTGTTGCTTGCATACCCTGAAGCTAGTGCTATCAGTGCAGCAACAGTGCAGAAGCCACCATGCCAAACTCATGTTTTTCAGCTCTACTCTCAGAATGGTCACTCTTATAACCTCCTTGGAGGCCGAAAAAGTAGCCACTAACTTCTGAAAGCAATTTCATGATGTTCAAATTATTTCTGTTGATTATTGTCCTATCTTTTGAGGGGCAACCTTTTCAGCTGAAATGAAAATTTAATAGACCCAGCTGCATATTTCACCAATGAAATTCTAAGAGTAGTATGAACCTATGAAGTGACACCATATAAGCAAATTAACTACCTTGTCAAGGTTATGTTGAATTCTTTCCTCTGAATTACTCAATGATTTTGCATCCCATCGTCAAGGGAGCATAGTATTAATTTCCGAAATGATCTCTGAGGGTACATGAAGGCCATTGCGGAGGATTTGGGTTGCAAGAGACTACTCCTTTGGTGCCTTTTTTTGGCCTTTCTTTCTTTTTTGCCTCCAAAGTTCGCTGATCGGATCTTATCTTGTCGGAGTTTTCTAATTTGGCATCAGAACCAGTTCTAACTTGTTGTGGACGTTCCTATCAAGGTTGCTGTTATAATAAGGAGCAACCAAAGAGTTTTTGGTTACAATTTTGGTCCCATCCAGGGTGGCAACCTGGTTGCAACAGGTGGCAACAGAGTTCCGGCATGATTGTAGCCAATTTTGGGCTAAAAAATGGAAAAATAGAGAACTTTCAACAGTTAGCACTGGTTAGAATGCCAATTCAATGCCATCCCAATCTCGGCTGGTTGTGACAAAAGAAATAAATCTCCGACAGTCTCCCCCTCCTGCTCTACTGCGATTTGATCTTTGATGTCGGGAATGAGTGTGAATGAGACTACAATCTCGCATACAAAGCACATAAAATCTGAAATCGAGCAGACATAAATACATCAACAGTCATAGACACTCATCTCTAATTGTGACAAAATCTAAAGCGATCTAAATAAGCACAATTATTTCACTCAATTTAAGGTACTGAATGTTAAATTTGATAAATTGCACCCATCACTGGATTCTGATCCCTGTGGGAAATCACTCGTTTTCAGTGCTTCTACCTTGATAACAACATCTTGCCTCTCACGATGACTACTCCCCATCCTTCCCCATTGTGTCTTTGCTGCAACCGACCCCTCTAGGCAACACAACCAATGCGGGACCACATTGAGCATGGCTCCCATCCCATTCTCGCCTTCAAGAGGCTACCACCACGCTCGTGCATTGTCATTTATGAAGCACAAAACAAAACACACCAGAATAGGAAACGATGTGCCACAAGCCACACCTGGGAAGTTGCTGGGAAGTGGGGGGTAGCTGGAGCACAAGAGAAGGCCTATGCAGCAGGGGAGCTCAAGGTGAGTATGAAAATTCAACAACACATGCATTCACTGACTTGATTTCTGCAGGATTTAGATTCCCCTGCGACATAATCCCCACACCTTGCCCTCCTCTCGCAACTCAATCTTGAACATCATCTCGAATCTCTCATCAGAGGGACCTGGGAAGGTCATGTTTGGAAGTTGCTGTAGGGGTACTCAGGAATGAGAGGAAGTCCATACCAATTCCCCCACTCTGTAAACTCATGTAAATGCTCCTGCCCAATATACAATATTGTTGCATAAATTCACATTGGAAAGGATGGAATGGAAGGAGATTCTTGCAGCTGATGTGATATAGCTGAAGGCTTCCTGGCTGAGCCAAAAGACCCTTAAATCGGGTGCAGGGATATGCCAGCTCATGGAAGTGCACCATAAATTATATTACAAACATCAAGTTGCCTGTGCCCACAGCTAATATGCCATACGTGTATTACACTTACCCATGGCTTGTAGGATATACACCCTGAGGCGTTGGTGCATGGGTTGGCAGCTGGGAACCCATGGCCACGCTGTCGCCTACCAACATGTTGGAAGCACTGAACATGCCGCAATGAGTGCACCCAAGTGCACCCTCATTTGACCCTCATCAATTTCCCCAGAAACCAGAAAGTTTCAATGCCATGATTGTAGGGGTTAATCATCAAGGAATAAATGCAATGTAAGATGGGTTTTGAGGGCTGGGAATACCTATCTTATCATAGAGATATATATATCTGATCTGACCATACCTTCTGTGTAATCTAAGCAAGTATCCAGCTTATATAACGCAAAATAAATCTAAAAGGAGGAAACAAACCCTGATGATCTCGCAAATATAAGCAAGTATCCAGTATCCCACTTTCCTACAGCTTGCAAACACTCACAGAACGCACTGCTGCAGCTCAGCAGAGTGTTCTACAGGTTGCTTGCTTGTGTGATTGCATGCCGTGTTGATATTGTGAGGTTAGGATCCTCCCTTCCTCCTCTTCTCTTTTTCTTTTTTCTTTTTCTTTTTCTTTTCTTTTTCAGCCCACAAACACTGGTATCTGGCCACATAAGCGAGTACACCGCCAAATTGAAAAAATGTGTGTGGGACCTGGAAGTTGAAACATGATCAGTACCTTTGTCCATCTGGGACAAATATTGATCGGTTATTCTCACAACATACACATCCAGCTAATACCAGTGTGTCTCCAGGTCGATGTTGGGGTGACCTGTCACCAACAGCTGGGGATCAGCTGGGAGGACAGCTGCCCCAGTCTATGTTAATTCCCTATGAGCCACAATTCTCAACATTCATTCTAAGTATGGCTGTTCAGGTTGATGTGTTCAGTTCTTATGCAGTGCAAGGAGGAGCATAAAATATGGCATATATTCATAACACAACAACAAAAAACATAGTATCATAAAAATGGTGACATCCTTCTGTAGCGGCCATTTGCCAGCTATTCCTGCCTCTGTTCCCAACAACACCCTCAAGCCCATCCCTATCTAGTGTTTGCAAGTTCAGTTCAGTCCGGTTTTTTGCCCCCAAAACATGCAACCGTGGACCGCAACCGGTCTAGGACCGACCCAGATATTGAGGGAACCAAACCGAACCACCTAGGACTGGTCTTTTGCGGTCTATGGAGCTGGTTCAGATCAATCCAGACCGGTTTTTTTGCGTATAATTTATTATACCAATATAAACCATTTATATCTTGACTATTATTACTCTGAAAAATAAACAGCTTATATAAAATAGTAAAGCATGTAAGTATCCGTCATTCTACCAATTTGTAAGAGATTTAATGAAGATTTGACATAGCTATGACTGAAACTGAATTACATCTCCTAGAGACTCGGGTAAAATATGGATTTGGTTATATCTTTCTCAATTCTTACTTGGATATGTAATGCATGTGACTGTTTAACCGGTTGCAACCAATCAAAACCGGTCTTTGAACGGTTTTAAAAGATTTTCAAAATGAGGCAACCGGCAACCAGACCAACCCCAAATTGGGGCAACTGCAACCGAAAAAAAGACCAGACCATGGACCGGTTCAGTTCGGTCCACCAGTTTTTTGCAGTCCTATGGACTGAACCTTTAAACACTATCCCTATCAATGTCCTCCAAAATGCAATGGCGAAATGGGCATGTCGAAGGGGAGTCTTGAGAAAACTGGAGGGGAAGTGGTAGTATAATGGCTGGGGTGGGATGCGGTGTGGCTTGGCAAGGCATTAAAACAGAAGTGGGTGAAAAGATGTTGATGTGATGATGGACCGACTGGCTTACACGTTGTCTGTTGCTGCCACCTGAAAGTGAAACCTATATATCAAAAAAGAGTGAGCGGTCATCGTTAGGAAATGTTGTCAAGTTGAGTCTACAGAGAAATAAAATACAAGTGGGGTATTGGGCGCTGACAAAAGCCCAGGAAAGCGACAAGACCGCGGCGGCAGTGAAGCAAGAACATGCAGAAACACTAAAGGTGAAGTGGAAGGAGGCATGGAAGGAATCACCGCGCTACGCAAGGTTTCAACATGTGGATCCCAGCTTCCCCTTCAGCAAATTCCGAAGACTCAGTAACCTGCTCTCAAGATCGCAGGCAAGCTTACTGATGCAGCTGAGAACCGGACACATACCACTCAATGGTTACCTATATCGCATAACAAAGTCAACCACCAGCCGCTGCGACGCATGTTGGAGGAGAAGGAGACAGGAAGTAGCGGAGACAGTGGTACACTATCTATTCGAGTGCCAAGAATACGCGGCGGAACGGTACGACATGGATCGGGCGTTGGGCCGCCACTCAAGAGATTTCCAAGCGATCCTGGCGAGCTTAGACGTCATAAAGGAGTTACTTAAGTTTGTGGGAAGGACAGCCAGATTCAAGAAGACCCTCGGGGAATCCATAGGTGACGTGTCTCACTTGGAATCCGAGGAAATTTGACAGGTAGCACCACTTCTTCTAGGAAACATGTAAACGACGCAAGACACTTGGAAGACAAACTGGCGCTGCGGCCAGCGGGTTCGCCCACCATACCCCCCCACTCTCTTACCCGCAACTCAGCCTGCGGACTTAAGCACCAGAATCGCATCGCAAGCCACAAGCACATATAATCAAACGACAGAAGACAGTAACGAACATCATATTTTCCTGAAAACACTCGTCCTATTACCGGCTGTACCTATTGCTATGCGATCGGGTACTTAGAAGACAAAACACCAACCAGCCGGACTGCAAAGTTAAGCAGAAGACAGGACTACCCCGCTCGCCTATAGGATGCACCTCTAAACGGCGTTTCCGTGCCGGACTAGGAAGGGGAATGATCGCCATGGGCGTGCCCTCTCCAGTGCAAGAGGTGATCCTCAGGGGGTCAGGAATCATAGGCACTAGGGGCCTTAGGTAGTCTACGAAGTTGTAAAGTCTGATGTGGGGCTTCGCCCCGATGGACTATAAATTTGACATTAAAAAAAAAAAAAAAAAAAAAGCGACAAGACAGTAATGAGCGCGCACAGGCGCACAGGAAGTGGACAGGCACAAAGGAGGAAACAACAAGGGGGGACAGTACAGAGTGGAAACAAGGCAACATAATGATAACAAAGGGGCAAGCAGGTAGATGGGCAAGGGGACTCTGAGGAGAGATGGTCACAGTGGTTGTGGTGAAGGAGAGAACATTGTGTTTGGTTGTGGTTGAAGTCGGAAATGACCAAATATGGTGCAGAGTTTAAACAACTTGGTGATTTTCATCTCTCTCGTTAATTTCTCGCTAAGGTCGAAATCCGCGAAATCCTTGCTTTTTTTCACATGTGAGCATTTAGAAGGACTCATTAGATACTTTATTTACTCTCTTGTTATGAAATTTCTCTTGAACATTATAATTCAGCGCTCGAATAAAATTGGCGCCACAGGTTATACAGAGGAGAATGGAAAACCTGTGAGCCAGGTGTTGCACTGCTAGAGCTGATGTTTACGGCTAAAGCTCCGACAAACCTGCCAGTCATGCCAAATGCAGCTACATCAGAAACCTGTCAAGCGGAGATTCACTGGCTCTGGTGTCATGTCTGGGACAAGGACACCGTTTTTCAAAAATTACATATATGGTAACTACATGTAAATATTATATAGGGCTGTATAGTGTAGTGGATTATTGCGCTTTTTTGATCTCCTTTTATGGCCAACCTAAGTTCAATTCCAGCGATTGACATCTTTTTTTTTTTTCACAGAGATAATTGAATCACAAATATGTATCTTGTTAGAAACTTGACAGATTGCTAGGAAAATTTGTGAAATATATCCTCTCCCTATCTACCATTTAAAAATGGGGCAGGCACCTATCAGGGGCCACAACTATGAGGAAAAAGGTTAGATATTATGAGTGAGTCTTCCCATCAGGATGCATTTTTACACATGAAACCACAAGACAGGGGATTATGCCAAAAGCTCAGATTAATTGCAAAGCAGATTTATGTTCGAGTTCCTCATGTTGAGCTAACAAGGATAAAGTACTGAAAATTACAATGAACAGGAATAATGATGGCTCTAGTGTCATGTCTGGAACAGCTGAGAATGTTTCAATTCCTTTCAAAAATGTGCATGTAAGAAGCAGGATACTTTACACTGATTATATATGTAGAATTATAGATCAACAGCAAGGGTTGTTCAATTGTGACAGATTTATTGTCAACTTTAGATAGATTTATTGCAACACAGTCCAGATCTTGAGATTGTTACAAATTCTTTCTATATGAAGGTCAAGACTATGTGAGGAAATATTAACAACATACCAGCACTCCTGTATCAGCATTTTTAAAGCAGTACAACATTTTTTTACCCATTGATTCTGTCTTTTTGTTGCCTTTAATGCAACAACCTGCCATTAGGAGGAAGAAGTGCATGTAAAGTGCTTCCACATACTCTGAGATATTCTACTAGCATCGACACATACTTTGATGAGCAATTGCATTAAGTGGAACTGACTTTATGCTCAGAACAGCACAAATTCTCTTTTCAATGATTTAAAAATGCATTCTGGGTTCATATTAGTGTATCCTATAATTTCCCACAAGGTAAGTGAGCTATTCAAATATTTTTCTGGCCTGCGGCGCATAGCACAGGGAGAAAAGCCAGTAGGAGGTCAACTACTTGAGCAGCTGCCTATTTGGGCGTGGGTGTGAGATTGATGGCTTATGTCTGTTTTTGGACGACCTTATGTCTTTTTTTGGACATGTCTCAATATAGACATAAATTATGTCTATATATGGACATAAGGTGTCCCAGACATGGCACCAGAGCCGATTCACTCCAGATGCCATCAGCATTTTGAACAAATGGCGGTGTAGAAATTACGATCAAGTATGAGAAAATCAGTAGTAAACCTAAGATGTCGTAAGCACACTCCAATCGTAATGGGTGTAGTATAAATAAGTCGATACGTCGGCTCAATTACAACAAAGCAGCACTAAGAGCACCAATGGCTAGAGCGGCTAGGCTGAAATGCGGGCTGAATTGGAGACCCAGCGCACTACTCTTACCAGTGGAAGTGGAAGTTGCTGAAGTGCCAGTAGCAGTTCCCGTACTCGTCGAGTTCCCGCTGCTCTCAGCAATGTCAAGGAAAGCCTCGAAATTATTGGCAGAAGACTCCACAGCGTTGATGGCGAAAACCATTCCTTGCTGACAATGACCAGTCTGTCCGCAGTACCCCCAAATAGGTGCAGTCTAACGTACAAAAGGACATCAGAAGAAGTAGGGCATGTATAAAGGGGGCGACTTACGTCGTTAATCTTAATCTGGAACGTTGGGAACGATGTAGCGTTTGCGCCCACGGGCACGAAGCCAGATTTGAAACCAGAGCTTCCATCTGATTTAACGACAGCGTGACACGGGTCGGAGAAAGAGGATTGGGTAACGGTGTGGTTCTTTGGGTGAAATTCGAACGTAACGGTGTCGCCGATAGCTGCGGTGATATTGGGTGGGTTGTAAGCAAGCAACCCGTCAGCACCAACGGTGATCTTATGGTCGACTGGCTGAGCGGCTGGGGTCGGCGCTTCGGACACAGTGTGAGTCAATTATAGATCGAGATGACATGTAGCCTTACGAGGCGTTCCGTCATAACTTGTGTATGTAGTGGTCCAAGTGGAGCCTCCTGCGGTGACGGTAGCAGTTGCGGTCTGCCAGTGCTGGGGAGGTGGGGTGGAAAAGGCACTTTTAGTGGAGGATCCTGTTCCGTTGGTCGCGATGGCAAGTTTTTGGAAGGCGCTGAACGAATGGGAGTCTGGATCGGCGGGTGCGTTGATCGCAAAGACCATTCCTTGATGAGGCGTTAATAAAAGGAGAGCGAGAGTGATGCACTGATATACCTTGACCACAATGACCTGTCTGGCCGCAGTAGAACCATAATGGAGCAGTACCAGCTGGCACCGTGAACTGCTTAACTGGCAGATCCGCCGAACTCGTATTGGCGCTAACAGGCACGCTGAAAGGCAAGTTTAACCCAGTTCCAAGTGAAAAAGTCAAGACATACAATCCGGTTTTGAAGCCATTTGACGACACGCAAGGTGTGTTGAAGGATGATTCCGTGACGGTATGATTTTTGGGGTTACTGACATTTGTCAAAAAGAGGAAGAATGAGGAATGCAAATCGTCTCACAAGATGAAGTTCACTATATCTCCGGCGCTCGCTGTGATGTAAGGTGGGTTGTATGCAAGCTGGCCACCAGCTCCGACTGTGACATTGTATGTGGCCGCCAGTGCAGCGGGCAGAGAAGCGAGAGCGAGCCCGAGAGTGTGTCTATACATCTTGATATATGTGCGTGGCGAGGCAGGGGTGCTGATGATTGAAACCCTCGATGGCTTGCCGCTTTATATTTTTCTGTTGGCTCCGAAAGGCCTCAAATGGCAATGCAGGGTCGCAGAATTACTTCACAAAGTGGTTACCTTGTCTTCGGGTTTCACGGAGATTCCTCGAGCGTACGCATGCGCCAATTGTGGAGAGTTCTGCATCATCAAAATGCGATGTTGAAAAGGCGGTGGTAAGCCGCCCATAGCGGTGTTTTTTTCGATCTATCGCTGACTGGCTTTCACGTGCGTTCATGTGACTGGACAATGTCACGCTGCAATGGTGGCAATTTGAGGTTAGATTCTTCCGACTTCGCCGGTGCCCCAAGCGCCGCGTCAGCGCTCGGGTTACCACCAACCCTTCTAGATTATCATAGCGCCCAATCGAATGGACCAGCTACCATCGGGCAAGGGACGAAATTTCGCAAATAAGTCGAAGAACCGTGACTCTGGAAACACTTGCCCAACACCTGCCAGTGTCTTTCGTGAACAGATTGTTTGCGGATTCTCCGAGTCTGCGCCCTTGTGCTTGGGCTTTGCTGCAAAATGAGAGTTACTACACTTGCTTGCTTGCACAAACTAGGCAATGGGCATGTCGGACACGCGCGCCCACGCGCGCGACCACTACTACCCGACCTTCAGCCCCAGTGAAAATCGACCCTAAAAAATGGCCAAATGGATCGGTGGAGCCCGATCTGAACAGGGGAAATGGCCGGAAATTGGCAAATATATCGATTTGATCCGGAGGAACCCGATCTGCACGGGGTCGATTTTCACTGGGCTTCAGCTTCAGCGCTGATGTAGTGATAAATTTTCCGAATTCCTAGAAATGCAGGAACAGTTTCCAATCTTTCCAATCAGGTGCTATGTATTGCGGATGATAAATATCGATATGTTTTCCTTCACTAGTTTCATGTGCTTAGTGTTCCAATGGCTCGTCCTCGGTTCCGTGCCAGACAGGTTTATCTTTCTGACGTTGAAGGCAACAGGCATCTTGGAGTTCAAGCATATCCTCAATGTTGAAGGGGTTTCAACGCCAACCGCTCCCTCACTGGTTCCGTGCGTGTCTTGTGTCCACTGTATCGCTCACAACTCCGCCGCCAGCTTTTACGTCACGGACATTTCATGTCTGGCTTTATTTATGGTTCAGAGCTTCTGTTCGGTATCTTCCTTTTAAATACCCCCTTTCCTTACCAAAGGCGTCACCCTACCACCAAATTGCCTCCACCGGGTGCGCCGACATCAGAAATCGTCTCTTCCCGAATTATGTAGAAAGATTAGGAGAATGAAATGGGAAAGTTACGGAATCTTGCCTGTTGAGTCTAAAATTTCCTCTCAAAATCGAAGCGTATGTACTTGCGAAAGGCCTTGCCCATTGATTCTGTCGATCACTGAGGTCCAAAAATGTGAGTAGTGCCTCTCCTCTGTAATTTCATCTGAATCGATAGTCTTCGCCTCCTTTCTTCACGCTCCGTCGCCCGCGCGCTACGCCTCTGATTACCACCATGCAGGTGATACTCGCCCTCTTCATGTGCGCGATCGCGCTCGGCGCCCCAACCACCACACCGCCTTGCACATGCACCGAAATATTCGCCGAAGTTCAAATATTTGCACAGAATGCAATGTTGAACATCTCGCCACCTCTGAACCAGTCACAGTTCACAGGCTTTATCACCAGCCTCACGAGTCAGACTTCGATTGTTACCTCCTCTATCGTCGGATCGTCGAAGAACATTAATGGTATATATAAAATATGATGTGTTCCGCAGAACCTTCAGTCGATTTCTGTTGTGGAGTTTCTGGTTCATGGGTGCGTCTGTTTTTTTCGCCCTTAGAATGCCGCCCCTTATCTTTCCGCTGTCTTTTTGTTAGAGTTGGCCTTGGTCATAGGTACTGGAGCTGGGGTGGTCCTGGATCCAGGTACAACTACTTGGAGGCCGCTATCAGTGAGGGCCACGCGATATTCTCATACAACAGATTGGGTACAGCTGATTCTCTCAATGCTTATCGCATTTCACAATAGACGTCAGGTGTCGGGCTCTCAAGTACACTGAACGGAATTGAGGAAGTACAGTTCGCCACTCAGGTTCAAATTGCGGCGACCTTGGTTGAATCTTTGAAAAACGGTTGGCTGCATCAGTAATTTGTCAAAAAAAATTCTGGGTTTTTCACAACAAATTGGTTTGAAATTGGTAACAAGCGCTGTTGTATTCACAAATGGATAGGTATACAAATTTCAAATTGAAAGGACACGGGGAAGGGTGGATATCCTCATTCATAAAATTTGCAATAAAGGACCCGACAATAGATTTTTTTAATCATAAATAACCACTGCCAATCATGTACAATGATGATAATAGCAGAGGTATCGCACCCCGCACTCAATGATTGCTCCCATGAAACCCATCTAAAATCCCAGACTCTGACATAAACGCACCCCATCTCTCGTCCAACCGTGAATCCCGCGCCGCCAGCCCCAGGTCCGCAAGGCTAGGGTCAGACAGTGCAACCTGTCGATGGGAATGGAGGGTTGGATAGGTCGTGTAATGTGCCTGAACCTGTTCAAGGTGATGAGAATATTGGTTTTGAGGTTGACTATGGGGGACGCCGTGATACTCTTGAGAATTCAGCAGCTGCGGGTTCCCCGAAAGATGTCGTTGTGGTTGCTGCAATCGATGGTACGACTGCTCAGGACCATGGATATGTGGTGGCGGCGGTGGGAGGTGATGAGGTTCTTTTGGCCAACCGTAATTCAAGGTAGGCTCTTGGTGAGTCGTGACAGCAGTGTAGGGTGGAGGTATGAACTGCTGCTGCTTTAACCCGCCTCGGGGAATATCTAACGACTGAGTGGCAGGATATGTCAATGGAGAATAGTGTGAGGGAGCGGAAAAAGGTGGCGGCATGACGTGTTGCTCGGGTTCAAAAGCGGGGGGACGATATAGCGGTGCGTCAGTTTCAAAGCGAGTCGTATCTTGCCCCTGGTCCCTCCCTTTGACAAGTCCTGTATTATTTCCACCGCTTTTTCCCCGCACAAACCGCGTACGCCCAGCAAAAATCGCCAGCTCGTCATCATCATCGATGCTCCAAAGATCCCCTCCCAGGGGTGATGGTTCTCTTTGCGCCAAGGCGAGAGCGTGCCGCGCTTTCTCGCTCAGTTTTTGGAGGATGTGCTAGTGGTGCGAATAAGGGTAAGTGTGCGATTCCATTTTCTACGAGGTAGGGGGCTTACTAAAGCTTTCTGGGCCCTAATGCTATATGCCGCGGCTTTGGAGAAAAGAACACACGCTTGATCGAGCTCTGCCATGGCAGATTGGGATAGGGGTGAGCGGGGACCACGCGTTACTACAGTTCCGAATACGACCTAGGGAGAGTGAGCCTGCGCAAAATCGCAGAGAAGAATTTTGGCTCACAGCTGCACTAAATGCAAACGTCCACATCTGCCAAAACCTAGCACACGAATTCGGGAACACCGCAAACTGATCGCGCACGTTTTTCAAAATAGTCGTCGCAGCGCGGTAGGCTGCTAGGAAGGACGGGGCATAGGTGGATTTGAGTGGATTTTCGGGGTGTTCGATGATGGCTTGGGCGAAAAAGGATCGGTGAATGTACATCAATACTAAAAGTTCATCAAATGTTTTTTGGGACAGGGTGTGAAAGGATGAAACTTACTCGTCTCCTTGATATGAGCCAACAAGCACCTCTGAAAACTCCCTGCCATATCCGCGCCCTCATCATCATCACGCATCCCATCAGGCACCGGGAAATCCCTGACCTTCCTATCCAGTTCCATTATTGTTGAGTAAGTAGGAGCTTCAGCTGTCAATGTCCGCGCTGCGACATCTGCTACGCATTCTGCCGCAAAGCGGAATGCCCATACTTCAACTAGAAGGGAAGAAAAAAGTCAATTAATAGTTAGAGGGTTTGGGGGAATGGGGAACGTACAAGCTCTCCCAAAACCACCCCCAGAGCCAGGTTCTTTTTCTTTCTTTTGACTCCCATCCCCATCATGACCATCCCACGAGGGCTTTTCATCGTACGAGGGGAAACTACAGTCAATGTAAGCCATTGAAAATGAAGGCGGGCGCCCAGTGTTTAGACTCTAGTGGTGGTTCAATAAGCGGAGAGGGAGGACTGAGAAGTGAGCAAACGAACCTGCCATACATCAGCAACAAAGAGGTCCCAAAACAGGATTCGACGACGCTGCACCATTTTCGGTGAGAGGCCCCATCGGGCGCTGTCCCTGTCTAGACGTAAGAGTTAGTGTAATGAAGAAAAGGGCGTCCGGGGAGAGCAGAGACTCACGGAGACCAATCTAGAGCCTCAAATGAGCTAAACGTTTTATGAAGACACACAAGATAATTTACCGTCTGTGAAAGATGAGCAGCAAGGGTCACCAAACTCCACGTCATCTCCATGCTCGTTTCGCTGTTCAAATCACTTCCGCTCATGGCGTTGTAGATACTCAACAAATGAAGCGCCTGGATCGTCACGATCGAAGGCTTCTCTAAAACAGGCTGGAGGGCCAGAGCGGCCCTGGAGATCTGGTGGTAGTGTTCCCCTAGAGCATTTGCGTTCGCCGTCGCTGTGTTGGGTGAAGAAGATGCAGGCGAAGAGAGGAGGGACCCAATAGCAAGTACGATGAAAAGGAGCGCGAGGTCGTGTGGGCCCGAGCGTGCCTGCTCCTCGCCAGAGGCAGGGGAGGGAGAGGGGAGGTGGTATATCATAGGCAGCATTTCTTCGAGCAGCTGGGATTGGGTGACTCCACGGTGGAGCCAGGAGACTTGGGTAAAATAGGTGTTACAGAGGGAGATAGCGGCTGAGTAGGGAGGGAGGTGATTAACTTCAATGAGGTCTTGGATAGAGCGTGGGGCGCCTACGGGGGTGAAGGGGAAAGATTGGGAGAAAAGGGAGAGGTTGAGGTCATCTGAGGCTGCGGTGACGGTCGTGGTCGTGGTTGAGGAGGCAGAAGGAGAGTGTGAGTCATTTGTGGTGGAGGACGAGGGCGAGGGGTGGTTGTTTGATATGCTTGCCTGTGTGGGAGTGAGTTAGTGGAGGGAGGTGGTGTGCAGCCACTCACAAGTAAGAGACTCTGTCAGAGGACAAATGAGCAGGGTATGAGGACGACGAAGATGACGGCATACCTCTGAGCCACCTGTAGGACCAAAGAATCTCGATATTCCATGATCGGAGATAGATAACGTTCCCAATGCATCGATCACCTCCCCAGTCTGCCCAATAGGGGCTGGTGAGCTATCGTCCATGGAATCCCCTCCTTCATCCCTCAGGCCTTCCCGAAGTTCATCCGTGCTGACCAAGTCATCATGAAGTAATGGATGCGGGTCAGCAGAATGTTTCGCTTGAAGACCAGCTAACGCATCTTCAAGCTGTCGGATCCGAGACGAGAGTTTCGCAATGCGACGGTGGAGGTGCTCGGTCGCTGCCAGCACAAACCGTGTTCCTTGGCCGGTAGCCAAGCTGCCGTTGGGGCATAAGGACGCGCACCCTCTTCGCTGTAAGACAAGGTAAGGAATGGTTTAGAATTATGGGTATCAGATAAAGGACAAACCAAACAGGATTGACAAGGAATTTGCTTGTCGCACTTGATTTTGAGTCTTTAATAGCATCCAAGTCAATTTGATCAGCACCCGATGATCGCATTCCTCCCTACCTGCGACATTCCGCACAACTAACCTGCGAAAACGTGAGATTTCGTCTTGACAGCTAGCATATTTCAAATGAAGACACATACCTCGCCTAATTGAAATCCACGCGAAAGTCGCAATCAGCCTTTCAAGGTTCTCAAGTATATGTACTATGCCCTATCAGTACTTCGGCAGACCCTCTCAGTCGGCACTTTCCTGATCTCAAACTTTCCACAAAACATCTTGCCACAAAATTTGAGACAGGGCCTCCTGGGTATAATCCAACCTAACTCCACTTTTTTTCGTCAAAAAAAAACGAAGAATTGGCGAAGTTCTGTTTTTTGGCCAGTCACGGTCTGTCACGTTCATCCGCCAAAAATTGTGACATTTGTGACCGCCGACTGAGAGGGTCTGCCGAAGTACTGATATAGCATAGTATAAGCGCTTACACACCTCGACTCCGCTTCATTTCCAATTCCCTCCCATGTGTCCCGTCGTACCGATACTCGTCCATATCCTTCCTACTAGCCCGCCGCTTCAGTTTGGCTTGTGTCGGTTCCGCTGGCATGTCGTGGTCTGATGCACAGTCAGTCGCTTGCGGTTGTTGGTGGTTATTCCAAGGTTATTCACTTAGGTGGGAACTTGGTTTTGCTCGGCCCCCGAGGACGTCTGCTTTTAACACTTGGCCATCAGTAAGATGGCAAAACATAAGGGGAAACGGTTTCGGCGGACTTTGAAATTTGGATAAGCGGCCTGTCTGGATGTAAGTAAGTAATTGAAAACGGCTATAACTGTTCTTACATTCACAAGGATTCACATCGCAGACATGTGAGATCGTCTGTGTCAGATATTCATCGGCACGGGAATGACTGAGAAATAAAAAACTGCTTTTGCCCAACTGCCACTGGCATGAGAAAAAGAGAAAGAAAATCCCTGTTTTACCAGGGCAACAACAATGATTCAATGACATTAAGAGGTCTGTCTTGGCACAAGAAAGAGCAATATTATAACTCCTTGTTCCTGTCCCCTCATGCCAGAAAAACTTTTCAACAACAACACTGAATAGTTTCCTCACCGCTTCTGTGGTAAAACGGTGCCCGGGGTCTGTATTTATCTTCCTTTCAGGCCAACAACATTTCCTATTTTCAGTCATTACCACATCAATGAGTCACCGATGATATCCGAGGTTTAAAATGGGGTTTTCAGCAAGTTTTCAGTTGGAAAAACCGTGGAAACTAAATTGCCTGATCACCAAGGGGGTGGCGGAATGTGGAAAAGAGACCAACACTCACTTTTTCTTTTTCAAAGTTCAGCTTGACACACACCCCCCCCCCCCCCCCACCTACCTTCCTAATAAAGTATGTTTTTTCCACGCTTATGTTTTCTTTTCTTTTTTTTCTTTTTTTTCTTTAGGTGGAACAAGTCAACTCTTGAGTCAACTATGCCTATGCACAGGTGGTCAGCCATCTTTTGCCTAAGCTAAACAAAATGGCTTTAAGATATGTACTTGTTCAAAGATGTATGGTAAGTAAGGACAAAATGAGACGGTGTTTCTTTCCGAGCATCAATATGTGATGAAAATCCTCAAAGGTAAATGGGGAGTTGAGGAATCGAGTTTCTGTTGTGCATGGGGTGGTGCGTGGAGCGAGGATAATTTCCATGCAGTGTAAATGTTCAAAAAACCAACCAAAAACACAAGCACGGTGGCGGGGACTCTAAATCCTTGGACCATTACTTACCTTTGGATGCATCGTCATCCATGGAAATCCGTGTGTTGCTGCATGTCAAACTCTACTAAAACATCCAAATTGCATCGAAAGTTCCAAAAGGCACATCGCTGACCACTTTGACCAGCAAATTGATGGGGGTCACTTTTTTTCCCGGCCTTCGGCTGGACCACCCCCCCCACCTACCCTTGGTTCAGGATCCACATCCTGCTACCCCCTTGCTGATCACTGACTGCAGCCCTCAAAGTTCTATCTTTATGCTTGATGAGCTATGATGAGTGAATGTCAGACAAAAAAGGTTCTGTGATGATTTTTACAAGGTTGTTTCAAAGACCATGTTTCTGTGTGCCCAGACATCACAAATCAGTCAAGTTCCTTCTTCCTGGTCAAGTTCCTCCCTTAGGTTCACTACATAACTTGAATACATATCAAAATATGCGACAGAAAGTTGCAACATCACAAAAGACCCTGGGCTTTGCAAACTACTTGCCTTCCCCTCCTTTCCCGGAGCAAATCCTTTTGAAGTCAGGTGGAAGTTGACGAAAGACCTTCCATATAAAGGCCCCAAAACTTCACACAATAGCACAGTAATATTGTAAGATGTAGAGGACTGCACTTTTTCTAGGAAAAGGGGGCACTTCCCAAATTGATACAATTGATACACAATACATGGGATTTGATACAAGCTTTCACAGATTGAGTGATCCACAAGAAATCAAAAAGTGTCTGTGTGAGATAATCACAACTTCTGATGAGCGTATGTTCACAAAAATGAGCCAAAGCACAACTCACAATGACTGCAAGAATTGGAGCATTTCTCTAAAATGATCCATCAACAAAGAACAATACAGTGTGGCCACCTCTCAAGATATCCATAGGCTGTGGGTAGCAAACAGCTTTTGTTGCTGCTTCTGTTAAAGACTGGCCACCACACACTTTTAAAAAAATAAGCAGAAATTATTGAAAACAAAACAGCTGATAGCACACCATTGACAGAAACTGGTCCAGAGGCCTCTTAAATCTCTTTTCCCAACAGGGCTTGGAGGTCTGGCCTGCCAATCCCAACTGATATGCCGGGAACAAATAATCCATCTGAATATGATCCCAAAAAATTGAATTTCTCCGCGATTCTATCCACAGGAGAGAGCTCTTTGGTGTGCTTCCCAGTGATATAGATTTGGACGTCAATGGATAATCCTGGGACAAGACCATGTAAGCATTGGCTGAGGGAGTCTCTGATCCAGTGTAAATTTTCTTCTTTCAATGGTTAGCCTTGAAAATACACATTTGGGGAGCTAACATACCTGATTCCTGGACAGATCATACAAAGACAACCCGGCAACACGTCTTTTCTCCATGCCTCGCTTGACTTTTATCTGGACTTAAAAGGGAAATGGGAACCTTTGAAGAGAGGACTCACCCAGTTATATCAATAAGGAGAGGAAGTATGAATGCAATTCAAGAACCCCCTTGAATAGGTTAGCCAAATATTGAGTGTCAAAAAGGTTAATCGTACCAGCAATGAGGATAGAAGTAGAGTACCCAACAAGTGCTGGGGGAGAATCATACAGACCATCTAAAAACACTCGGAACTTTTCCCCCTCTGTTGCTCTGTCCTGCAAATTTCGTGTGAAGCTGTCATGCACTCAAGTAAAAAAAACGAGCTTGTTCCCAGATGGAGAAGGATTGGGGTCATAAGTCGTTGATATCGTGAAAGGGTGGGCCTCAAATGGCAAGGACAAGAGTCCAGGGAACGAGAGATAGGTGGATTGACTGGTGACCCAGCAAAAATAACTTGGTTGGTGAAGGGTGATACAGAGAAATTGAGAAGAGAGAATGTCGACAGATGCATCAAAGTCTTTCGACATTGAAGCTGTTGGTTTGAAGTAACCAAAATTGATCATGCAAAATGCATGAAACAATCTAAACCCCAAAGTATCATGGTGGGTAAGATTCCATAGTAGACCATTCTGATTGATAAAAATTATTGTATGTCCCCTAAAAGAAATTTGGCACTTACTGAATATCTTTCAGTTGAAAATATGCAGCAACAAGAAGCATCATTTTCATTCGTGAGTGAGTCGGAATCCAACAACCCCAAAAGATGATAGGTACTCACAAGACAAGGACACAGTGCATAATGAAAAATAATTGATAGGCTCACTCATGCACAGGGTGAATGCTAATGATGCATAATAGCACGAGGGAGCTGAGGGCAAACAAGCCTACACGGACCAACGGCAAGGTAGCTGGGGTGCCCGATGTCATCTATAACAAATGACAAGGACATGGGGTGTTATTTTGCATGAAAAACTCACCTTGCCCAGAGTGTGAAGCCAAGCCATAACACACAAGATGCGAGCCATCATTCTGTGGAGATAGCTCAACTAAATACAAATGGTTAGTGTGCTCCCCTCTGTGACTTTGAAATACTCTTTTGTACCTTGGTGTAGTTGATGCCAGTTATCTCTACACAACATGATATTGTGAGAGATAGAAAAAGAGAATGGAAAATTTGTATAACTGACATGAAATAATGTTATTGTGGGTACCCAAAGCAACAATAATGGGGACTTGTGACACTGCGATAGCGCCAGCCCTGTTTCTGAAATAATGTGGTTCAAATTTAATTCCAGTAGTTGAAGTTGCTAACAAGCTATACCTTTAGTTGAGTGATCAAGATTAAAAGTGAAAAACTCACTGTTAACTAATGCAAAGACAACAAGAAGACATATGTATGCCACCATCAAGGCGACCTCTACCAGATTCAAAGAATACAACAATCCGAAGGAGATTGTCCACCTAAACCCAATAGAATGGGTCACATCTGCCACAGCAAGCGGAATCCTTTGCAGAGAGACAGCTCCTTGCTTGGTGGGGCAAGTGAGAAAGATGTAGAACAGATTGACAACATGAAACAAAGATACAACAGCAATCAGACCAGCAATCACCCAAACCACTTCCTTCAGATATAACACAGCATGGGAAGCTCACAACTGCTTGTTGAGGGCACTATTTGACAGAGCAATGCCAATGACGGTGGGCTGCCCCATGATGATTGAGATCCTGGGCTAAGAAAAGGCATCTTTTATATGTAGAACACAGAAGAATGCAAGGGTTACCTGGAGATATGGAAACATAGAAGTAGAAGTGGATGGCTTCCAGAGCTGGCCAGCAGTAAATTTATGTAATGTTGCTTGATGGCTAGTGACCACTCTGTTGCACCCTTGACCCTCATCCATTTGGCATGGCCCCTTCAAGGGCTAATCATATGCCTGTCCAGTGTGTGCAATATGTCTCCACCTTCTTTTCAGTGTTTCTTGGAAAAACCTTTCAGAAGAGTTGCAGTTTGTGGGGGTCATGATGCAAGCAAAGGAAAAGTCTGTTGAATTTTCCTATTAGCTAGAGTATGTTTTCCCTGGGTTGTAAGGCCACCAAGTTGCATAGAACGAGCACGAGCAAAGAATCTCAAAGAGTATGTTTTTTCCAGGTGTAAGGTGGCCAAGTTGCATTGAATAGATATTGAATGCGAGCATGAGCAAAGAATCTCGAATTATCATTCCTATAGGTAGTGACTGTTCCCATGAAGGTCTTGAGTACTAACTTTGGATACAGGTCTGTTTCTGGATGCGGCCTTAAATAAGTTGTGGGTTACCATCATTGGGGAAATGTTATTTTGTGTATGAAAGACTGATCACTGTATCTGAAAATGGACATTGGTAACACATACACATAGATCTTGTGGAGCCAGAGAGACCAAGGAGGAATCATTTGCAAGGAGACGGGAAGAGATGCAATTGTGGCGCCAAATCCAGGGAGCTTTGAAAGACAATCGGAACAATGCAAGAACACAGAAGAAGCAGACAGCATGCGGAGTATGACAACCAAGTTCCAGTCTTGTGGAAATATGATCTCTTTGTCATTGACTCATTGTGATGCTCTATTTGTCTGGTTACAGTAAACTGGTAACCAGTTCCTTCTTCCAACATCAACACGACTATCTACAATGATCAAATAAGAAGCTAAGTAAGTGCTAAATTCAAGCTCTCACTGATCTAGAATGACCAGTGCTCTCAACAGAGGTCTTTACCATCCCCCATGTAATCCATGTGGATTCCAGTGGATTCCAGTGGAGTCCAGTGGATTCCAGTGGCCCAGTTGCTAGGCCAAGTTGGCTTGCACAATGCCCAGTCCACTGGACTCAAGTCCAGTCCAGTCCAGTCCAGTCCACTGGACTCTCACTGGACTACAAGCCACTTTCCTGAGTCCAGTCCCAGTCCAGTGGACTATGAGTCCAGTCATAGTCCACTGGAGGGGGA